ACCTTCCCTTATTCTACTCAAAGAGAAAACGTTTTTCTTTTAGTTCTACTTTAAGAATTTGTACCAGTGACCCAAATATGTGGCATTGTTCCCTAAAGTGCTACACACTCACTCACACTGGCCTGTAGAAACGGCAGAGCTGGCGGTAATGAAACAGAGGGCAAGCTGCCTGCTTGTTCCTTTATAGCAAATATCTAGAAGAGGTCAGTTTTATTATTTGCTCTGGGAATATACTGTATATTGCACACAACCAGGTGTTCAGTCCATAGAAATGTTTCCATGTGCTACTGACATTTAGCTTTCCAGTTACAGAATATTTTCTAGGAAATTGACAAATAAAGTTTGCTTTGGCAGGTCTCTACAAGTGCAGGAAATACTGTAACACGCAATGGGAATTTACATTGGATCTCTGATAGATACATTCATGAGCGCCATCTGCTGGAACATTGTTATATTAACATTCCTCAGAACACAGATTCTGCTAGTTTTTATTACCACTCTAGCTGATGGGAAATTGTCAAATTTGTGTTTGTTTTATTGCTACATGTCCAAGAGTAACAAAAATGAAATACATTAGTAACTGCACATCATGATGTGTAAGAATTCCAGGTGAACTCAGTCAGTCATGAACCTCTAAAGATTTAAAAAACAATTCCATCTGTGCTTTATCAGCCAATTTGCCCTAATCCATGTTCTTTATTTTTTAGTAAAGGGTATGTACAGAGGCATAGCTAGGGGGGGGGAGCAGGGGGGTACATATGTACCCGGGCGCCAAGGTACAGGTGCGCCAAAATGAGGCTTACAGTCCCATGATGATCCAGTCCAGGAGGCGCTGCTGGAGGAGGGGTAGAGAGTTCCGCAAGTCCGGTGTCTTCTTTTCCCTGGGCGCGATGTGTGGGCAGGATGACATGCCGCCCCTGTCATCTGGCCACACCCTCGGGATCACTGGACAGCCTGTGGCAGCTTGTACCTCCCTCTGCAAGCTCCACCTCCTCACCGGTGATTGGGTGCCACAACTGTAGCTCAGCAAAGGCACACAGGCGGCCAATTACCTGCGAGGAGGCGGAGCTTGGAGAGGAGGAGCTGAGCGGCAGGGAGAAGATCGAGTGAGGGAACGGTCGGAGCAAGTGAAGAAGACAGCTGACCGGTAAGTGTGCTGTGCAGATGGTTCTGCTGCAACCAGGTATGCTGGCTGTGGATGGGAGAGGGAAGGAGCCTAGGCTGGAGCAGGGGTCACCAAGGTAAGTGTCATTGGTGTCAGTGGGAGGAATAGTGCCCCATTATTGGTGTCACTGATGTGATTAAAGAGGAGGGGGGGCTGGGGCGCCAATTTTATAGTTCGTCCCTGGGCGCAAAATATCCTAGTTACGCCTCTGGGTATGTATCACATGTGGGAAGGTTGTTTCTGAACTATGTCCTATGCTGCTTCCTCTGCACTCTACTAGATGCATCATCAAAGCTGGGATGCATCATCAAATTCTGATAGGTAACATGGAAATACATCTTAGTAGTGAAACTTTGATATATCACTTCCTATATAAAAGAGATATAAGGAACTTGTAAAATCATTCAGAAATTAATTTATAGTTGCATCTGAAATGTTTCAAACATGTTTGTATTCCATAGACTTGTATAGGAGTGCAAAACCTGCTAGAAGTGAACAAAAGCCTGACTACACAGGTCCTTACACTCACCAGGCAGTGTAACAGATATTCAATATGTATATATAAGTAACTTAAGGACTCTCCATGCAAAAGTATAAAATAGGTTCTTTATTGATGTATATGTAAAAGCATGATATACCCCTACACTGGATCTTCAGCCCTTTATCCCTGCCCTAGTAAAACAGCTAGCCGTAGTGTCACATTGGAAAATTCAGACATCATTACAGTAGAAGGCTGAGGACAGAAAAGTAAAAAGGGACAGTTCATTCCTGTTTTCTCCATCAGTACACAAGAACTGAAAACTAGATGAAATCTTAGGTCCAGCTGACCCATGTTCTACTGCACATTGGCCTTTATTCAGTTTTCAAAACATATTTACTATTACCACCAATATCTATAGACTAATGTACTACATTCAACACTTTTTTTTTGCTTAAAGTGGTTAAAATGCGTAAATATTTTTTACTGTAGTACATTCCTTGCATTAAGGTAAAAATGTTTAGGCATCAGTATCGCCCCTTCAACCCAACTTTTGCTTGCCTGAGCCCTCATTCAATCCAGTGCTGTGCCCCTCTGCAGCTCTTCTCTACCCTCACTTCCTGGTGTCACAGGCTTTGTTGAGGAAGTGGGAGCCATTGGCTCCCACAGCTGTTAGTCAGAGCCAGTGTCCTAGGGAGCGTGGGCAGGGCCAAGTCCTGCTGTCTGTTCCTATAGACGCAGGCAGTGAGGCTCAGTAGCGAGCCCACACCAGTGCCCCCATAGGAAGTGGCTTTCTTTGGAGGCACTTGCCAGACAAGAGGAGCCAGGAGCTCTGGTGGGGGACCCAAAAAAGAGTGAGTATAAACCTGTCTTTTGTTTTTGTTTTTTTAAATGCAAAAAAAAAAAATTTGCATTTAAGCATGAAGAACTTATTCATTGGGCAGACATATAAATTTGTTTGTACTCTTCCACAAAAAAATAAGAATCAGTGATTTTCCATGATTCAACATATCATTTTTTAACTATAAATTAAATGGAAACAGCAGGGACAAAATGATGGGACCCCTCACCTAATATTTTGTTGTACATCCTAGAGGCAATCACTGCAAACAAAAAGCAGGAAGAGCCGGCAACTCCAAAATCCTCATGAAAGCTTTATTAGTGATACAGCAGTGACATAAAAGCACACTGACGCATTTTGGCAAGTAGCCTTGATCACAGCTGCTTGCTGAAATGTGTTAGTGTGCTTTTATGTCACTGCTGTATCACTAATAAAGCTTTCATGAGGATTTTGGAGTTGCCAGCTCTTCCTGTTTTTTGTATTCTGTATCCAGTGTTTGGAGGACTCTTTGGAGCCTGAGCACCCGCCATGGATCCCACTGCTGAATCTGAATCCTGCTTCTCTGCTATCACAATCACTGCAAACAAGCAGTTTCTCTTGCTCTCAGTGAGACTTCTGCACCTGACAACAGGTGGTTTTGCCCACTCTTCTTCAGCAAACTTGCTCCACCTATCTCAGGTTTGATGAGTGCCTTCTTCAGACTGCATGTTTTAGCTCTTTCCATAGACGTTTGATAGGATTCAGATCAGGGCTCATAGAGGTCAATTGTAGGCAGTATAGTCTAATGTTTGTTCCTAGCCACTCTTGGGGGCATTTAGCTGTGGGTTTAGGTCATTATCCTGTTGGAAGACCCATATTCAGCAACTAAGGCATAGCTTTCTGACACTAGGTAGTACATTTTGCTCCAAAATGTCTTGATAGACTTGAGATTTCATTGTGCCCCCGTAACAGAAGCAACAAAGCTGCCCCAAAACATAATGTAACCTCCTCCATCTTTCACATTAGGTATGTTGTTTGTTTTTTTTTTTAAACCTATTTTTGTATCTGTAAACATATAGCTAATATGACTTGTCAAAAAGTCACGAAGCATTGTGCCTTGTAAATATGCATTTTAGTACATTCCAGTCTGACCATGTTATGTTTTTATTTCAGCTGTGGAGTCCTCCTTTATCCAATGAGCTCACTATCACTCAAAAAAGTGACAGTTGGTGCATGCAGACACTGATGTACTTTGATTTTGGAGTTCAGCTTGTATCTCTTTGAAATGTTTCCATGGGCCTGTGTGTCTACCATTCACACCATTCACACAGTTTCCTCTTGTGGCCATGTCCAGGGAGGTTGGCTACACATTCCATGGACCTTAAACATCTTAACCCCTTTAAGGGTTTCAGAAGCCGGGAGGCGGGTCGGGGTTTAGGGTCATGTGACCGCCATGACATGCCGTCACGGCGGTCACATGATCGGGAAAGGTCCCGGTCGAAAGAGGAGATTGGGACCTTTCCATGAGTAACGAACATTCGTGCTGGGAGCCCGCAGGGTGCACACTCTCAGCACATATGTATTGTTTTAATAGAACGCAAATGTGTGGCTGCTCGGCGTCTAGGCCCCAGATGCCAGAAAGCCGCACATTTGCGTTCGGCCGGCGTGAAGAGGTTAAAGTAGAACTATAGGCAAAACTTTTTTTCTATTTTGGATTGAGGGAGGGTCATAACCCCTTTATTTTTGCTGTCTGTGTCCCATTGGGGAGAATGTCCTTCACTTCCTGCCCCATAGCCAAACAGGAAGTGAGAGGAAATCCTTGCAAATTAAGTGAATCCCATAGGGACGCCCAGGTCACCAGAACTAGTGTCCGCATTGGAAGATTTGCTCTCTATTACTTTTCGGGGGGACAACCCAAAATTTGGGATTTTCTTTTACTTTTCAGTGATAATGATAAACAGGACAAAAAGAGAGGGTGAATCTCTAACGGGGATACAGACAGCAATAAAAGCCTGACTCCACTTTATCCTAAACTAGAAAAAACGTTTTTCCTTTAGTTGAACTTTAATAATATTTTCAGCTGTAGTCACAGGTACATGAAGCCTTTAAGATGGTTTTATAGCCTTTACCTTTCCCATATCGGTCTATAAATTTCTTTTCTGTCTCCTCAGACAACTCTCGCCTTTGTTTTTTCTGGTCATGTTCAGTGTGGTGAACACAATGATAATAAATAGTAGAAGGACTACTTTTTTTAAATAAGCTGATATACTGATTATAAAAGTGGATGCAATTCTACAATTCCACTTTAATAGTGAAATTATTACTCCGCATGGGATTTTTGTTTTATACCGCTTTTGTGGCAGGTCTGCTCTTGTCAGCTGCTAATATTTATTTATATATTGTTTGGTTTAAGAATCCACACCCTAATAGTGGTGAGTCGGGATAATGCATTCAAATTTATTAAAAGATAAAATTATGAATGCATGTAAAAAACACTCATGAAGTGTAATAAATTGATATATATGTGTTTTGTTTAACAGGGTCGCCCAGGCCAACTTGGAGCTCAGGGTCCAATGGGGCCCCCAGGATTCTCAGGGCCATCCGGAGTTGCTGGACCAAAGGGTGAAAGAGGAACTCAAGGATTACCAGGGCCATCTGGGCCAAAAGGCGACCAGGTTAGGAAAAAAAAATATTTCACTAGGTATAAAATCTAGTGATGAGCATCAGTCACTGAATTCCACCCTTCCTTCTTAGTGTACCCTCATGTGTACAACTTTGTTTTTCTCATCAGATGTACCCTATTTATATTTAATCCAATTATACTGTATATCTGAATTTTCCTTAAGTAAATATTTTATATTGAATGGTCAATCCTATGCAGTCCTGCTATATGTTTCTTTTTCCCACTGGTATACATTATAAATATATTCTAATTATATTCCCATTTAATTTATGCTTTTTCCACAGGGCCCTATGGGAGTGCCAGGGTTCCAAGGTGCCAATGGAGTACCTGTAAGTAAACCAATTATTTACTTTGCTGTATGTCAGATGTCCTGGAGAGGTCCTATTTAAATGTAAATGCTAATTTAAAGAGAACCTGCCAGGATAAAGTAATGGGCACTGCCATTGCTAATATGTTTAGAAAGGCTTTGGAATATATTTTCATGTATGTAACTGAAAAACGTCCAGAAGTCATCACCACTGTCTTCCTAAAGATCAAAAACACAGTTAAGACGTGCTAGATCTTATGGGGAAAATGTGGTCTTGGTTTGTGTAGGAAGGGTATAACACAAAAATGTTGTCATTTGCCTAAAAATATATATGGTTTAGAGGCTCCCAGATTAGCACACCACCATGAATGCTGCTTATGTCTATCAGATAACATTATTATCAGCTAACTCGCTTTTGTACATTATATTTAAGGGTCATAGTGGACAGCCAGGTCACCGGGGTTTTCCAGGACTGGATGGTTGTAATGGCACCACTGGAGATGGAGGTTTTCCTGGGTCTAATGGTTTTCCTGGTTCAGCTGGATCATCAGTAAGAATGTTTATTTTAAATTATTTATCTATCTATCTATCTATCTATCTATCTGTCCAAAAATATTTAAAGAATGACAAAAGACAGCAATACAGGTATGACAGGCATTCTAACCTTCCTCTAATCTACTAAAAACAGCATTTTCATTTCTGTTAGTGTTGCTGTTAGAGAATTTCCTTCACTTCCTGGCTGGTTAAACTGATTGCGCATGCACAGGAAATGAGGGAATTTGGTGCAGTGTTGGTCCAGGCAATAGTAAAAACCCAGCAGGGGTTCTATCGAACCTCTCGTATATTGTTTTGTTACTGTATTGTCTCATATACTGTTCCCCACTATATTGTACAGCGCTGAGCAAACTTTTTGACGCTATATAAACACTGTATAATAATAATCCTTCTCCATTCAATCCAAAATATAAAGGTGTATTGTCAAAACATTTTCAGAGCTACTCCTCTTGTGAAACTGCATATATATTTATTCTGTGCAAAGGGGGGGGGGGGGGGCAAAACCGAATGTTATTAGGCTATTTTCTTTCCAGGTTGAATGATATTTATTCATACAGAGTGGAATCAGGAAAACACCATATTACGGCCACTAGATGAAGCAGATCATAGCAACTAAGTATTTTCCTATGATCATCAGCTCCATCTAGATGCCATAATGTAGTATTTTCCTGATTTATTCTGTTCCGTAAGAATGAATAACATTTAGCCTGCAGATAAAATGTCCTAATAATGTCTGATTTTGCAATGATTCACACAGACCAAATGTACATGCAGTTTTACAGGAAGCATAGCTCATAAATTGTGTTATCAATACACCCTCTTAAGGTGGAACTTAAAGTGGCATTAAAGTGTATTTTTTTAAAAAACAGATACAAATAATATTACCTATAAGTATTATCTTTTTTTCTTACTTGTATTATCTTTGTATACTTATTTGTTACAGTGAAATAAGCATCCCTTTAAATGCTGTGCAGTACAAGTGAACAAATGAACTAGTAAGGTGTATAATAAAGTGAAATGTCTGCTTGTTTATCTTCTACTACTGACACAAATGAGAGAAGGCTATTGCAGATTTGATACTGTTTGGCCTGGTTGCTGTCCTTGAGTAGTGCTCAATTAGTCTCCCTTTGTGATCTCCAGAGTGGGTAGATTGTACCAGAGACTGAAACAGTAAAGTTTTGAAAACAACAAAGTAAAACCTCTGTGAGCTATCTCTCCCCTATTGTCTATCAAACTTTTTATAGAACTGTGTTATGAATGGGTTAAAGCATACTTGTGCTAGAAGAAATACAGAGACTGTTGAGATTGACTCTTTATGTAAAATGCTAGTTTTCTGGTACCTGTTCTTTGACATCAGTGTCTCCTGAGTCACAGACATAGAATAGTATACAAAAAGTCACAATTCCTGATTCTTATACCAGTTTCTGGTTAGTGCCTCGGAAAGTGTTGAAAGTGATAGATCAGCATGGCAGCCAGGCAGCTTGCACTTGCAGAAGGTTAAGTCAGCAGACTTTGTATACATTAAAGCTCTTGTCTGGGCACAATTCAGCAATAATATATGAAAAGGCTCGCCTACTTGTATGGTGTCCTCATTTGGTAGATCTGATCCTCCATTGTGCAGCAATCCTTCCTCAAAATTTGCTAATGAGATTCCTGTGAAGAAGACTTATCACCCCTGCATGTGCTCTTGTATGCTGGGCAGGGCCTAGACAAGGTGTGGGCTGGAGGGGCAGTTGCCTCAGGCGCAGTGAAGCAAGGAAGCAAAGAATAGACACAGGATGGTAAACCAATTCTACAGCATATGGGGAAGGGGGTGCAGTTCTGGATCCTTGCCCTGGGTGCTGGACAACCCTGTCCAAGTACTGACGCTGAGAGATCAGTGTACTTGGTGCCCACTTTTAATGTAGGCAACACAAATGCCATAAAGTTGTTTGATTCAGTAGAAATATACAGTGCTCAGCATAAATGAGTACAACCTAATAGATTTGTCAGAAAACCTTTCACTTTCCTTTCCGAATCAACATTTTCTGTGGGACACTATACTACGAAATACTCCCACAAATGCGGGCCATGGATTGTAAACAAGATTTGTTAATTTGCACACACAAGAAAGTATTTTTCCTAACAAATTCATTCAAGACCATGTTGCAAAAATGAATACACCCCAATGAAAGTCTTAGGAGAAAAGCTAAATTTTACACAACAAAATCCTAATTAACAAGAATTCAACTACAGGTGAGTCTAATTCTTCATTAAACAGGTGTCCAGCAGACAGTTGATTATAAAAGGGTGTTACTTAACAAAGAAAACCCCTTCCCATTTCATGCTGTCAGCAATGGCACCACATGGAAGAGAAATGTCACAAGGCCTGAGAAAGAAAATAAGTTCTTGACACAAGAAAGGTGAAGGCTACAAGAAGATCAGCAAAGCTTTTCTTATCAATCAGAATACTGTAGCAAAAGTAATACAAACATTTAACAAAGCTGGAAATGCAGCCATCTCACTGAGATGTCCAGGCCATCCATGAAAGTTAACACTTTTACAGGAGCGTCCTCTGACGAGAAGGGTTGAAGAAAATAGCCATACAAGTTCACTGCAGTTAGCTAAAGAAGTAGAAAGTAAAACTGGGATGATTGTTTACTGTGACACAATACAGCGTACACTGCAGAGGAATAACATGCATGGGTGTTGTCCATGAAGGAAGCCTCTCCTAAAGCCCATGCACAAAAAAGCCCGCCTAGAAATTTTCCAGGGCCCATGTTGAAAAAGAAGAAGACTACTGGGACTTTTTAGTGATGAGAAAAGAGATATGTTTTTGGAATGTGAAACATGGTGGTGGCAGTGTTCTTCTGTGGTGCTGCATGAGTGCTGTTGGTGTCAGGGAGCTGCATTTCATTGATGGTATCATGAATTCACAGATGTACTGTTCTATATTGAAAGAGAAAATGCTACCATCACTCCATGCCCTTAGTCGTGGTGCACTTTTCCAACATGACAATGATCCAAAACACACATCTAAGGCCACTGTTGCATTTCTGAAGAAGAACAGGGGTGAAAGTGATTCAGTGGCTAAGTATGTCTCCTGATCTGAACCCAATCAAACACCTATGGGGAATTCTGAAGAGACAAGTTGAGCATCACTCACCATTCAGTACCTAGGCTCTAATAGAGGTCATTCTTGAAGAATGGAAAATTATAGATGTTGCAATATGTTGCCAGCTTGTTCATTCCATGCATAGAAGACTTGGTGCTGTCCTTACAAATCATGGAGGTCATACAAAATACTAGATGTAGTAGTTTTTGTTGTGGGGTGTATTAATTTTCACATCAACTAATTTGAATAAAACTGAAGATTTTGTAATCTGAGTTATACTATTAACCTTGCTTTCATGTAATGAGCTAAAACAAACGTTCTATAAAACTCAGTTTTGTAAAAAGTTTGGAAATTGTTCTTGTGCTCATTGAGATATTGATTAAAATCTTACTTTTAAAAAGGGGTGTACTCATTTATGCTGAACACTGCATATTCTTAATGTCATAATGCCTCTCCTCTACCAGCACTAACTGCTGCTATACTGAACTAGCTCACCCCGATTGTATGAAGGACCTGTGGATGGCCCTCAGGTTGCAGCCCTCAATTACATAAAAAAGAAATGCCATTGCTTTAAAATGTGTTGCCCTTTTTTTGCCATAGGGTATTCCAGGTCCCAAAGGCCAGAAAGGCGAACCGTCCTATATACAAGGTGTGGAATTAAAGGACCTAAGGTAAGATAAACCCTAGATACCTACCAACTCTAGCATCAAGCTGTTGACAAGATAGCTTAAAAAGGCACTTCTAGTATTTTATATAGTTTTTTTAGTATATTCATGCATATTTATTTTTTGCCACAAAAATATGAAATCCTGCATGTAAATGTTTCTTAATTACCTACTGCAGCCAGCAAATGGAGCAACTCCTTTCACTGTTACATCGATATAATGTTATTACTTTGCTGAGAACATTTTGTGGTGTTTGTTGAGCTTAATAGGTGCAATTCAAATTACACATAGAGCTGAATGAGGACATGTATTCCTCTCCTCCTACTCTGTTCATACGACTTAGCATTTGCTCCTTTTATGACTTTTAGGCAGGGCTCTTTTTTCTTAGGGAATAGGTGCAGGAACTCTCCTTTTCCAAATCACCCTGTCTCCACCACGCATCATCGCTGCATTCCACCCCTTACCTACCTCCCAGTACCACCCTTTTAGAGAATAAGAAATGTGTATGGAATTTGTAATGATAAAAAGAAAAGCAGTAAAATAGATCCCCTACAGCCAGCAACAATGAACCACCTGTAAGAAAATACCCCTCCCCCAGCAACAATAGTCCCCTGACAGCGTCAACAGATCTCCCCACAGCCAGCATCAATAGATCCTCCAGCAGCTAGCAACGATAGACCCTCCCTCAACAGTAGATCCCTTCAAGCACCAATTGACCTCACAGCAACATAAGACCCCCACAGCAACATCAGATCCCCCATTATCAACAGTAGACCTCACCAGCATCATTAGATAGTCCCCCCCTGCAAAAATAGTTCCCCTCCAGCGACAGTAGATCCCCAGTAGCCAGCATCAATGGACCCTGCAGTACACCCCACCGCCCCTTGCGATTACATACATTCAGTGCTTGGTGTGCCAGAACTGTGTTCCCTAGCATTCCTGCTGAAAAAAAGCCCTGTTTTTGGGTATTGTTACCAGTGCTGACTTCGAATGCATTTTTTTTAAAATTAACACCCAACTAAGCGACCTTGGAGCTACCACCATCCAGCCTGTGCTATCATACACCAATCCCTACAAAAGTGCCAGAGTTCCTAGACTGGTAAATTTGCTACCCTCTGTAAAGTAACAATACCATGCTTTGTCTTAGATTGTCTTTGTGACACATGCAGAGTATTCCTCTTTAAGGAAGGTAAACCCAAATATGAATTGGTTACAATGACTTCTGTACTTCTGTGGTTAACAAATTTACAGTATATACCACTAAAACTAGGTGTAGAGTTTGAGGGTAGCCCAAGTAGCCTCTAGAACCCAAGCCCTCAAAGATCCAGTATTGTGCAATGTCATATGGCAATGTTTTATTTACAACCTTACTGTTATACTTGTATCATTTCAGGGAGATGATGGAGGAAACGGCGCTGATGGGCTTCCTGTATGTATATATTTGGTTTAGTTGATTTAGTACACTGAAATTATATTATCTTTTTAATGTTTTGTTCTTTATTACTTAATTGAGCAATAAAAATCTTATATAAATTGATTATTTTAGTAACACTCTTTAATTGAGACGTGATTTGTACTGTGTTTGTGTAACTATTACATTATTATAGGGACCACGTGGACCACCTGGACCCGCTGGACTGACAGGCCCAGCTGGACTACCAGGATTACAAGTAAGTAGTATTTTTATAAAATTACATTTTTGAAAACAAAAGCCATTTTGATAGTAGTTGCCATTTTGCAAGATAGGTCATATGATAGTTAAGGACATGGATGTGATAGCATGCCTTGAGATGTGACTCTGGCATGTGTTAAAGCAAAAATGTGGGCATAAGGAGCTTACTGAATGGTTGGGCTACCTTTAATTTTGTCACCAAAAGGAAAGAATGGGAAGCGGTGTCTGTTTTAACATCCTGCTTGGTGAATCAGGCTCTTAAACCAATAAATGCTTTTACATTATTTGAATGGTAAGAGGGAGTAGACCACAGGAAGAGGTGGTGGTGATGATTCACTTGCAGGCATGTTGATAAGATACATCATAGGTCTTAGTTAAAAGGATAAGTGAGGTGTACATCATTCTAAATCAGTTTTTGGCTTTCAATAGTCAGGACATGGAATATAGATTGTGTCTGACTGCTATGAGCTACTACACTCTGAACATTGCTAAATGATGTATTAAAAATAATTTTTCTAATGTAAAATATGAATCTGAATGGCCATATTATATTGAACATTTTACCATGTGCAACCACTAGTTGGTTTGACATAATAAAAACTGAGGACTTGCCTACACTCTCTATAAAATTGGTTACTGGCAGGTGTTTATACCCCAGCCACCTGGTCTTCTAGTTTAGACTGAACTGCACTTTTGCCTGCCTTCATATTGCTTCCTATTGCATACATGACAGACCATTGACTTACATTGCCATAGTACCAATCTGAGTGTGGTGTGGACCAGTGCATCTCAGCTCTTCTGCCCAGTGCTCAAAAACATTATATTGCTAAAAGTGTTGGGATGCCTGCCTTTACACGCACATAAACTTTAATGGCATCCCAGTCTTAGTCCGTAGGGTTCAATATTGAGTTGGCCCACCCTTTGCAGCTATAACAGCTTCAACTCTTCTGGGAAAACTGTCCACAAGGTTTAGGAGTGTGTCTATGGGAATGTTTGACCATTCTTCCAGAAGAGCATTTGTGAGGTCAGGTACTTATGTTGGACGAAAAGGCCTGGCTCGCAGTCTCCACTCTAATTCATCCCAAAGGTGTTCTATTGGGTTGAGGTCAGGACTCTGTGCAGGCCAGTAAATTTCCTCCACCCCAATCTCGCTCATTCATGTCTTTATGGATCTTGCTTTGTGCACTGGTGCGCAGTCACGTTGCAACAGGAAGGGACCATCCCCAAACTATTCCCTCAAAGTTGGGAGAATGAATTTGTCCAATATATCTTGGTATGCTGATGCTTTAATAGTTTCTTTCACTGGAACTAAGGGGCCAAGCCCAATCTCAACTCCTGAAAAACAACCCCACACCATAATCTCCCCTCCACCAAACATTACACTTGGCATAATGCAGTCAGGGAAGTACCGTTCTCCTGGTGTCAGGGCAGGGCTGTGGAACGGACAGGTAGGCCTAGTGGCAGGGTAACGCACTGGCTGACGACAACCACCACCAACAGACTGAAGTCCCTCAGGGCGCGGAGTCTAAGTCCCAGGCTGCCCTTCACCAGGGCCCCTGATGGTGGGGATGGACTTGACGCAACCAGGGACCAGGTCGCGGCCCCCGAGACACCCCAGCTGCGGTAATGGCCGCCGCCAATGGCGTGTAGTTGGTGAGAATGACAATAGCGTAGTCAGACAAGCCGGGTCAATAACAACGGGACAAAACAGTACAGAACAGTAGACAGAGAATCACAGGTCACGGGCCGGGTTCAGCAACAGAAGGTCAGATCAAAGGGAAACGCAGAGAATGGTCTTAGTCACAAGCCGAGTCAGAATACCAGAAGAGTCACGAGCGTATACACAGAGCTGTAGCAAGACAAAGACACAAGACACAAGTGCAAAGAGCATGTGCAGATCCCAGGCTTATATGTACTCAGCCACACCCCTCTGGGGGATGGACCTCAGAGACCTGAAGGCATAAAAGATTCCCATCATGCTCAGCAGAAATCCAAGATGGATGCTAGCACATGGGAGTAACATAACCTCTGGGAAAAGGTAGGACCTTGACAGTACCTCCTCCTCAAGGGCCCCTCCCCCGCGGCTCAACAAAAGGTTTCCGAGGAAAGCGGGTATGAAACGCGCGGAGGAGGGCAGGAGCATGGACATCCGCGGAAGGAACCCAGGAACGCTCCTCGGGACCATAACCGCGCCAATGAACCAGGAACTGTAATCGGCCGCGCACCAATCGAGAGTCCAGGATCCGGCTCACCTCATACTCCTCATGACCGTCAACCCGAATGGGACGGGGCCGAGGCAGAGAGGTAGTGAAGCGATTGCAGATCAGAGGTTTCAACAGTGATACATGAAAGATATTGGAGATCCGCATCCCAGGTGGAAGGGCAAGGGCATAGGCCACCGGATTCACCTTGCGGAGAATGCGAAAAGGACCGACAAAACGGGGAGCTAGTTTGGGTGTGGGCACCCGAAGATTGAGGTTACGAGTAGACAACCACACCCGATCGCCGACCTGGTATGAAGGAGCGGGCAACCGTCTGCGATCAGCCTGGAACTTCTGACGCTGAGCCGAGTCCCTCAAAGCCCTCTGGATCTGCCCCCATGAAGAACGCAGGGCAGCAAGATGGTTCTCCACAGCCGGAATGTCCTGTGGTGAGAACCTCTCAGGTAATACCGCGGGTTGGTACCCATAGTTGGCCATGAAGGGGGACATCCCGGAGGAGGAGTTGACCGCTGAGTTCCTGGCAAACTCAGCCCAAGGCAGGAGATCGGCCCAATCGTCCTGATGGTCCGAGATATAACACCGAAGGAATTGTTCTAAGGCCTGATTGGAACGCTCCGCAGCCCCATTGGACTGCGGGTGGTAGGCTGAAGAAAAGGAGAGACTAATGCCCAACTGGGAGCAGAAGGCGCGCCAGAATCTGGACACGAACTGACTCCCGCGGTCCGAGACAATCACCTTGGGCAACCCATGCAGGCGAAAAATCTCCCTGGAAAAGACCGTGGCCAGTTCTTGCGCTGTTGGTAATTTCCTGAGTGGAATACAATGGCACATTTTGGAAAAACGATCGACGACCATGAGGATGACCGTATGACCCCGAGACACAGGGAGGTCTACAATAAAGTCCATGCCCAGGTGTGACCAAGGACGCTCCCCATTGGGAATGGGTTGCAGAAGACCCATTGGAAGATGCCGTGGAGATTTATTCTGGGCACAGATCGAACATGCCGCTACATAAGAGGCGATGTCGGTACGGAGAGTTGGCCACCAGAACAACCGAGAGACGACCCAAGACAACTGGTTCCTCCCCGGATGCCCGGCAGTTTTGGAGTTATGGTAGGTACGCAGCAGACGGGTGCGCAACCCCTCGGGTACAAAACATCTACCCTCCGGTCTCTCGGGAGGAGCGTCAGTTTGAGCCGCCAAAATCTGCTCCCCAAGGGGAGAAGTCAGACTGGTACGAATGGCAGCCAGGATATGATCCGGAGGTATGACCGAGGTTGGCTCAGAGTCCTCCCTGGACAACTCAGAGTATTGCCGCGATAATGCATCAGCCCTGACATTCTTGGAACCAGGCAAATAGGAGACCACATAGTTGAACCGCGACAAGAACAAGGCCCATCTGGCTTGACGGGGTGTCAATCTTTTGGCCTCCGAAAGATAAGTCAGGTTCTTATGATCGGTAAGAATGAGGACCGGAACTGCGGAGCCCTCGAGCAGGTGCCTCCATTCCTTGAGAGCCAGAATGATTGCCAACAACTCCCTATCTCCAATCTGGTAGTTGCACTCTGCAGAGGAAAGCTTCCTGGAGTAGAACCCACAGGGAAGTAGGGGTCCATCGGGCGACCGACGTTGAGACAGGAGAGCGCCTACTCCTGTCTCGGATGCATCAACCTCAAGGACGAAGGGCAATCCAGGATTGGGATGAGACAGTATCGGAGCCGAAGCGAAGGCGGATTTCAGAGCCTCAAAAGCTACGATGGCCTCGGATGGCCACTCGTGAGGATTGCTGCCCTTCTTGGTTAGGTCTGAGAGAGGTTTTGCCAGCGTGGAGAAATTTCTGATGAATTTCCGATAGTAGTTGGCAAAACCTAAAAAGCGCTGAATGGGCCGAAGGCCATTGGGACGAGGCCACTGCAGAACTGCCGAAACCTTCTGAGGGTCCATGGAGAATCCCTCCGCAGAAATGATGTAGCCTAAAAAGGCAACTTGGGATCGATGGAATTCGCACTTCTCAAGTTTACAAAAAAGTTCGTTCTCACGTAATCGTTGCAGCACCTGCTTGACATCCTGGATATGGGACTCCATGGAGGCAGAGTAAACCAGGATGTCATCCAAGTAAACTACCACGCACTGCTGCAACAAGTCACGAAGGACATCATTTATGAATTCCTGAAAAACTGCGGGCGCGTTACACAACCCGAAGGGCATCACCAGGTATTCGTAGTGACCGGTTCTGGTGTTAAACGCGGTCTTCCACTCATCCCCCTGTTTGATCCGTACGAGGTTGTACGCCGCCCTAAGGTCAAGTTTTGGTAAAGACTGTTGCCCCCTTAAGGCGGTCGAACAACTCAGTAATCAAGGGTAGGCATTCTTAGTGGTGATTCGATTGAGACCCCTATAATCGATGCAAGGCCTCAATTCACCACCCTTCTTCTTTACAAAGAAAAAGCCCGCTCCTGCTGGGGAAGTAGACTTACGAATGTGCCCCCGGGAAAGCGCATCCGCAACGTACTCCTCCATGGCCTTATTCTCCGCAACCGAGAGAGGATACACCCTGCCACGCGGAGGAGTGGCACCGGGTTGCAAGGATATGGCGCAGTCGTAAGGACGATGAGCAGGTAAGGCACCAGCGCGTACCTTATCAAACACGTCCTGGTACTCCCCATAATCAGTGGGCAACGCAGAGTCTGAGGAGGCACACAACACCTTAACCGGCCCACGGATGCACCCGGCCCCACACTGTGAAGACCACGAGAGAATCTCGGCAGTTTGCCAATTGAAGGTTGGATTGTGCATCTGGAGCCAGGGATACCCCAAAACCACCGAATAGTGCGGAGAAGAAATCACCTGGAAACAGGCCAACTCCCTGTGAACAGCCCCAATAGCTACCTCAACTGGCATAGTCTCGTGGGTAACCTGCGGTGGTTGCAGGGGCCTGCCATCTATCGCCTCGAGAACCAATGGGGTAACTCGAGCCTGCAGGGGAATGGAGTGCTGGGCAGCAAACGAGCTGTCCATAAACAACCCGCCAGCCCCAGAATCTACCAACGCCTGGGCCGTCACCGAGCCCTCCGCCCAAGAGAGGACAACGGTGATCAGTGGCTTATCTCTGCGGAACGCCGGGGACGAGGAGACTCCACCCAAGATCTGTCCCCGACAGGATCTCAGGTGCGAGCGTTTCCCGGACGGACCGGACAGGACAGCCGAAAGTGCCCACCAAGACCACAGTACAGGCAGCGACCATCCCGACGCCGAGCGGCCCGCTCTCCCTCGGAAAGGCGAGCAAACCCCAGCTGCATGGGCCCACCACCAGACAATCTATCCCCAGGAGGCGTGGGAGGAGAGGGAGGAATGGGTGGGATAGAAAACGCAGGTGCCAGTCGATTGGAAGGCCTCCGCAGGCGTTCCTTGAGTGAAGGCCTCTCCCTGAGCCTGGTATCAATCAGGATCAGGAAGGAAATTAGTGCTTCCAGCTCCACAGGCAATTCCTTGGCTGCGATCTCGTCCTTCAATGCATCAGAAAGACCCTGAGAAAACGCAGCCACCAGAGCCTCATTGTTCCAACCCACCTCTGCTGCCAGGGTACGAAACTCTATGGCGTACTCGGCCACGGTCCGTGAACCCTGATGCATAGACATGAGCAGCTTGGCAGCCGAGGCGGAGCGAGCCGGTACATCGAATACCCTACGGAAGGCATCGACAAAACCGGAAAACTCGTGAATCACGGGGTCATTCCTCTCCCATAAGGGATTCGCCCAGGCCAAGGCCTTGTCTGAGAGTAGTGAGATGAGGAAACCCACCTTTGACCTCTCAGTCGGAAAAGCGTAGGGGATTAATTCAAAGTAAATCCCCACCTGGTTAAGGAACCCACGACACTGACTCGGCTCACCCCCAAAGCGCTGTGGAAGAGGGGCTGAACCGGTCATACCTCTGGACACCGCGGGTGCCGCATCAGCCGCGGCGGTAGGCACAGCAAGCGGAACAGCAGCGGGAGCGACCACCGGAGTGACAACCGGCCTAATAACACCAGGAGTAAGGTGCGCGGTGCGTGCCAGCAGAGTTTGCAACGCCTGAGCGAACTGATCCAACAGGAGATCCTGTTGATCCAGTCTGGCAACCAACATAGGAAGTGAAGGCGTACCTGCACCGTCAGGATTCATGGCACTTGTGTAATGTCAGGGCAGGGCTGTGGAACGGACAGGTAGGCCTAGTGGCAGGGTAACGCACTGGCTGACGACGACCACCACCAACAGACTGAAGTCCCTCAGGGCGCGGAGTCTAAGTCCCAGGCTGCCCTTCACCAGGGCCCCTGATGGTGGGGATGGACTTGACGCAACCAGGGACCAGGTCGCGGCCCCCGAGACACCCCAGCTGCGGTAATGGCCGCCGCCAATGGCGTGTAGTTGGTGAGAATGACAATAGCGTAGTCAGACAAGCCGGGTCAATAACAACGGGACAAAACAGTACAGAACAGTAGACAGAGAATCACAGGTCACGGGCGGGTTCAGCAACAGAAGGTCAGATCAAAGGGAAACGCAGAGAATGGTCTTAGTCACAAGCCGAGTCAGAATACCAGAAGAGTCACGAGCGTATACACAGAGCTGTAGCAAGACAAAGACACAAGACACAAGTGCAAAGAGCATGTGCAGATCCCAGGCTTATATGTACTCAGCCACACCCCTCTGGGGGATGGACCTCAGAGACCTGAAGGCATAAAAGATTCCCATCATGCTCAGCAGAAATCCAAGATGGATGCTAGCACATGGAGTAACATAACCTCTGGGAAAAGGTAGGACCTTGACACCTGGCAACTGCCAAACCCAGACACCTCCATTGGATTGCCAGACAGTGAAGCGTGATTTGTCACTCCAGAGAACATGTCTCCACTGCTCCAAAGTCCAGTGGCTTTACACCACTCCATTCGACGCTTCACATTGCACTTGGTGATGTAAGGCTTGGATGCAGCTGCTCGGCCATGGAAACCTATTCCATAAAGCTCTCTATGCACTGTTATTGTGCTAATCTGAAGGCCACATGAAGTTTGGAGGTCTTTAGCTATTGACTCTACAGACAGTTGGTGACTTCTGCGCACTGTGCGCTTCAGCATGCACTGACCCAACTCTGTAATTTTACGTTACCTACCACTTTGTGGCTGAGTTGATGTTGTTCCCAGTTTCTTCCACTTTGTTAGACCATTGACAATTGACCGTGGAATATTTAGTAGCAAGGAAATTTCATGGATGGACTTATTGCACAGGTGACAACCTATCATGGTACCATGCTTGAATTCACTGAGCTCCTGATAGAGACCCATTCTTTCACAAATGTTTGTAGGAGCAGTCTGCATGCCTAGGTGCTTGATTTTATATGCCTGTGGCTATTGAGGTGATTGGAAAACCTGAATTCAATTATTTGATTTGGGGGGGGGGGGCCCAATACTTTTGACCATATAGTGTAGTTGCAACCTGAAAGATTAAAATACCAAACATTGTTAATAGGTGTTAATGCATTCTGCAGGTTAACTTAAATGGGTCAAAAGTGCTTGGAATATATAGTAAATCCTGTCATACATGTTCTCATGTTCTTTCTGTATACCTAAAACAATTTTTAGAACATCTAATTTGATCAACTTTTTTTTTCTTTCAGGGTCCTCCCGGTCCACCTGGCTTTATAGGGCCAAAGGTAATATTTTCTCACTGTAATAAAAAAATCTTTTTTATTCTTTCATTTAAAACAAGCTTATCATAAATGTTTAAAGGGTTAGGTAATCTTTTTAGAAAAAAATTAAAAGGTAAGCTAACACCCTAAAGTTTCCCCGTCCCCGCTGTACTTACCTCTGTGGATGAGGAGCTACTGTACGTACCATTGCCCACGCAGCCAGTGTAGTAGTTTGATGCTCTGTGCCAGCGCTGGCCAATCTATCCCAGAAGCCCTGCATAGAGAAGAATGGGAAGTTCAATTTCCCTGACCACTGTACAGACTGTGTGGGCACTGACAGCTCATCACTGGCCTTTTCATTTTTTTATGAAAATGTGAACTTTAAATACCACTAACACATATTCATAAACCACAAGATTACATATCCTTTTCTAACAGATTATTACTCTTATAATTCATTTTGTGTCTCCTAATGTGTAGGGCAATATGGGAGTTGGTTATCAAGGAGAGGTGGGAGAGAAGGTATGTATTTTTCCATGCATTCTCCTTTATGAATATTTCTTATTGGGTAGTACAATGGCTAAGTGGTTAACACTTCTGCTTAGCACCAGTAGGGTTATTGGTTCAATTCCCAACAATGGCACTACCTGCATGGAGTTTGCATGTTCTCCCTGTGCCTGTGTGGGTTTCCCCTGGGTACTCCGGTTTCCTCCCCCAACCAAAAGACATGCTGGTAGGTTAATTGGCTTAACTGGCCCTAGTATGTATAAATGTGAGTTAGGGATATTAGATTGTAAACTCCTTGAGGGCAAGGACTGATGTGAATGTATAATATATATGTAAATTGATAGTGCTAAATAAGTACCTGTAATAATAAATATTGTGTCCTGAATGTTTTATATATAATACTAAAAGTGACATGTCAATAATCTGTCATGTTCACATAATCATGTTATACACTGAGTGCAGTTTATTAAACTAATGATCTGTGTTCAGTATTTGAAAACCAGCCTATTGAAGTTCTATACAGGCAAAGAATAAATTACTTTCAACCCAGTTCGAAGCTTAGCATTCACCTCCCATCCTCCCCTTGTCAATTCCACCATTGGAAAAAATCCCAAATTTTAATACAAAATACCTGCATACTTCCTTTTTTCCATTGGTATTCTGGTTGGATTTCTGATGTCACAAGTTCTCTTCATCCTCCTGCTCCCTCAGGGGTGGGTGAATTTCTATTTCAATCTTTAGCATGGTAATGTAATTTCAAAAGATGATCAATATTTAAAAATTGCAGCTGCCAATAAAATAATACTGGATGTTCTTGCCATGAAAGTTCTTATTATTATGGGGTGACAACCCTGTCTCTCAGTCTTTTGAGTCCAAAAATACTGTTTGATGATATAGCAAATGGCATAGTCCACAGGGAAGACATTCATTCACAGGCCTGCCATTTAAAGTGCAATTTAGCCAGAATAGTTTTCTCTTTAGTGTTCCAACGAAGTAGCTCCCATATGAAAGTTTCATTTGTTTCACAGTTTAACACTTGCTTTATAGGAAAACTCTGTTTTTTTATTAGGTAATAAAAGGCATCTGTCTCTGGAGATGGTTATTGAGTTTGTACACAGGCATCTGCTATTTGATTTAAGACATTTTTTTACAAGTTTTAAATTGAGTAGGAACGAGTTAGTCACCCCAGCAGAGCAAAATGTCGATCTCTGCTTGTGTGACACATATCGGTAAACACTTCTCTACCTGTGGGTCACCCAAAATTGATGTCAACCCCGGTGGAAGGTGGGGAATTTAGATTTTTGTAGCAAATCTGTGTGTTTTTTGGAAGGGGAGAGGTCATCACAGATGTTTAAATCTACAGTTGTGATTTTGTGCTGCTCACCCTAGATAAAACTCAACCTGAACTCATCAGGCTGGGCTGCGCTAGCCTTTCCTAAGTCCACTCATTGAGGACACATACTGTTCTCTAGTTTTGGCTTGCTGCAGTCCCCAGGTAACAGTTTCACTTAAATTAGACCAGTATAGCTGTGAATTTCAGTGTGTCGCCCCGTTTCATTTTCAGGCTGATGCATCTGTACAATGGGCTGGTCATTAGAGACTTAACAAGGCTAGGGACACCAAAACCAGAGTGATGGGCAGAGTTTTGCTGCGTATGACCTTTCCAACAATTACAGGGAGCACGTCCAGCAGATCCCTGCAGGAAGCAGTTAAACAGACCATATAAATTAACTGATTTGTCTATCCAGCTCATTGGATGTCTGCAAACAGAATGAAGTTTAGCAAGGTTTTGGAGGGAGTTACTGAGTACCAGCTCACAGAGGGTCAAGAATCGTGCACACAAAATAAACTTTGAGGAGAATACCCAAATGCAAGGAAATAAAACAAAAAAATAAAAAAAAAGATTTTTGCTTGTACATGATTGTATGATTGAAAGTGGTGTAAACTATCACACTAGCCCCCCCATTGGTAGAGGCCATGGGGGGCCAAGGCATAGATTGAGTGAAAGAAGTTACAGCAGGCTGTCCTTGGAGGACATAGAGCCAAATCAGAATACTTAATTCCTATGTCTACTTCTTTGCGGTGTGATTGTTATAGTAGTGTAAGGCTGTGTTTGTAGTGTTAGATCCACTTGAGGTCATATGGCATTAAACTCAATTCACAAAGCTAACACTCCAGGATAACAAACCTTATTAAAAAAAAGAAAAGCTGACACTTAAAATTACAGTCACATGTTTGAAAATAAAGGTCCTTATCCTTGTGTGATAGCATTGTAAATTGAGTCTGTTATGTTAATGCTGTAAGCCATCGGATGGAGCCTATGCAGAAGTCACTGCACCAAAAAACTGATGAAAGCGTAACAGTACCACTCACCCCACCCATTAAATTATAATTTATTTGCAGTTATTTCTACTGGTGCTTAATTAGCAAAGAAGTAAAGAGCCAATGTTTAGTAGATTATAGCAACCAATCAGACCAGTAAAATCAGAAAAGTTGTTATGAGTTAATGTGACTAGTACATTGATATTTTCCCTTTTTTATTAGGCCTATATGATTGAAAGAGAAGAAAAAGAATTTGTGAAGCCAATGATAGATTCACTTTATTGATTATAGTTATTGGGTGTTTTCCTAAAAAAAGATGAATATCACATTAACATAAAAGTATGCTCTCAGCACATAAATCTTCTTCAATTAGATACAATATGAAATGCTGTATTTCTTACAGGGAGACACCGGTCGTCAGGGTGACCCCGGACCTCCAGCATCCAGTGGAATGGAATTCTCAACCTTCCTAAAAGGAATCCCAGGAGAACAGGTATATGATCATCCTGTGTATCAGATTTAAGTGTGACTTATTGACTGGGTGAAAATATCACATGTAACTTCAACAACATCAGAACAGTCTTTCAAATGCAGTTTGATGCAGGACTAAACCTTAATACCCCTTTCGCACTGATGCCCTTTTGCTGCACTTAAAATGCCGTTGGAAAATACATCAAATACATAAGAAAAATATTTCCCTTCTATGGAGCTCTTCATATTTGTGTGCTGCGGGTGCTGTGCATTTTGAAAAGTCCTTCATACTGCATTTTTGGTGCTCCATTTTAAAGTGCATCAAAACGCATCTCCCATTAATTGCTATAGGAAACAAATCAAAAATGCATCACCCAAGGTGTGTTTTTTGAGTAACATGTCCAGGTTTCATGGGTTGGGAGATTAGGATCCAGACAATGCACCAAAAAGCATTGCAAAACGTCACTTGACATGTTACCATTTTTACATACCACTATATTTCTGATGTAGTAATATTTTTGTGCATGTTTGGAAATGTTCTCATGTTGCTAGCTGCTTAATTTTCCAGCTTGTAATTGACTACTTAAGAATGCTACTAACAAACCATTAAAGTGTTACTAAACCCACAACAGAAAAAACAGTCTGTATATGCAGTAAAGCATGCTTGTTATGCTCACTGTGGAACCTAAAGGGTTGATCCTCTGCATTGTGTAAAAACACTGTTTGATCCTGAATTCTCTGATCCTCCCCTTCTTCCAGTGCCCCCTCTTATCTCCTGATAAGACATATTGTGTGAAGTCACTCTGCAGATGTTCAGATTGATGTGTATTGCTAGAGAGGTTGTTTTTTTTCTTGGGAGAGTGCATGTGATCAGCACAGGGCCAATCAGCGTTGTTCAGACAGAGGTCAGGGGTTCTGCTTCCACTTAGAGCAAAATGAAAACTCCCCCTACAAGCTTTAACCAGTGATTTGCTTGACACTGATATAAGTCACAAGACTGCTCTAACTGCTGATGAGAAAAGGTATTTAGCAGTTTGTATTTACTAAAATAATTGCACTTCCATGTTCTGTGTACTGTGGGAGACCAGATATAGTGAATGCAGGGTCCTGGGTTTAGTAACACTTTAAAGTAGAGCTTTTTATCCTAATTTTTGTATAGAGCAAGGGAGGGCCATAATCCCTGTCAGTTTTCTCTTTTTTTTTCCATCTGCAATCCATTGGACAGATTTCCCCTCTCTTCTAATCACATTCACAAGAGGAAGTGTGAGGAAATCCCTCCAAAGTGAGGGAATCTCTGGTTCTCACCAGAACTAGGGTCCCCATTGAACAAGTTTCCCTCTATTCCTTTTCTGGTGACAGTGCAGAATTTGGGATTTCACTTTTTACCTCTTGGTGACATCAGTAAACAGGATAAATAGAGAGGGTGAATGTACCTAATGGGATCCAGACAGCATTAAAAACTGGCAGCTGTTCTAATCCCTCTCCACCCTCCCCAAAACTAAAAAAAAAGTAGTGCTTTCAGGTATATTTTAAATGTATTTTTATTCATGTCAGCTCACAACTAGCATCATTTGTTAACATTTTCATCAATGTACACATCACTTTCAGTAAAAGTCATGCAGGTGTTTGGAAATTCTTTAGACTGCTGTTAAGTACATCATGAATGCTATTACACCCTTGTGCCAACTTGCCTAAACCTTCAGACAAAAAAACAACGCTGCAACTGTCATCACCCATGGCAGTGGTTTGTCTCAATCCTGATCATTATCATTTTTACTTGACAACTTGATCAGCATATAAAAAATATAAATAAAGTTATGTGGATTATAAAAAGAGAATCAACAAACAAAATGTCATCATTTGAGTCCATTAACAATATTCATTTGTCAGAGTATATATATATTTTTTTATTAACAGTGTTTAAAGATGCAATCCAGATGCAATGTCCACTTATTCATTGACCCACCCTCATTTATGATTTGCTGATTACAGCTCTAGAAATACAATGGTCCATCTACTGATATTATTGTTCTTACAATGTTTTATTATTTATTTATTAAATGTTACAGTAGAAGTATCATGTTGCCACATAGCTTTAACAGATGTATTTGTTTATTTAATGCAATAATAACCATTCAATTAAATATGCCTACATAGGGAGAAAGAGGCGACCTCGGATATCCTGGAATATCTGGACTGCCTGGGCCAGTTGTAAGTCCTTGCTAAAATTATTGCCTAATATTTAATGATAGGTGTTACTGGGATTATGGCATCATTTTGCCGTACTGCTTATAAATAACTATTTTATTTTTATAGGGATACAATGGACAAGGAGAGAAAGGGGAGAAAGGCATTCCTGGTCTTCCGGGTGCAAGGGTAAGTTCATTTGTATAGTTTCCAAAGTAGAGGCAGTAAGCTAAGGCAAACCTAAAGAGGGTGCAGGGGATACCACAGTTCCTGTTCCATTGAAGTCAAGCAACCCACCATAGCTAAAATCCACATTTACCAACATTGTATTTGCATATCTGTATAGAATAAGACAACGCATTTCTAAAGCCGGACATAGATGGTTCAAATCTCAGTCGGTTCAGCAGGGACTTGGTGAGATACAATCCATAAATGGGCAGGCTGGTTGTATTGAAGTCAATCCATCTATCAACTTCATAACAACCAGCCTGTTGGATTTTTCCCATGCGATTACTGCTGGCAGCTGTAATCCCCTAGCAGTAATCATTGTATTCTGCCAGCAGGGAAGACTTCCTGCTGGTAGAACACAATAGTGCTGGGGGGGGGGGGATTCCACCATCAACACTGAACCCTTGGTTGCAGGAAAGAAAATTGCATCATCCATGGCTTGCTTTACTTTCACATCTTTTTACACTCCTACACCTGCTGCTTAAACCTCTGCTATAAATGTGTTTTTTTCAGCTACTATAAAAGTAAATTAGACTTATGTGGATTTTGAAGGAAATGTTTAATATTCTATGTATATTTTGTTTACTGTATGCTCATGTCTGCATTGTTGTAATTTATTTGATTCACTTGAATGGGAAACAGTTCATATAATTAATTCATCTCAAGCCTATTCTGCTGCTTGAAGGTTTTTTTTCACAGTGATTTACTGTTATGCTGTGAATAGGTTTGTTGTGAACAGACTTGCAGAGCAGGAGATCAGATGAGACCTACATGGCTGAATGAGTTGGAGAAGGGACATACCCATCTCCCTCTCTGCTAGCAGATATGGACCTGTCTGATTTTTCTTTCAGCCCTCTATTAGTCCCATATTGTCATAATAACAACCGTAATGACACTAATAAGTATCTTTGAGGCTTAGCAATAGTAACTCAATCCATGTATTTAATGTGATACATTGTTAAATGAAAGCAAGTGCATCTAGCTAGCTATCTACAAATGCTGGATGTTTTAATTCTCCGGTGACTTTTTAATGTCTTTCATGATTTGAGTGTAGTGATCAATTCACTTGATGAGGTCAAATTTAGAAAAACTCAACAGGGAGAGTAAGACTCCTTGTAATAGCCACAGGTGGGATGATGGAATTCAGGGGCAGAGACATCCCTGACAGAATTGTGGAAAAAAAATACAATATTTGGCTCATGAAAGATTCAAGATATACATTTTGTACGGCCAGATCTTTTAAAACATTTCTGACTTTGTACCAAATCACTGTAATATTAAACATTCATAATATAGTATACAATATGTACTCTTCTCACTCTTTGGATAGTAATGCTGTGAATGTTTCTTTTAGGGCTTTCCTGGATCAGATGGATTTAGTGGATCCCCTGGTGATAAGGTATTGTTAGGAAAACCAATGTGGCAATGTGCAATGAGCAGGGGCGGACTGGCAACTCATGGGCCCCCGGGCAATAGGGGATCATGGGGCCCCTGTGTCCTTGCCCAAACTCAAAAAAGTCTATGAAAAAGGTACCAGGAGCATCTCATGGGGCCCTCTACTGACCCCAGGCCCTCGGGCAGTGCCCGAGTTTCCATATGGTCAGTCCGCCCCGGCAAGGAGTTTAGATAAAGTAAGAAATGCAGTCAGTTCACAGTGAGCAGCGATCTGTGTTTAGCATTCAGTAGGTGGTACGTACTGGAAGTGCCCCTACTTAAAGTATAAGTTCACCTTTGGAACATGTTACATGTTCCACCTGTTTTTAGGGTGCAACATGTGACATGTTCCCATAGCCTGAGCCTCGCCCACTGCCCCCCCTCCCTCTGATGGATAGAACGGGGAGAAGTTTCCTTGTACTATCTGTCAGATTTGAAAAAACAGCGCGGCAGTGCGGGGCTCCGCCCACACGGCCGCGGCACTTGAGTTCTGTGAATGAGTGCATACAAGTCCAGACAGCTTTAGTGACTGTCAGCTTGTAGTTTTCAGTGAACTACCACAGTGCTGTGAAGTGCCGTGGTAGTTAATTGAAGCTTCCTGTCAGTATATCTGCTTACTTGTACATCCCCTACGGCAAGCCGTTATTCTGACAGGTCTGCAGGAGACCTGCATGGCATCAGCGATCGACAGATCGCTGGTGCAATGCTTTACAGGCTCCTGTAGACAAAAATAAAAATTGCACATTTTTTTACTTGCAAACTTGCATTTTTGTCCAAAAGGTGAACTTTAATCCTTTAATGAATCTATAGGCATATAGGATGGTGCTACTATTTCTGATCTTGGTACACACAGATACTCTGTGAAATAATTTGCTGCCATGGGCTATACCTCTTTTTTACCATCAAAATTGATGCAAAAATTGCACACTACTTTCTACATATATATAATGATCATCTCCTTAAAGTGATATTAAACAGTCAGTTTTTAGGTACTTTAAGAAGCCTATCCTGTATAATAACATACTGTCTTCCAGTTTAAGCTGGTGCCATGACCACTGCCCCAGGTTTCCTGTTTTGGGGTGGCTCCTTTCTTTTACAGCGTCCAATAGAGCTACCCTTGCATGCAGGGAGTAGAGCTGTGTCTCCCTACAGTGTGTGCATCAATAGAAACACACAGCCCCATAGCCTAAGATGGCAAGGCACTCCCCTGCTTTTCCTCCCCCCTCCCCACATATTCCCTTACACTGCCCACTGTAGCCTCTTTCCTGTGAAGACCGAATGTGCAGGAAAGCAACACTAAGAGTACAGGAGCCAGCTGCACTGAAAGTTGTAAACTGCAGGTGTTGGGGTAAGAAATGTAACAAACAGTTTACTGGGAATGCTTAATGTTTTGTAGTCAGCGTGTTAAGCTACAAAATGCTGAAGATGTATTACTACCTTTACCTTTTGCTTGGATTAAGCCAAACTCCAGTCACTTTGTGTTGCACAGAACAAGGAAGAGTCAAAACCCAATTGAATTTTCCATCTAAATTATCTGAATAACGCGCAATAAAGAAAAAGTAATCAGCGTCTTACAGTTTGTTTTCTTAAAAGAAAATAAAACACAGCTATGGCCTGTTTCCTGCCTGATGCAGAATGGGACCCTTGCTCTCTATGGGGAAGCAATGATCACTGTGCAGAGGTCTGATAAACCCCCTGCTGAGTTAGTGCCAAGAACTATGGAGAGATCACTGCTTCCCACAGAGAGCATGGGTCCCACTTTACAGCTGCTGGCAGGACATAGGCTTTTCTACTCAAGCTCTGTCTCCTTTCTAATGAAAATGAACTGTAAAATATTAAACACCTTATGTTTTGATACACCTGGAATATATTAACCTGATCTGATGGTTCACTTTGCAGTTGTGAGACAGAAAAGCAGACATAGCATGTTGCCTTTACTAAAAATAATATTGGTAATATCAGCATCTGTATTCATAGTAGAATCACAGCTTTACTTTGGATCTTTACCTCTGTTTAGAACCATTGTTGCTTTACATCATTCATATGCCATAATGATGTGTTTCATAGGGGAAGACTGGCCCTCCTGGACTTACTGGGCTTGATGGATCCAAAGGAGTGAAGGTAATATATGATATGATTGTCCCACTATATACTCAGTTTTAGCATTATTATGAAAATGATTGATGTTCAGTTTTCACCAACATAGTGGGCAGTCATTATTCTTGAAAATGATGCCATCACTAGTGCAAATGTTTATGGTTGTTGGTCAATATTTGAACAAATGATCAGATGAATAGATCAAAGCACAAGATGGATTCCTCCCATGTTTACAGAGGATACTTTAAGACTCTTGTTACATTGTCAATGTTTTATTGTGAATCACAACACCTAGCAGGCGTCTTCAGAGTCCAGCCTGCTGTTGAGCACCCATGGATTCCTGAATCCCCCTCAGATATACAAAATGCAACCACCTTCTGCAGTCATTGGCTCTGGTCTTCTCCTCCCTGCACTTTACTGTCATGTCAGCACTGTGATAGGCCACCTCAGCCAACAAAATTGAAGTACAGGAAGATGGAAAGGGCATGTTCTGAAAATTAAACCAGATGTTTGAGTATACTCCTGCTGATAGGTTCATAACGCTCCCTTTACGGTAAACCTGAGAAAAATACGAAGACTGCCATTGCTGACTTGCCTGATGTTATACCAACCCTCTGTCTTCAGTTCCTTCTGAGTCACCAAGCCTGAACAAGTACGAGTCCTGGCATGTCAGAGGAAAGACAGAAGCCGGCCATAGACGGTTCGAATCTCAGCCAGTTCAGCAGGGACCGGCTGAGATTCAAACCATGTATTAGCAGGCTGAATGTACCTGAGTGGATCGATTGATCAACTTGGGTACAACCAGCCTGCCAGATTTTAAATGCAATTATCGCTAGCAACTGTTATAGTTGCTAGCAATAATCACTGGGTTCTCCTGGCGGGGATGGCATCCCGATGTGATTAGCAACCCCCTCTACCCCATCCCTTTTATTTTCTGACCTGTGACATTTGGTCCTGTTACTTGGGACTACCCCTGGCCCTGTTGGTCAGGACACTCAAAATATAAACATTGATGGAATACTATTGCTTCCTTTGTCTGGGAACCAAACATTCCTGTATTCATTGTGTACTGTTTGCATTTTACTGCAATAAAAATTATTCACCAGAATAATTTTTAGCATCACTTGGCTCCTTTTGGAATTTCAATAGAGGTACTGTGTCTGGAAAATGTAGCTATGGTCTACTGGGACTGTTTTTTTCCCTCCGATAAGCACAGCCAAACTGTGAAAAAAAAGGGTAAAAATCTGTGCTTTCATAAAGCGGGTCTTCATCCTCAATCAGATGTTGACTCCCCTCCACTGTGTAAATCAGGCTTTTTTTTTTCTCTTTTATGGGAAACCTTTAGCCCATCTCCACCCCCTGCACATCACCCGCCCAGGCAAATAACATGCACTTTGGCTGCTGTGCCTCTTTGGATAATTTATTTATTTATTTATTACTTATATAGTGCCATCAATTTATGCAGCACTATATATTGTTCATACATTCACATCAGTCCCTAGCCCTCAAGGGATGTACAGTCTAAGGTCCCTAACTTACTCATACTAGGGCCAATTTAGACAGAAGCCAATTAACCTACCAGCATGTCTTTGGAGTGTGAGAGGAAACCCACGCAGGCACAGGGAGAACATGCAAACTCAAGGCAGGTGGTGCCGTGGTTGGGATTAGAACCAACAACCCTAGTACTGCCAGGCGGAAGTGCTAACAATTTAGCCACTGTGCTGTCCACACGTGTAATATATATCCCAGGAGGCATAGTCCTTCATTGAAAAAGAAAGAGGGGGTCAGGGACAGTTGGCGTGTCATCTGGAAGCTGCCGGATGAACCTGGAAAACTCAGATGCTTGCCAATGATGTCACAGAAGAATACGGTGGCACTGGACCGGAGGGGCAGAAAGAAGCTGATCTCAGTATTATTATTATTATTATTACATCGAGTTTATATAGCGCCAAAGGGTTTGCTCAGCGCTGTACAATAGAGGTGGGGGGAACAATACATGAAACATTACAGCAACAACAAAGAGCACACGAGGGGTTAGAGGGCCCTACTCTTTCGAGCTTACAATCTAGGAGGGAGGTAGGACAATGTCAGATCCACTGGACAGGTGAGTACCTTAAATGTGCAGGACCTGCAACCAGGTAGGCACAGGTTCAAAAAAGGTAGGGGGAGGGAGGGTGAAATTCCACTTAAAAGGATTGTTGAAGCAAATTGTTTATTAATTTCACCTCCATTGAAAATAATGGATTCTTCAGGTCAGCTGGACTTCTTATAATATGGCAAAGCTGAGAAATAGTCCAAGGCTGCTTGAATATGTCAGCATTAATATGTCCCATAAATGAAGGCAACATATGAACTGTGAGCTGTCATAAACAGTGCTATGCTGGGGATGTGCTCATACTAGCTTCCAGTGATCCTGATGCAGGCCAAACTAAACTGATAGACTGTTTTGATTGTCTGATTTTGGAACAGTATTGTAAATTGGTTGCATTTTAAAGATCTAAACACATTTGCCATTGGAATTATGACGTTTTTCTATATACTGGAGTTTCTTCAGCCACGGCGACACAGGAGAGGGAAGATTCTTGAATGGAGACGAATGGGGATGGAATAGTTAGCAGGCAGGAGCTCAGCACCTTTCCACTCAAATTAACAGATATGTTTTATGGTAATATATGCGTTATTTTAAATGAATAAAAACAACCTAAAGGACAGAATAATTTGTATTACATGTAAAATAAAATTCCAGATTAAAGCTATAATGCAGTCATTTATTTTCATGAAAACCAATCAGAACATTGTTATACCATTGTATAAATACATTTCTTTCCCAATTTTTGTAAGGGTGAACAAGGTGACATAGGCTTTCCTGGGGCCCCTGTGTATGTAAATAATGGTGGATCAGCACTTCCAGGTATGTCTTTTATTTCATACATATATTTATGAGAAAGAGGAACTATAGAACATTTATGGGTCACAATGTCATACTCAGCAAGTGAATTTCAAAGGTGAAATTGTAGTCCTGGGCATTGCAAAAGCTTCTGGACACCAGGAACCTGGGACGTTAGTGTGCACAGTGCTTGGCTACTTACCTTTCTGATTCCAGTGCCTCTTATATTTTCCGCAGCTGTGGACCGTGATTTTACCCAGTGTTAGGCCTCGTACACATGGGAGTAAAAAAAGTCATGTTTTATACTGATCTGGATATAAATGCATTGTTGTTTATGGAGCAAAGCAGAGTCAGTATTCAAACCGACGACCCTAGCTTTAATGTTTTGTCCCCCGATCCCCATTAAGGAGTGGCACCTTTGGGGAGCGGGTACCCATAAGGGGATCTGAAGCAGAAGTTGTCCTCCCTCCCTCCCCATAGTCTTCTGGGACACGTGACAGGTCCCAGAAGATTACGGGACCATTCACAAAGCGCAGCTGTCACAGCCGGGTGCCCACTCTGAAGATGCCGGTGCCAGGGAGAGAACCAGCCGATGAAACCAGCTGTGGTGAGGACACTGCTGGACCGAGGGCCAGGTAAGTGTCTGTAGTTTAAAAGTCAGCAGCTACAGTTTTTGTAGCTGCTGACTTATTTTTTTAAAAATCAGCTAGAGCTCCGCTTTAAGGTTGATTTATGTAAAATAATGGCTATTAAGGGTTAAATAGTAACAGTATTTATTTCCTTCGATCTGCACATTTAGAAACTAATTTTACTAATACATTGTAACAATATTGTTCCAAAATATTTAGAAACAAAGAGTGTTTGTTTGCAGTGTTTCATTATGTAGACCCTGCTATTTGTAGACATGTGTAGAATGAAAAAAATGTGTCTTGTTTCATTTCGATTCGTTATTTAAATAATTGTGTTTTGTTAAATTTGTTTAATTCATTTTCAATATTAGTTTCATTGGCATTTGAATTCTAATTTATTCTATTTAAAAATTTCGGAAGATGGTTATATTCATTCTATTTTATTCTATTCTATTCTCTTATTTTCTATTCTTTTTCTATTCTAATGTATTCAAATTCAAATTTATTCTATTCAAAATTATAATTTCGAAAGACGGTTATATTATTTCTGCTTTATTCTATTTTATTGAATTCTAGTCAATTGTTTTTTTTTTCTTTTCTCTTTTTTCTATACCATTCTAAATGATTCTATTATATTCAAATTCGAATGTATTCTATTCAAATTTCGGAAGACAGTTTTATTCTTTCTATTTTATTTTATTCTATTCTTTTTCTATTCTATTATTTTCTGTTCTATTCTCTTATTTTTTTCTACTCTTTTCTATTCTATTCTAATCTATTCTGTTCAAATTTGAATTTCGGAAGACAGTTATATTCTTTCTATTCTATTTTATTATTTTCTATTCTATTCTAACCTATTCTATTCTTTTATATTGTATTTTATTCTATTCTAATATATTATATTCTTTTCTTTTATGTTCTGTTTTATCCTTTTCTATTCTATTCTAATCTATTCTATTCAAATTTAATTTTATTTGACTTGATATTCGAATTTTGGAAGACAGATATATTCTTTCTGTTTTATTCTATTTTATTGTCTGTTTTCTATTCTATTCTTTTTTTATTCTATTCTTTTCTATTCTAATCTATTCTATTCAGATTCTAATTTATTCTTTTCGAAATTTGAATTTTGGAACACATATTGTTTCTATTTTATTCTATTCTATTTTTGTAATTCTTTTATATTCTATTCCATTCTTTTCTATTCTATTCTTTTCTACTCTATTCTAATCTGTTCTATGCTTGTATATGGTATACTATTCTATCATTTTTCTATTCTATTTTTTTCTTTTATATTCTATTATTTTGTTGACTATTCTATTATTTTCTATTTTATTCTAATCTATTCTATTATATTCTTTTCGGAATCAAATTTGAGTCAAAATACAATTTGAATTTTGCCTGAATTTGGTTTCGTTATTTCAGATTCGTTACTACTGTAATTTGGACATTCGGAGACATCTGAATGTCCGAATAATGAAAAAGTTGTCTAAAATTGAATTTGAGAGGAAACAAACCATACATGTCTAGCTTTTAGTGCTTCTGCAAAACAGCCAGGAGTCTCCTATAAAATACTGATTTCAGTGCCCTTTAGATGTGCAAAATTTTGAAACATTAGCTGATGAACAAGAACATGTTAATGTGCACTATCGCTTATGCTATCAAGATCTCACCTGTGTTCTCTCTATTTATAAGGTTTACCAGGTGATCCAGGTCTTCCTGGGTTTCAAGGTATGCCAGGAGATGAAGGCTTCACTGGTCCTCCCGGTTTTCCTGGCCCCCCTGGGTTGCCAGCGTTTGGAAGAGGTAGGATGTAGATTCACTATTAGGCTAACTGGTACTTTTTAGAGTCTGCTTTAGATACTTCTGTTTTACTAAGTCAGAGGATTTTATCATTTTGCCCTGTAGGATATCAACCAAATAGCCACCAAGAAAAAAGGTGCTTATTTGTTTTACATGTGAGAATGGGGAACATGGAATTTCTAAAAATATTAAAAGGAACACATTATGGTTTTACCAAATGTATCACACACTGTGGATAATAAACTGTATGTTTTGGGGAAATGTATCATGAATATTACAATGGAATAACCTTTCAAGGATTGCAGTCTGTGCTCAGTAGTGTTGTATGCTTAATATACTGCAAAGATTTCATGGGTGTGTTGGATGCCTGGTCCTCCATTATGCTATGTGCTCCATCTACCAGCTGTAAGGCTACTACAGTACACAGTCACAGGACATTCAGTTAATCTTCTATAAATTCAAAAAATTGATCTTGGCAGTTTTTTTCTTATGTGGAAAATCTTTTTACAGCTTCAAGTATTGTATTTGAACTGTGTATTTAGATTTTTCCTTAGAGTTCAGTCTTAATACCTTTAGCAAGTTGGGATAAATGCCATCAGTTATGTAAGGCCAATTTTAATTGTAAAATATATATATATTATTGTATCTTTACATTTTCATTTTCTGTATATGTTTAAACTTTTGATTATTATTATTTTTATACAGTGCAGTACACATTATATAAAACTATTAAAAAATAATATCCTGCAGAGCAATGTTGTCACCAGCAGGTGGCGATGTAGCTCCAAATAATAAGCATGATGCATGAATTGTTCATGTACAACTAGAAGTCCATTTGGTGCTTCCATTTGTGCCCTACACTAAGGGACAAATATGTTCACTTGTCAATCCTGTTCTCATCCAGCAACTAAATTTGATGCATGTTTAAAGTATCAAGGTGCCTTTTATATTCACAGTATTATAGTGGGAACCACAAAATGATTTAATGTGTGAAAAAAAGAGTTTATGTTGCAGTTCAAACAGCAATAATGAGCAGTTACACAAGCAAGCATTATATATCATCAAGGATCATAAATTGAGTTGGGTTATATAACTTTCTGCCACAAAGTTCACTTCCTAAGTACAACTGAAAATTATTATATATATATATATATATATATGAAATGTATTTTGTTTTGTTTTTTAGGTCGACCAGGTAGTCCAGGCTTTCCAGGTGTTCGGGGTTTCAAAGGGGAGAGAGGAGATCCAGGTAGACCAGCTTATGGTTCCAAAGGAGTCCAGGGGAATATGGGTCCACAGGGACCACCAGGACAACCAGGATTCCCAGGACCACCAGGACCAGGTAAATAAACATGTTTCGTGATAGACATGGAGAATTAACCTTTGCCTTTATTCACTTGTAGGATAAATAGATTTAATTCACCTGCGGCACATGAGATATGTGAAATAGATATCTTCCAGCTTTCTGAGTTTGGACAAAGGGTCACCTTATACTACCAACATATTTAATATTAAGGCACTGATTCACCCCCACTCATGCCTTCTGTCAAGAAGCAAATATGCAGGCATTTATAGACACTTACAAAGGCCTGTGTAACTAAACAGGGAATCATTGAAACACACTGGTGCTTATTGAAAAAACATTTTGTTCATAGTGACCTTATTGATCATGTTTCTAGAAGCAGTTAGAATTAAAACACTTTTTTTTACTGTTGCTTTGTAAAACATCACTACATTTCTTTACATATACATTGCATGCTGCATTTAGGAGGGATTTTATCTAGTTCGTTATTCTTGATATTCTGGTACTGTCTTTTTCTAGGGTTATAGTTTTCATTATCTAGACATGGGCTAGGTAACCCATATGCCCCATTAACAGATAGTAAAACATTGCTGTCTATTAACCATTTAATCAAAAATTTGGTATCCTACCTCCCAACTGTCCATTTAGAGGAATAGTCCCTCCTATGAACCTGATCTCCATGGATGTCATCATATACACTTTACAGTCACATGACATGGAGTTTGTTAGTTACTCTCTGCTGGCTAGGGCAACAGTCGGTAACAGGCAGGACAGATGCTAGAGTGGACGGCAGTAGCAGAGTCTGCAAACTGATGGTTAGGTCAGGCATAGATAAACAGGGTACAGGTTCCAGACAAGTAAATGGAATATTGACAAGTAATCAGAGCCTTGGATAAGGGGGGGTACCACCATTCCTCCTGTACGGGGCCCAAGCCAGAAGGGGGGGGGCCCAGGCAGCTAGCTGAATCGGATGTGGACAGGGAGGGTGATCAGCACATTGTGAGGGGCAATTACTGGAACCGATCTCCTGTATGGCTCTCTCTGCAGCAGCTGAAAGCTGGCTTCTTCTCCTCTCCCTCCTGCTGGCTTTCAGCTGCTGCAGGGAGAGCCATACAGGGAATTGGTTCCAGTAATTCTCCCTCGCCACACCCATGACCATCCCTTTACACCATGTGTTTCCCCTGCTGCCCAGACCCCCCAGTGTGCCCTCCACTCTTCAGTGCTTCCAGCTTCCCACCTCTGCTTCCCACCTGCGGCTGCAAGCACACAATAGGATTCTTCAGGATGGAGAGTGGGGGAAAGGGTCCGGTAAACATGTCACATTTACCAGCCCCTTCCTTTCCTGAATGAATACAGTGAGTGATTGGTACTGATCACTCACTGTGTTTATTCATAACTGAAGCATACTAAACTGTGGGGTTCTTTTTGGGGGGGCAGGCGCTGTCAGGTTGGATGTAGGGGGCGCTGTGGTTTCTAACAGCAACCCTGCAAGTAATGTAGAACGCGGACACATAACTGGTCAATGATCAAACTAAGCACAGATAATCTGGGTACAAACACAGTCTAAACAGTATAAAAGGATATTCTAAGGCATGAATGGTTCGATGGAAGTTAGAGACAGACAGTCAGACACATTACTATCCAGGTCATAAGCTAACACAGACCTGTTAATCAAGCGCAGGCTTAAAACCATAGCTTTGCTTTAGGCTACGTTCACACTAGCCTTGTGTGCAGGCGGCAGAGAGGCGTTTGGAAAGCGTTTTTACCGCTTCCCAAACGCCTCTGCCAATTCTGCACATTACAGCACATGGTGCTGTTCTAACGGGAGCGTTTGCGTCGCGTCGCGGCAAAACGGACGCCTCTGGACGAGTCAGGAGGCTTTGAAGCCTCCTATTCTCGTCTATGGTGCCGCTCCGCCCGGCCGGCGTTTGCGGTGCGGTTGCGACGCGGTTGCGGGGCGTTTGCGGTGCGGTAACACCACTCAAACTGCCTTATAGGCGTTTGTGGGGCGTTATTAATGCTCGGCAAACGCCTAGCAACCTCCGCTAAACCGCGCATGGGGCGTTTGCGGAGCGTTTGCCGAGCGTTAAAAAACGCTCCGCAAACGCCGGACCAACGCTTGCCAAACGCTATAGGGGCGTTTGGCAAGCGTTGGCAAAACAGCCTAGTGTGAACGAGCCCTTAAAGTGACTGAGGACAGGTATGCACAGCATAGGCATGAGCTGCAGTGCTGAGTAACAACCAGCAGATGGCAAAAGTTTCTGGTTGAGCATTCCACACGGGGAGATTTACTAAAATTGGTGCACATAGAATCTGGTGCAGCTGTGCATAGTTACAAATCATTTTCTAACATCAGCTTTTTCAATTAAGCTTTAACAATAAAACCTGGAAGCTGATTGGTCACTATGCACAGCTGCACCTGATTCTGTTTGCACCAGTTTTAGCCTGGGTTCACATATATGCGGTGCGGTATATTGCATGTGATTCGCACAGGAACCGCACCGCATTCCTGTGCAAATCACATGTGATTTATGTGCAGTGCCATACATCTTGTATGGCTCTATTCGCATCGCACCCTCACCAAAAACGTGCAGGACTGTCTTTTGGTCCACACTAGAATCGGATCGCATCAGTATTCACACCTATGTGATCCGATTCTGCACATCACACCGTGTTTTGCGGACCGCTTTTGCGGTGTTGTTAACTTAACATACACACCTGCAGCGGTTCCCTTGAACGGGGTGCGATTCTGATGCAGTGCGGAATTCGCACTGAAAATGCTTCGAATTCTGCACCGCATCAGTGTGAACCAGGGCTAAATCTTCCCCCTAATGTACCATTTTCTGCCTTCATTATACTGTATTACCATTGCTCTACATTCCTCAATAGCCCTGTTTTTCCAGTTTTATTCAGCTATGGATACATGTTATATTAATTTGTTGGTGGTTTCATCACTGAATATTAGACTGTCACTCAAAATCAGAAAATAGGAAAACTATCTGATATTGTATGTATAAAAATGTTCTATGGGAAATTAACTTGCAATGGTGTCGCTAATAATTTCTGAAAGACAACAAATATGCTATTTACAGTAAAACCTTATTTTATTAAGGATCATTGTAAAACATATACAGACTTATAAACACACTTCAAATATTCAGGCAGAATCCTGCTAAAGATCAGTTATCTTTGTAACATTTACTGAGCAATTAAACCAGCACCACCTATTGCTATATAATGGAACATTCCTATATTCAGATGGTTAGAAATACTCATTTTTGAAAACAAATTGTCCAGTGCCAACAAGGCAGATGTTTATAGTCAGGAATAATGAAGAATGCCATTATTTGCATTCTTTTACTCTTGGTTAAACAAATAGTTCTCTCACTAGATATTTAATTGTCACTACCAAATGTTATAAATAATCCTGCTATATTGGTTCATTTGTCTCCAGATGAGTGCAAATATCCTGTAATACTCTAAATATAAGCCATTTTTTCTGTTTTTATTATTTTTAGTCCATTGTCCACTGCGAATGAACTTACAAAATATATCCCCTTCTTCAACATGCCTTTTCCATTAATTACCATAACAGTTGCAATTTGGTTCATTTACTAAATCCACCCTAAACTTCCCAATTTGCAGAAAATGCATTAAATGCTATTAAGGTCATCATATTTTATCAGAATTTGTGCATATATGGTTAATTGACCAATCACATACGGCATGGAGTAGTTTATGGTTCTATGCTTCTATATAGATTTGCAGGCAAATTAAATATAATACATGTATTACCTTTTATCTATTATTTTAATGTTATAGCCCAGTGGTGGGCAACCTTTTTTTTCAACTGAGCCAAATCTCGCCAAAACCATGATTGAAATTTATTTTGAGAGCCACATTTTTAAAACTGAAAATACATCTCCCATATAGTAATTCATCCCCCATAGTAATTCATCCCCCATATAGTAATTCATCCCCCATAGTGTAATTCATCCCCCATAGTGTAATTCATCCCCCCATAGTAATTCATCCCCCATATAGTAATTCATCCCCCATATAGTAATTCATCCCCCATAGTAATTCATCCCCCATATAGTAATTCATCCCCCATAGCAATTCATCCCCCGTATAGTATTTCATCCCTCGTATAGTATTTCATCCCCCGTATAGTATTTCATCCCCCATATAGTATTTCATCCCCCATATAGTATTTCATCCCTCATATAGTATTTCATCCCTCATATAGTATTTCATCCCCCATATAGTAATTCATCCCTCATATAGTATTTCATCCCTCATATAGTATTTCATCCCCCCATAGAGTATTTCATCCCTCATATAGTATTTCATCCCCCCATATAGTATTTCATCCCTCATATAGTATTTCATCCCCCCATATAGTATTTCATCCCTCATATAGTAATTCATCCCTCATATAGTATTTCATCCCCCCATATAGTATTTCATCCCTCATATAGTAATTCATCCCTCATATAGTATTTCATCCCCCCATATAGTATTTCATCCCCCCATATAGTATTTCATCCCTCATATAGTAATTCATCCCTCATATAGTATTTCATCCCCCCATATAGTATTTCATCCCCCCATATAGTATTTCATCCCCCCATATAGTATTTCATCCCTCATATAGTAATTCATCCCTCATATAGTATTTCATCCCTCATATAGTATTTCATCCCTCATATAGTATTTCATCCCCCATATAGTATTTCATCCCCCCATATAGTATTTCATCCCCCCATATAGTATTTCATCCCTCATATAGTAATTCATCCCTCATATAGTAATTCATCCCTCATATAGTATTTCATCCCCCCATATAGTATTTCATCCCTCATAAAGTAATTCATCCCTCATATAGTATTTCATCCCCCACAGTACTATTCCCCCCCCCCCTTCTAGTAAGCCAAGTCCCCCGTGTCAATTCACTTACCTTTTGCGTTCCTTTCGCTGTCTTCCCGCGCCGTTCGGGTCTTCAGGGCGGACTGTGAGAGGAGCCTAGCTCCCCTCCCCTCACGTTCGGCACGCTGCCCCGCCTACACACATCCTGACAGCCACATCCGCAGGCCGGATTAAAAGGTCCGCGCGGACTTTTGGGGCTGCCAACCGAGAGGAGGCAGGGGGAGCGGCCGACCGAGAGGAGGGAGGGGAGCAGGCGCCCGGCACACAGAAGAGCCGCATTAGACTGGGTAAAGAGCCGCATGTGGCTCGCGAGCCGCGGCTTGCCGACCACTGTTATAGCCAAACTGTGATATTTGCTGTGTAAATTATATGTAATCCGGTATAATGTAAATGTTTTCTTTCCTTCATCACCGGCAAACCATCCTTATAAATGATAAAATACATTCGTATTTGGGTGTCACGTGTAATCCAAGAGACGCGTCAGTGTAAAATTTAAAATTTTGCAAGATAAGAGGAATATTAGTGGAAAACAGCCTTGTTGAATGTTTTTATTGCATTTGGCATAAGCTGATGCATTCTGGCACTGTATGTACTAAATAACTGAAATGTCTCAGAGCAATATAAACACTGGAAAATAAAGGATCTGAAGAATGGCATGGCTCCTCTCAGCCACTTTTAGTGTGCTGTCCTAATGATCATCATTTTGATTACACGGTCCTAAAAAATATTGTTTCAATTCAAATCACAAGGAAATAAGAACAGTCCCAAACCAACCTGTATTAGGTCTTTGTGTCTTTTCCATAGATTTAGGCCTGAAAAAACAGTCATGTGTTTTCGCTTTCTGGGTAGAACAGCTTGATAGACAAAATGCTAACACTAGCATTATTCTGATTAGGATAGAAAATGCCAGAATAGGTACTCCTTTAGCAATGAATTAACATTTTATTATTAGCTTCAGAAAATGCTATTCAATTTTTTTCCCACAAAAATAATTATTTATAGGTCGTCCTGAAGAACAAAAGAGAGGTGGTGAGCCTGGAAGACCAGGAGAGAAGGGCACACAAGGTCCTCCAGGAAGATTTGGACCCAAAGGATTTAAAGGTGATTTGATTTGTATTTATGGCTTAAACCATTTAAAGTACAACTAAAGGCTCCTGTATGACATTGTAAAACAAGTACTAAATTCAGTTATGTATACAAGCTTTATAAAGTAAACAAAAATCTTCCTTTACCTTTTCTGGCTGAGTTGAATTCTCCTTTGATTATGTCTCACACACCTCCCCTTCCAGACACTGCAGCTTAGTGAAATGTTTATGCAGAAAGCAGGGGCAGGATTAGGTGTGACCAGGTGCTGAGTGACAGGTTTATGAAACATCAGTTCCAGTGCCGATAGCCATGCCTTCTGCATCAAATTTACATCCCACTATAGTGCAAGTAGACACAGGCTACACGAGAGTGGCAACTCTGCTGTGAATTCGGGAGCAGTGCAGCATCATTGCCACACCATCACAGGAAGCTGCATTAGGTATTTGTAGGACTTTGCAGGGTAATTAAGAGAAAATTGAATGTTCTGCTGAACATATTTAAAGGCCATAGTTCTACTTGAAAGTGGTTGTCAAGGCTCAAGGTTTTTTACCTTCATGCATTCTATGCATGAAGTTAAAAAACCTTATGTGTGCAGCAGCTCCCAGTAATACCTAGCGGACCCCCTTCTGGATACAATGATGTCCACAAGAGCCTCAGCTTTCCAGGGACTCTCACTCCAGATTGGCTGAATGAGTCACAGCCAGTGAACCAATCAGGAGAGGGAGGGGGCAGGGCCAAGCTCTGTGTGTGAATGGACAGCAGAGCCGTAGCTCAGAAGTGTGTCTGCTTGGGTGCCCCCAGAGCAAGCTGCTTGCTCTGGGGGCACTCAGCAGTAGGCAGGGGCCAGGAGGAGGATCAAGTCTGCTCTGTGCAAAACCACTGCAAAGAACACATAAGTATGACATGTTTGCTATTTAAAAAAAAAACAAGACTTTAATATCACTTTACATTATCACATTATAAGACATGATCATTTTATCACTTATTTGTCCTCTTAGGTGATGCTGGTGACTGTGCTTGTGGTGGTATAGATAATGATCGTGGTAGGGTCGGACCACCTGGACCTCCAGGCCCACCAGGAAGCAATGGTTTTTCAGGATTTACTGGACCTAGTGGAGACTCAGGAAGGAGAGGGTCAATTGGTTCTCCTGGACTCCCTGTAAGAAACTTTGTAATTTTTTGTTTGAGTTTGATATACTATTGGACCACATAGTGAAAAACAACTACACAAAACTATTTATGTTAAAGATGTGTACATTGCCTTCCTTGCATTTGAGGTGCTCAGTAGTTGGCAACCATTTGACTAATATAGGTTTATAATTCTCTCTCATTAAGCAGTTGTAATTATCTACTAGAATTACTAAAGTTATATGTTGTTTTGTTGTGGACAGGGATTAAAACAGGGTCAAAGCATTTCTTTTAGTTTGTAAATTAGTGAAATTTAGATTTATTTAGAAGTATAAAAATTCTTTCATAATTGGCCTAAACATTTGAGATATTTTTAATCAATATCTCAAAACATATGTGAAGTTGAAAAATAGCAATAGTGTTTATTTTTCTGCTTTTATTTTGTCTAGGGCTCTCCTGGAGCTGCTGGTGCTCCAGGATTTAAAGGAGAAAAAGGTGAACCAGTCTACCCATCAGGTCGTGGAGTTCGTGGAGATCCTGGAGCTGTGGGACTTAGAGGAGTCCCTGGATTTCCAGGAAAGGCGGGAAGAGATGGGCTCCCAGGTATACCAGGTCGTAAAGGATTCCCTGTAAGTTTCCACTGAGTTTTACATTCAGATCATTAGCTCTACTAGAATCATTATATAGCATATAGCAAGACATCATTATTTCACAACTACATTTTGCTCAATGCTATTATGTAGAAAAGTGTAGGAATCGGTTATTGCACACCACTCTAATTTGTCCAACTTTACACATATTTTAGATTTTTTAGGGGGAGACAGAACATGTAAGAAAGTCTTACCTAGTAATATGTTCATGGTCACTGACATACAATAAGCTTCATCACCATACACTTTAAAAGTGTTAACGTCGGTGCAGTCCATAGCAAACACTTTAATGTCTGTGGGGTAAGGATAGAGGATGAAAGGGTAACTATATCTCCTGAAATACCCCAGACAGGTATGTTTTGTCTTCAACAATATCAGAACAATATCAGATATAAAAACGTACATATATATGAAGTGTAGGAAAATGAGTGTGAAGTGGACCAGTTTGGAGAATAGAGTTTGTAAATTAGGTTCAGTTATCTCAATCTCAAGTGCTTGTAGCTGGAAATGACGTGATCTAATTTTTGATTGTGGCATATGTGAATTATATTGGCAATTAGTAAATTTTTACCCCGTGAATCACTTTTGTTTGACTACTACTTTTTAAACGTTCCCTTCTATTCAAGTTTATCGATTTTCATTTCATGAAAATTGTCATGGTTTTTGGGCCTTTTGTGAGCGACAGGATAGGTTTACAATCATATTTTTGTCACTGTCGAATTTTGTGTTGTGGCCATTTCAGTAAATGCAGGTAGTATAGAAATATTCAGACACAACACTGAGGCTGTATATTTGCAGCAAGAGTTGCAAAGTTTTGAATATTTATCATTCACCTACCATTGCTCCTGCCAATGTATTTCTATGAATGTGTATGCATACATTTTGAAATTTGCTTAGAGCTGCATGTGACCTCCATTTTATTTTCTTTATTTCTATTTTCTTCTATACTTTAAAACTTAGGGTGAAGGTGGAGCTGGTAATCCTGGTGAGAAGGGATTCCCAGGCCCCTTAGGCCAAAAAGGTAGTCGTGGAGAAAGTGGGCTTCCTGGTGTGGGCTTTCCAGGTTTACCTGGCTCCCGTGGTCTTCCTGGTGATCCTGGGCTACCAGGACAGGATGGGCGACCAGGTGATCCAGGACCACCTGGTAAGTATTCTGAAAGTATTATATTTTACCTTAATATTAACTTTCAGTCTTTTACAGCCTTATTCAGAATGTAAATATATGCTGTAGCTGATTGATGTAGTAGTGAAGGGCCCATTTACTCACCATGTTCAGATGCAGGTGCAGGCCCCTTTAACATTTCCCACAATTCTCCGGGTTTCAGGACATGCCCAAGAAGTACAAATTTATCAGGTTTCCTCCCACAGTTGCTCAGAGAGGTCACACTCGATAGTGCAGAAGTATGTGGGAAAGTAATCTGCAGCTAAATGAGCACCCTCCACTGATAGAACCACCATGCAAGCAGCTGGAACAGAGCCTAATAGTATGCATTTCCTAAATAAGACCCAGCTACTATGGGGAGCCCCTCCCTGATTTCTACTACAGTACTTTATTTCCAGTGGGGTGGCCCTTTTTTCTCAGGCCGTGGGTCCCCCCCAGCTGTTCACCTTTGTTACTAGAGCTACTCACCGACAGAGATCTACCATTGAACCTTTACAGCTGGCCTGTTTTGGAAGTTCTTAAATATTCTTTTAGCAACAGTTTTTCAGTTATTGGCATCTTAAAAAATATACAATACATGCATATTCCTTGATAGTACGACATTCCCATTTCAGGACATGCCCAAGAAGTACAAATTTATCAGGTTTCCTCCCACAGCTGCTAAGAGCGGTCACACTCGATAGTGCAGAAGTATGTGGGAAAGTAATCTGCAGCTAGATGAGCACCCTCCACTGATAGAACCACCATGCAAGCAGCTGGAACAGAGCCTAATAGTATGCATTTCCTAAAGAAGACCCAGCTACTATGGGGAGCCCCTCCCTGATTTCTACTACAGTACTTTATTTCCAGTGGGGTGGCCCTTTTTCCTCAGGCCGTGGGACCCCCCCAGCTGTTCGCCTTTGTTACTAGAGCTACTCACCAACAGAGATCTACCATTGAACCTTTACAGCTGGCCTGTTTTGGAAGTTCTTAAATATTTTTTTAGCAACAGTTTTTTCAGTTATTGGCATCTTAAAAATATACAATACATGCATATTCCTTGATAGCACAACATTCCGTAACATTCTTCCTATGCATTTAGGGACATAATAAGTGATCTAACAGGGCTAAAATTGGCTGGGATGGAAAATTTTCACAACTTTTTGCTGTTGCATATCTAAAAGAGTTTATTTTAATTTACAGTATCATTGTACAAGTATATGCAGATATTTGGTGGTTAGAGTTTTTCCCATTTTTTTTTGTAATTTATTATTTTATACTAGCAGATGACTAGCGAATATTGTTCTCATGAAAAGAATGCACACATGGTCTTGGTATTGGAATAAACAAGATATGTGGTTTATTCTCAATAAACTACATTTATATTTACAACTACAATTCTCAGCATTGTGTGAGTGCCAAGAGCTCTTTGAGAGTTCTTTATGTATGTATGTATGTGTGTGTGTGTGTGTTTGTGTATATACACATATATATATATATATATATATATATATATATATATATATATATATATATATATATATATATATATAAATTATCTGTGCATCATGTATTACATTTATTTGTTTGATACCAGTTTCTAGGTGGTGAACAGTCTTTTTGTCTTTTTAATTAACTTTGTTAGGATAATCTATGTTATATAACAATCTTCTTGGTGACAATAAAACAGCCGGAAAAGGTTCCCCAGAGGACAACCACAAGGATTGCTGATAAGGGATCCATTCCAACATGAATACTGTCTGAGGGCCTGCTGTGATTTCTGCCTCTCTGTTTTCTGTATTTCAGTTATAATAAAGTTTAATACAACTCTTTTTCCCTCAGCTTTTGCTTGTTTAATATATTATTTTCAGTTCTCTGCTTTGTGCATATTTAACATGTGGAAACAGCCAAATATATTCACTAAGATAGTGATGTCATAATAGAACTTTATTGGAAAATGTTGACGTGTATATAAGATAGATGGGTTAAAGAGTTACTCTTTGGGGTGAGGTTACACAGCTGTAGTTCATTGAATTCTATGGACTGAAGTGCAAAATATAAAACAAGACCCACAACATAGCCTCACCATATATGCCTACAGCATATACCATTGCCTTAGGCAATGTAACATATGTTGTAGCTAATAACATCATCACTATGAAGCCTTATGAAAAGCTCTTAGTGGTATATTTTGTAAACAAAAAGGACGCAAATGAAAACAGTCCATTGTTAGGGTTTACATACGTTTTAACTTAGAGATCAGTAACTACAAAAGAAAGCTCAAAAGTAAAAGCATCATGAAGTATACACTTTTTTCCTTGCCTGTATGCAGTTACTTTGGTACATTGAGTGTGACCTATACTAATAACAAAGCCCCATCCGGCCAGCATATAATGTAGGTTAACATGTTGTTTTAGACCTAGTTCAGGTGTGATGAGTTCCAGTAAATCAAGAAAAAACTGTTAACTTGTGCAGATACGCATATAAGATAGCATTTTATTACAGAGCAATACAATAAAATATGTTTTTCTAGCCATTCAATATATTTGATGTAGTTACTTGCTGTTTATGAAAATGGACTTCTTCAATGTAATTGCTAAATTAACTTTTATAGGTCATTTAGAAGAGAAAATCAAAACCATCACCATAGTGAAGTGTGAATATATTTGTGCTGCCAAAGGCTTTCTTTCTTGTGGGTGCCTCTGACCTGTATCTAACCTGTCCTCCTTTGCTTAACTGGTATAGGTGACTGCTGCTGCGGGGACAATGTTGGTAATGGAGACTTAGTCACAAAGGGAGGTGAGAGGATAGCTCCTAGAGGTCAAAGAGCAACTATGAGATCCAAGTGATCTCCTCTTGCTGGGTAGAAGCTCTGGATTTGCATGCATGTCACATCTGGTCATTGAAACACAGCATGACAGTCATTTTAGGAATGTGTCCATTGATGAGTAACTATTTCATCAAGCATATACAGTTAAACATGCAAAAACATTCTTAAAGGAGAACAACAGGCAAAATGCAGAATTCACTGAAAATATACCTTATAATCCCAAAGTGTTCTCTGCACAAAAATGTTCTGCATGCAGCATGAATTACTTTAGTCGCTGCCAACAGTCAACAATATAAAAACACAATGCAGTAGCTGGAAATTAATACGTGTGTTAGAAATTGGAATTCTGAAATTCACATTTTACAAATAAAATATCCAGTGGACTTTTCAATAGTCAGATGTTTATTTAATATACTGATTATTTCTGCCATTACTGTAGTTCTCCTTTAATCATCTTTTGGGCATTTTATTTTAATAAAAAGATGTTTGTAACATTGAACTCACAATGGTATCCCATTATTATCACAAAGGATCATTTTTAGAATTATAACTACAAGCCTGCTTCTAACTCATTTCTTGGGTCATTTATTACTATATTGTGTATATGTTGTGTCATCATAGCTGCACAAGTCATTTATTGATGAATAATGGCTAATGCTCATAATATTATGCATTGAAAGCATTTGTGAAAATGACTACATAGGTAACTGTGTCGAAAAGGATTTTAAGCTAATAATAAGAATAAAACAGTCATTTGGAAAATGAAAACAATTAAATGATAATTATAGTAGACCTTTTTGCACAGTTACTTGTGCCCTGGCTTTGATAAAAGTCATTGTTTTTGTGTTAGCATGTCTAGAGAAGACTGGAGTGAATTTAAATGGAAATCTGCCTGCCTAAGCTGCTGCATGAGCTCTTGCTGTTTAATGGTGCTGACTGTATCAGACCTGAAGCAAACCTATGAGTACAGTTCAGGCTATTCACATACCACAATACCGATGTTGTTATTTATGGTTTGTGTAACTTTGGCCCTGCATTGTCCCATAGAGTCATGCAGTCAGCATTGAGGTCATTGGGTCTTGTTTCAGATCTGATTAATTTAAGGTCATTTCTGCTGGCAATTGAGTACATTGCCAGAAGTAAAATGCAAGGCTAAGTAGTGGTAAACTTAAAGAAGAACTCTGGCTTTAGAAACATTTTTGCTGTTTTTGGCCGAAGTATTTGGCTGATCTCCTAAACCAGACAGAATAATTTGCTTTCTGTGTTTGCCATACTTTAAAGTTACTCTGTGAAAAAAATGAACACAAGCAAATGGAAGCATTATTATTTAACTGTCCCACTGCTGTCTCTACCAGACTTCACTGATTTTGAAGGATAATCTTGCTGAAAACCCACTGCTGAGCTCTGTAGTTTCACTGCTGGCCCCCGTGTCATTGCAAGAAACATTAGTAACCTAGGGTCCAGCAAAAGAAACCACATAGTACACTGGGGGGGATGGCAGAGGACATCTTTGGAAGTGTGGCAGATACTGAAGAGTCTTCCCAAGTTTTTCTCTTAAAGTCATCAGGGTTCGGTGGTGCAGGAGGGGCAGAACAGTATTCTTGCTTTTCTTTGCAGTTACTTAAAGTAAACTTGCACTTACCCATGTTTCATTTGCTCTCCGTCTTCTGCTTATATTCCATTTCCCATTGTGTTTAAACTTTGAAGCAAAAAGAGAAAGCCCCGTGTAAGCTTCAAGTCATTGTGGTCAGAACTTGGATGTAGGATGTTAATTTAAATACATATGGCATATACACTGCCTATAATTTCCTTCCCTTTACTTCCCAACTGCCCAATTTGCCCACAGAAGTAAAGTAAGGAAGGTATAAGCTCCAAGTCTCTCTTTTTAAAGCTTCAGAGCTAGGTATTATCTCTGCAGTCACAGATGACAGTGCTTGGGTCAGGCAATTGGCTGCATCATGGAAGTAAAGTGAAAGAGCCATATATTCCACATGCCCAAAAGTGCAGTTTGTTTTTAATTTGCCCCAGCAGACAAGGGAGAAAATAGAAGTTGGGTATAAAACAGCGAGTGGGTGGACAGTTAAGCATGAGCAAAGCACAGGTTTATGTTAAGATCATTTAAAGTTAGTGTGAGGCATGTTGTATCACTGTTCACAGCTACACAGCACATTGGCTGGAGAGTGCAAAATCAGGTGCACTTCTGCATAGAAACCAATCCGCTTGCAGGTTTTATTGCCAAAGCTTAAAAGAACAAGCCGAGGTTAGAAGCTGATTGGCTACCATGCACAGGGGCACCAGATTCTGAGTCATCCAGCTTTCGTAAATCTCCCCCATTACATTTTTGATTGTGTTATAACTGTAAGAAATATCAGACATGAAGTGTTAATATTACCGAAAGAGTGGTTTATTCTGTGTCATAATATAGAGGTCATGCAATGGCCAATTTAGATGAGGACAGGGCATATCGGAGTTATTCTTTAAGACACTACCATTTTAAGGTGCACTTATACTTTGCTGTTATGAAAAGTGTGAATAATCTGGAAGAGATAAAGTGAACCTCTGGGAAATAAAAAGAATTTTCAACAGTATAAGGGTCATTGCCTCTCTTTTAAGATCCTCACATGAAGCATATAGTTCACTTACTACACGGGAGACAGACTGAAGTGTTTGAGCCCAAAATAATCTTTTGATATTACCCCTAAACTATTTCCTAAGTCTGACAATATACCTCGTATGCATATATTATATTTTAATACAAAGGAAAAAATGGCAGGTTAGATACTCTAGGGTTGCAACGGGGATAGCAATCTAAAAAGACTTAAAAGGGTTGTGTCCTTAAAATTAACTCTTAACATGAATTAATACATGATTGCTTAAACAAACCATGTTATTATTTGACTTAAAAATTAACTCCATCCTGTATATAGCTAGAGTCAAAACATTTTTTAGGTTTTTTATTAGAGTGCTCTTTGTGTCCTTGTTAGGGAAATTTACTCTCTCTAATTAAAGTGAGGGCAAATCCAAAATTTGTAGTAGCCACCAGAACAGAAATAGAAGGAGAAATTATTGAATGTGGTCCAGGGGCGGACTGACCATTTGGAAACTCGGGCACTGCCCGAGGGCCTGGGGTCAGTAGGATGCCCCATGAGATGCCCCTGGTACCTTTTTCATAGTTTTTTTTTAGTTTGGGCAAGGACACAGTGGCCCCATGATCCCCTATTGCCCGGGGGCCCCATGAGTTGTAAGTCCGCCCCTGATGTGGTCACATGTTCTCATGACACCTGTCTAGTAGATTTCCCTAATTTTGGATAGATATTCCCTCACTTCCTGTTGAGTCTACAGAACAGAAAGTTAAAATGATACTAAAGGCAATATTTGTATTATTTAAAATAACAAACATACTTACCTGACCTTCAGTGTCTGCCCCCTTAGCAAGCGCTTGTTATGGGGGCAGACGTGCAGGCTCGCTGCCAAGCCGGGCTCTGTGCCTATAGACACACAGAGCCTAGCTTGTCCCCGCCCCCAATCCCTCTTCACTGGATTTGATTGACAGTATCAGGAGCCCATGTAGCAGGAGCCCATGGCTCCCACTGCTGTTTCCATGTTCAGTAAGGAGGGAGAAAGAGGAGAGAGCCGCAGCTCTAGGGAGCAATCTGGATCAAGTTCGGGCTTGGGTAAGTATTTAGGGGGGGCTGGGAGGAGGTAATCTTGGGAGGTTTTTTACCTTAGTGCAGAGAATGCATTAGGGTAAAAAAAAATTAGCCTTAAGAATAACTTTAAGGAAAATAAGACGCAGATGGCAAAAACTGACAATAGTTTAGGCTTTCCCCACTCAATGAAAAAAAGGCTTTTGGTATACTTTACGTTGATCTTCAAATATATATATCTATATATATTTCCCCTATAAATCTGGTGACTCATAGTCCAGTTACCCATTTTGTACACATAATGAAAATGAGTAGTTTTCTAACAGCAAAAGTAACATGAATACAGATATATTCAAATGAACAGATTTTATAGCTCAGGTATAACTGCACCTTATATTCAGTAATAAAATGAAAGCATGGCTTTGTTTATATTTTGTATAGTTCTCATTTTATGTTTAGGAATGTGCCTGTGCTTGTCACCAGCACTTGTGCTCTTTGTGCTCTTTGGAAAGAGGTAATATTAATCACTAAAGTGGCCAGTGTGATATCATTTCACCATCGTTGTCCATATTCACCAGTGTTTCTGTGATTCATACTCCTAATAAACATTACAGCATCATTGCAGCTTTTGCATCAACCATCCAATGCATGTGCTGTTTTATCTTTTTTATCCAGAATTAAACATACTTTAGCTACAAGGTCTCTTACTAGGAAATAACAAACTTGTATTTTGCTAGGGCTTACTTTACCATGCATAATTGCTGGAGAACCAGGCGACCCAGGAATGCCCGGTGACCCAGGACCTTCAGGTATGTCACAAAGATTACCAGCATTTTCCTTAATCTAATGCATAAGTGACATGAACCCATTTTGTTTTTAAAATGTATTTAAAAGAATAATCCCTTCTAACAATAGATATCTTGTTATGGATGAGATTTAGTAAAGTAAAACACTACCTGCAGTTTTGTTTACCTCAGTGATCCCAGATTGGTAAATTGCTGAAATGTATCACCCAGTGCCTTGGATGAGGGTTGGGGAAGCTTTAAATTGCACCAATAGCACACATATGACTCTTTAGAAACAGCTATAGATTACCAAATCATAATTCTTTCAAAGAGGAAACTAGCTAATATAAATGATTGCTTGGATTATTTGTACAGGACCTAGAGGTGAAAAAGGATTCCCTGGCATCCCAGGTCTCCGTGGCTTTGATGGTGCTAAAGGACAACCAGGCATTCCAGGTTTTGGTGGATTTCCAGGACCACAAGGTAGGAGCCAGCTGTACATAATGGCAAGTTACATATAACACATGCATACATTTTGTAACATTTATTATATTTCTAATACCTTATTATTTACAGGCTTTACAGGTCCTCGTGGAGATGAAGGCCCTGCTGGATTTCCTGGCTTGGATGGCCTTGATGGGTTTCCAGGCAAGGTAGGATCTTCTGGTTTGCCAGGTTTCAAAGGAGCACGTGGTGAAGTATTGGGAGCTGAACCTGGTCCTGCTGGTGAACCAGGAAGGCCTGGATTCATAGGAGATAAAGGAGCTCGTGGAGACCCTGGATTTGTTGGGCAAAACGGTAATAATTAACTTTATATGTGAACATCCAAAATTATTTCATTCCACTGAACATGCTGTGAAATAACTGGAAATAATAAGGGTATAACAATGTGTGTTTTTCAGTATTTTGTCCTTCTGACAGCCTTGACTAACAGCTATACCAAGATGACGATTTGAGTTGGATAGCGTGAACAGTAACAAATTCTCAATTGTGTTACAGGCTTAGATGGACGACCTGGACTAATGGGTGCTAAAGGTGAAAAGGGTAATTCAGGATTTCCAGGTGGACCAGGTCCCAGAGGTCTGCCAGGATATGGAGGAGCTGCTGGCTTTAAGGGGAAACAAGGACCTATGGGAGATATTGGATTCCCAGGGTCACCAGGTATGTTTAACAAAAAGTATAAAACAGATCATAAATTGATTTTTTTCTAGCATATCTTTAGAACATATCAGATAGAACAAGCTGTATATACGAATAAATATTTAGCTTATAAACATTTTCAGGTCAGCAAAAGAATTCTTGAAGTCTGTAAAACAATAATAGTTGATGACAGTTGGTCATTTAGGTATCAATTTGTGAGCTTTACTGAAAAATGAATGTTGATATTCCATACATGGGGTCTTCAGACTGTACTGTAAATTAGGCACAGTTGGGTTTTTTTTTGGTAAGTATGAAAGTAAGTCAATTGCATGAAATCCTTGTATCTTTTCATTGCCTACAGTTTTAACCTGTCCAGTCCTCTCTACATCTGCTAAAGTAAACTGCTGGCAGCTGTGTATATTTTTTTTAATATACTGAAAGGTTTTACATGGCATTAGTAAACTGTATTTTTTAGGACTATAATAGAAAGAGAGGCACATTGAATATACTGTATCTCTAGGGTATCTACAAGCAGCTCTACATTTTTGGTTCTAACCTTCAGATTTTAATCTCTTCTATGGTTATTTTGGTGATTGTTCCAAGAGATCTGTTATTGACAGGAAGGGGGTAAAACTTAAGTTTTGCTGTGTAGTAGTGTCATGCATGGGAGTTATGGTTTAGTAGACAAGATGGTATATTTGTGACAAGATTTTGCTCTTATACCAAATATTTCACACATATAGCTTTGTACATTAGTCTAGCTTGGATAGAAGTAAGGCATATATTAGTAAATTACAAGGAGTATACCATTTAAATTCTTTACCCCTGCACTATGTATACCTAAATATCTGCTGAATTGTATTGATTTTCTGATTACTAACCTAAATATCAATCAAATGTGTAAAGCCAATCAGATACAACACTCTGCTTTTTATCATTCTTGCCCAGTCTTGTCTCCCTCTTTCCGATCTCCTTCCTTCCACGGGATGCACTCATAGAGAAATGATTCACTTGTTTTGATTGTATCTCTCGGTCAGCAGTTTCCATTTCGCTGTGTGCTATCTTTCATACATTTTGTCTGTTTTTCCTTCATCATGCTTTTATTCCAAATACCACCAATCCTCCATATTTTGATGTCATACTGTATGGTTTCGGCTTCTTCACATAGGCTGTCAAGGTGAGAAAGTGCTCTGTAGCATACAGATGGACTAACTAGCTTTTGATGCTGCAGGCATTGAAATGACCATAGGTGACACCCCTTATTTCTTACACTGCTATAAGAACCATTGTACAAAATATACTTAGGTGTTGTGACAAACAACTGAGATGTAAATGCTAATGTGGCATGTAAGAACACTTATGTGATTTGTATGCTATCAGATACTTGTTGCACTTGAAACAAAGCAGTATTTCACAATTTGGGGCCATGATCAAATTACATTACCATCTGAGACTTGCTGCAGCAAATCATGACATCCACAACCTGGGGATTGTTTGTTATAAGCTCAATTCACTATTTGGTAAATACAGCATAAAGTGGTATTAAACCTAGGACCAGATTTAGACGGGGGGGGGGGGGGGCACTTCAGGTTCAGCAGCCCCTTATACACAGAGTTGATTTACATTCTCAGTGACAGTCATACATTTTAAAATGTCTTTCTGAGGTCACAAGTGCATGTACACACAGTCATAGGCTAGCTTTCTTAAGGGTGTAAGTGCCTTCTAAATGGCTTGCTTGAGCATATATATAAACAATATACCAGTCCAGACTAAAAAATGTTATTGATGATAGCAGGCAAAATATTACTTCCCAAGTTACATTTAATAATGGAAAGTATTTATTACTATTATATATATATTTTTTTATTAATATTATTTTACATAATGTTTTATATTGGTTTTATATAATTTTGTATAGAGGGAGGGCCCGAGGCAGTTGACCCTTTTGCCCCCTTATAAATCAGGCACTGATTAAACCCCAAAACAAAATGTATTATATTGCAGCTTGTCAGTTCTTAGATATGATGGCTGCATATTTAAAATTTTTTCTTTCCTTTATTTTCACCTCTTTATCTGGCTAATAAATCTAATATTTTTCAACATCCTTTAACAGCTCGAGCTATCCAGCAAAAGTGGCAGTTTGAGGGTTGAGACAAACAATGTAACAAGGAGAGGAGTACTTACATTAATCAGCTTTTATTTATTTATTCATGTAATACCTTTATTCCTAAAAGAAAGAAACTGTTACTATAACTGCTAAAAAAAAGAGTTTTGCTGGAGTTCTGCTTTAATTTGTTAGTCAAGTCCATATAAACCTGCTAGTGCATCTAGGACTACCCTACCCCAGACTGACAATGCTGCTTTAAAAATGTTTCTCCCATTGCTCCTCTGTAGAGAGTGGAGACTCCCTAAGACAGGACATGTGTTACTGACTGGATCACCAGATGATAATAAATAAAAGAAAGGGTTATAATAAACAAATGCAGCCACCATATTTAGGATTGGTAGACTGCTTTTGGCTTTAATACTGCTTTAAGTAGCATTGTTAACAGAATGTACTGAAATAGGAAGTGGTCCTAATACACATTAGAAATAAATATTGGATTTGAAACACTGGGACATGTTTCCTGTCCCCGCTGTACATACTACATGTAAGAGCCGGTGTGAATTAAAAACAAACCTGGAAAATAAAGCACACCAGCACAGTTGTGTGCTTGTGTTCAATCCTTTCCAAATATTGTGGAGCATAAACATGTTTTTATAAGGGCGTTTAAGTCAAACTGGGACTTTTAAATTTACAGGTATACAAAGGGATGCTAGCATAGTCGTACTACATGCAGTAGTAAGTAGCAACTGTGTCCTATTACTGATAGGCGGCGCACGTGTTGCTGGCCAGTCCAGAGACTGTTAACCCCCTTGCGGTATTCCCGAGTGTAGCTCGGGGTAAAGTTTCAGTACCACAAGCGGTAACCCCTGAGCTACACTCGGAAATACCTTGCAGCGCTGATCCGGGATCTGTTCTTCTCTTACCTTGTTCTTCCTACAGTGTCCCCGGCAATGTAATCCGGCGGATGCCGGCATCTGTCATCTGGGTTCCGTCCCCTGCGAGCGTCGGGATGTACGGGGGACGGAACGGCAGGAAATTTGAAAATGTCAAAAAGTGACATTCAATAAATACACTAAAATAACATAGTAAAACATTACTGTATCAAACCATTTCACATAAATTTTGTCCCTAGTGCTTTGTCCTGTGCCCTGCCTGCATTTTTACTGTTCTTTCTGCCTGGAAACTGAGAAATGTCCATGGCGTCCAAAAAGCGTCCCTTTAGGTCAAAAGCTGTTTTAGACCAGCTAGAGAACAGCGATAGTGAATTAGAGCCACTTGCAGAATTGAGTAATAATGATTCGTGGGGAAATTTTTCATCAGACACTGAAAACGATTTTGCGACTTTGATCAGTGATGTGGGAACTGGCGCTCTATTTCAAATTTCAGTTTTTGGTTTGATTATATTATTGAATTAAATTTATTATTATTATATTATTATGTTTTATGATTATTTATTAAATTATAATTTATGATTTCGTGTTTCAAGTTTTATCGTACCCGGGATGTTTACTAGACTCTTGTTCGGACAGATTTCAGTGAGTTATTCCTAAAAATTACAGGCCTACAATAAAAAAACAACATTTCCATGAAAAAAAAAATGTACCGCTTTAAGCACAGAAATATGAACATAATCAGACCGCTAGGGAGGTTAATCAAGATGGCAGACAACAGTGTTAGTGCATGCATGGAACAGCATATGGTGATGAAGTTTCTTGTGAACAAAGGTGTAAAATCCACAGATATCTACAGAATACTTCAAGCACAGTATGGTGAAGTCACACTCAGCTACAGTAAGACATTTGAATGGTGTAAATGTTTCAAAGATGGGCGGGCGGCCGTCCGTCAGTGATGATCCCAGTCCACAGCAGTCATTCCTGTAAACATTCAGCATGTGAAATACCTGATCCTGGATAATCGATGCATAACCTATCATGAAATTGCACAAGAGACTAATCTTTCTGTGGGAACAGTGCACACAGTCATTCATGAACATTTGCATTTTCAAAAAATTAGCACACGCTGGGTACCAAGACAGGTTTCCACTTTTGACCATGTTCTGTCATCTGAGTGATGTGCATATGCCTCTACAGAAAAAACAGCCTGGTTTGACCACTAAGGGCATCTTGTTTCTCCAAGACAATGCAGTAGCTCACACTGCTCACCACACTACGTGCACATTACAGCAACTCAGCTGGGAGGTATTCTTACATCCCCCTTACAGCCTGGACCTTGCTCTGAGTGATTTCCACCTGTTTGGACCCCTAAAAGAGTTCCTCGGAGGTCAGCATTTCAGCACTGATGACAAAGTGAGGCAGTGTCTTAGCATGGTTCAGGCGTACTGACAAATCTTTCTATGCCAAAGCTTTCCAGGCATTAGTTAAGTGCTGGGATAATTGTATAAATGTAGCAGGGTAAAATGTCGAAAAAATAAAAGCAGTTTTCACTCTTGAAATGTGTCCTTTTATTATATAAATTCAAAAGTCCCGGTTTGACTTACATGCCCCTCGTATTAGTAACAGTGTCAACCCAAAACATCTGTGGGATGCAAATGAGCCTTCTTGGTTTGCTATAGTAGGACTAAATAGCTGCAAGAAGCTTCCACCAGTCCAAAAATACAATGAGATATTCCATCCCTGGGTTGTTTATTGACTTCTGCTTTTGTAATTTTTATGTTCTTGCTTTTTGGCGGCTGGTGCTCACTTTTCCCCTCTTCTTGCCTCAAGGCGCCACTGCGCCGCAGCACCTTCCTTGGGCCTGCCGAGACCACTTTTTATTGTAAGTGCACTTAGACCTCAGGCCCTGCAAGGCCCTTTGGTTTGCTGATTTTCTTTTTCTTTTTGAGGGAGACTTTATGTAATTACATTGTAAGTAATAACAGAAGTGAATTGTTGCTGCGCTACTCAGTGCATGAACAATAAAACATAAATAAATAAATCAGAAAATGAATACACATATGACCCTCATCCAAGTGTGAAAACAACATATGCAAAAAATATGACTAAGTGCAGACAATAACAAATAACAATAAAGGCAGCACAATGTGCTAATAGTGTGCTAATGACTGAAGTGAACATAAGGAGGTCATGATAATAAAATTGATGTGTTGATGTGATAAAGAAAGTGAATAAGTCCCAAAAAATTATAGCAAATGAAGCAACTGATGAGAGCGGGTGTCACCCGCAGCTGGATATAAAGAAAACAAACAGAGGGCGCACCGGCCTAGTGCATTACCGTAAAAAACATTTATTGAGGTAAAAAAAAAAAAGGTATCGTACTCACAAATGAAATGAATGTTAAACGCACATTGTAAAGAACAGCACTGTCCAATCCACACTTGGATCTGAGGAAGAGGCAAGTCCTCGAAAAGTGTTAGCCTAATGGAAGTCCAGGGTTCCCATTGCGGATGGCCACATAGTGTGGATTGGACAGTGCTGTTCTTTATGATGTGCCTTTGACATTTATGTCATTTGTGAGTACGATACCTATTTTTATTACCTCAATAAATGTTTTTTTACGGTAATGCACTAGGCCGGTGCACCCTCTGTTTGTTTTTATTTATTTCCAGTGCATTTGGACTACCTTGGTCCGTTGAGGGCAACAAGGAGTTCATATTCCAGGGCATCCGAGATGTAGCTATAGCCCATGCTGAGTCCATCCCCAAGCGCAGGAGTATTTGGGTTTGCTGTTTTTCGTTGTCACCTGCAGTTGCCTGACTACCCGACCACCCTCCTCCTCATTATCAGCCCTATCACCACCATGGGGTAGTCTTCTTGTTTGAAACTTCCATGTGAGGTACTGAATGTGATGGAGGTCTGTGACCATGTCTGGAGAATGCCTGTGAATGTTTGCCAGTGCCATTGAAGAGGACCCCTTTTTCTTTGATTGCTATTAAGGATCATCTAATTGGGATCATCGTTTGAGGTTTCTTTATGCTTTATGACTCCTTGGGGGTTGCATTTTGCAGGTGAGTGCCCACTCTATCCGGTGGAGGATTATTTATATACATTTTCATCACTGGATGTCTCATGGTGTGTGTTGAAGATTCATTGTGTTCCCCTGTTTTTTTGGGACTGCCATTATCATTTTTTGGGACTTATTCACTTAATCACATCAACACATCAATTTTATTATCATTGTTTCCTTGTGTTCACTTCAGTCACTAGCACAGCATTAGCACATTGTGCTGCCTTTATTGTTATTTGTTATTGTCTGCACTTAGTCATATTTTTTGCATATGTTGTTTTTACACTTGGATGAGGGTCACATGTGCATTCATTTTCTGATTTATTTATGTTTTATTTTTCATGCACTGAGTAGCACAGCACTAATTAACTTATTATTGCTTTCACTATTTGGAATATAGTTAGGTGTTTACGGCCACTTGGGGGTCATTGCAGTTTGTTTTTTAGCGCAGGAGGACTTATACATTGTAAGTGTACCTAAACCTCATTCTATGTTGGTGGTATGGTGCTACACAGTTCACGGTTTTGTGTATTTTGTATGTATTTTATTTGTTCTGTGCTGAAAACTAATAAAAATAAATGATTTAAAAAAAGATATTCCATCCCTTTTTTGCACTACCAGAGTTGCAAGTCTAGATTGTTTTCAAGTACATTGTTAAAGGTGAATAGAGCTTAAGCATTCTACTGGTTAAATAAGAGAATTGGGCTCTAAACATACATATGCTGTCATACTAGTACCATCTCTAAAAATGGGAAATTAGTGGAACATAATTCCTGTGAATAGTTATAGTACTAGTCTATTGTTTTTCTGCAGATGTTTTCAGAATCAGGCAAGTATTTGGGTTGTACGTGTCTACATATCATATGTATGCAGTAGTAAACCACAGCCATCGTGCTATGAGGCACAAGTGGTTCTTGACTATGTTTGCAATTGCTATCAACAGGTGCTCTGTACTTGTCTGCTTGTTTAGTCACTATTTCTAATACATATGATTTAATCATTTTTTTAAAGATTTGTAATAATACCATTGGTTTATACTTGTTGTGCTTACTTTATACAAATGTGGCAAACCTGGGGAACTTCTAAGCACAGAAAGAGTACAAGATTTAGATACACAGCCAGACTTTACTTAATTATGTTTTATAATTGCAATAGGTTAAATAGAGTTAACTCTATTTAACCTATTGCAATTATAAAACATTGATCATCTGCTTTACCCAGACTATGAAATACTGCTTCAAGTTTTGCAGGTATTGAGATCACTAATATCACTTATAGTATTTTACATTACCCTTTCACAATGGTTCATTAATGTAGATAAAATGTGTATAGAGATATTTCTTCTACATTTCAGGTGTTGGATATTTATGATTCACTCATCCCCGCATTGGAATAAACCTCAACATTGTAGAAAGTGCAACATCATAAGGGGTTTCACTGCAGTCAGTTGTAGTGTTATAGGCAGTAACCCTTGCAATAGGTAACTTAGACCACTAATGCTTTTGCAGCTAATGTCCCTTCTGCTAGGTGGCTGTATGTAGTAAAATTTGAAATATATTTGCTATGACTTCAGACAACATTCTGCTTCTCATATTCTTTCTGCCGCTTCTGATGATTCCAGTTCTGACAGTTAAAAATGTCCTCCGCAAGTGATGGGACTGTTGTATTTCTTGGTAATTGCTCAATTCCATATTGTTATACTGAGTACATTTATTACAGGCTTTCCTGGAGCAAAGGGCATTCCTGGAAACAGAGGTCTCCCAAGTCCAGCTGGGATAAAAGGTAGTCCAGGTCCTAATGGTGATGCAGGTCGACCTGGGGATTTAGGACCATCTGGACCACCAGGACCAAGTGGCCGAGATGGACTGCCAGGCTCTCCAGCAATTAAAGGTTGGATTGATTCAATGATTATAATTTAGTTCATAAATGTAACGTCATATACAGTATTATATATATATGTATATATATATATATATATATACATATATCTCACTCACCCTGTTATTCTGTAATGGTTCTTAGGAGATAAAGGATCCCCCGGTTTGATTGGCTTTCCTGGTATGCCTGGACTTCCAGGCCTCCCTGGTACCAGTGGATTTAAAGGATTCGATGGATCACCTGGAAGAAATGGACTTCCTGGACTTGAAGGGCGAAAGGGGGAGCAAGGTAATTAAATTCACTATGATAAGAAACCGTATACTTTTCTCATTTTGTAAATATATTTTTCACACAGATAGACAGAAACACTACTAGAAACTGGTTATTTCAGATTAGTCATGGGATCTTTCCTATTCACTTTCTGGGTACTAATTTGGCACCAAAAAGATTTTTATATTTTCACAATCTTTCTAAATAATTTCATCAATAACGAATCAACACAGTTTTGGATATATTTAATTGTTATTTTATTAGCGTGCAGCCCCAACATAATTTTTGTAGGCCAACTATTTTCTGGAATCAGCAGCTTTACTTTCTGACATGCTAAGAATTACCTTCTTTTAAAGATCCATTTTATTTCTCCAGGTGGCAGAGGTGATCCAGGCCCACAGGGTCCTGAAAATATTGTGGATATAAGCAGAATGGATGGAGAACTTGGTGCACCAGGAAGAAATGGACAATCAGGGTTCCCCGGCCCCCGAGGTAATGTTTCTATAATACTACAAGATGTTACTTGTTGCACTTGTTGGCTCTTCAGTTTCTGTTGACGTCTTCATGTAATACATTATTTTGTACAAAATGTTCTCAATATAAAAATGCAAAATCATAGAAATGTAAACAGACACAAAAAACAGTGACATGATGACACAGAAATGCAGATCCAGACATATTTTTAAACATCTAAAGCTTGCCATATGGATTACAACGTACTGTTCAAACTGTACAGTCTCCTTTACATTTACCAGAACTGTGTAATGTGAAGGCCAACCTAAATTATCCATTGAATCTGTAGCCAGTCTTGCAGGCAGGAAATTGTACAATTGGCCTATAGCATGTAAAGTTAGTTTAAGTCTGATAAGCAGCAGACATGTCTATTCATGCCATACAGATAGTAGGAAATATTTTTATACTGCCAATTAGTTTGTGCCAGTTGGCTCTGAGGAATCTATCATGGGTTCATTTTATTTTGTATTGTCCAATATATCTCTTGCTCCTTGCTGCAGTATAGTTTGGATTTGTGTAATGGATTTATACTGATAATAATAATGAATTTCACAGGCGATAAAGGTTTTCCTGGTCTACCTGGGTCACCTGGCCTCCCTGGATTCCCAGGAACACCAGGAAGAGAGAAAGGTCAACGTGGAGATCCTGGGCTGCCTGGGACATTTGGAAGGCCGGGTTCTCCTGGACTTCGAGGGTCATCAGGGATCATCGGATTTCCTGGGATGCCAGGAATTAATGTACGTTTCTCTGTTTGAATTGCTGATTTTTAAAGTGATTGAATAGATCATACCAGTAATGGATTACAGGTATTATATATGTACAGATTGACCAATTGCTTATAATGTATTGGATAGATACATTTTTGTAGCAATTTACAATGGTCTCTAGACTGCAGAAACCCATGTTTCCCTATTACCTAAGAAGTGTATGTCAAAATCTCTTTCTGCTGTAGTTTCAACATGTCACTAAGAAGTAAAGTAACCTGAGAGATACAACCTTTAAACGTTACTTTGTTCAAATGACATATCTAATACTGTAACATTTTTCTTTTTCTTTTTTTTTTGTTCCTTTATGCAGTCTATGTCCTATTGTAGAGAATTACCACCTATTCCTGTAGTGTAGAGAAAACAAGTAAGAGGAAATCTTGCAAAATAAAGGCAATCCCCCTTTAGAGAGCTGTCATTTGTACAATTGCCATCATTAAATGATTTTTCCACGATTCGTGTTCTGCTGAAAATGTTGAATTTTTTCTTACTTTTAATCTTGGTGACAATGGTCACCAGTGGGGAAAAAGATAGCAATGAAAACCCAGCATACAGTAGTTTTGTTCCTATACCTACTCTAGCCAAAATGAAGTATACACTATATTGCCAAAAGTATTGAGACACCCCTCCAAATCATTGGATTCATGTGTTCCAATCACCTCCATGGCCACAGGTGTATAAAAATCAAGCACCTAGGCATGCAGACTTCTACAAACATTTGTGAAGGCATGGGTCGCTCTCAGGAGCTCAGTGAATTGAAGCGTGGTACCGTGATAGGTTGCCACCTGTGCAATAAGTCCATCCACGACCTTTCCTTGCAACTAAATATTCCACAGTCAATTGTTAGTAGTATTATAATAAAGTGCAAGCAACTGGAAACAAAAGCAACTTAGGCACTAAGTGGTAGGCCACATAAAATGACAGAGTGGGGTCAGCACATGCTGAAGCGCACAATGCACAGAAGTCACCAACTGTCTGCAGAGTCAATAGCTAAAGACCTCCAAATTTTGTGTGGCCTTCAGATTAGCACAACAACAGTGCATAGAGAGCTTCATGGAATGGGTTTCCATGGCCGAGCAGCTGCATCCAAGCAGTACATTACCAAGTGCAATGCAAAGCATCGGATGCAGTGGTGTAAAGCACACCACCACTGGACTCTAGAGCAGTGGAGGCACATTATCTGGAGTGACGAATCACGCTTCTCTGTCTGGCAATCCAATGGACGTATCTGGGTTTGTAGATTGCCAGGAGAACGGTACATCCCTGACTGCATTGTGCCAATTGTAAAATTTGGTGGATGGGGGATTATGGGTGTGGAGTTGTTTTTCAGGGGTTGAGCTTGGCCCCTTAGTTCCAATGAAGGGAACTCTTAAGGTGTCAGCATACCAAGATATTTTGGACACTTTTCTGCTCTTAACTTTGTGGGAACAGTTTGGAGATGGCCCCTTCCTGTTCCAACATGACTGTGCACGAGTGCACAAAGCAAGGTCCATAAAGATATGGATGAGTGCGTTTGAGGTGGAGGAACTTAACTCACCTGCACCTCAACCCAATAGAACACCTTTGGGATGACCTCACAAATGCTCTTCTGGAAGATAGGTCAAGCATTCCCATTGACATGCTCCTAAACCTTGTGGACAGCCTTCCCAGAAGAGCTGAAGCTGTTATAGCTGCAAAAGGTGGGCCAACTCAGAATTGAACCCCATGGACTAAGACTGGGATGCTATTAAAGTTCAAAGTGCGTGTAAAGGCAGGCGTCCCATTACTTTTTGTCAATATAGTGTATATGTTTAGATACACTTTAAATATAATTAGGAATGTTTAATAAACATTTTACCAGTTAATTATATAATATAACAAGGCATGGGAATAACTAAAATGCTAACGTTTATGTTTGATATTTAGGGTGCAGATGGATTACCAGGTAGCCCTGGTTTTGCTGGTTCTCCTGGACGACCTGGTGAAAAAGGTTTGTTATGACCGAATCAAAATTAAACATATATATAGTTATAGTCACTAGTCAAAGTAATATTATTTCTTTAGTCCATAGCATAAAAAATTAGCTTTAAATTATTAAGGATTTTTAGCAAATGACGCATAACTGTGAGTAACTGCTTTAGTTGCTGTCATTATCCTTTCCCTTGCTTGTCGTTGGCACTGAAAGAAAGATAGACATCTTATCAGGTGTTATTTGGTTGCAGTTCTGGTATTATTTTAACTTTCATCTTTATAGGTGACCGCGGAGAATCTCAAGGGACGTCAGGTGATAGAGGACCCAAGGGAGAACGTGGAACTCCAGGAAATCCAGGTAATTTTTTTTCATATTTCTCACTTATAATCAACTGGTACTTTAAAAATCAGCGTTTGAACTATGTGACTAATACAGATAGGTTTCTACATTGCCAATATAGACTGTAGCCTAGGACAGCAAGGCTGTAATTGGTCACACAATCAGGCACCCACATATCATGTGTCAGTGGCCCATTTCCATGTATAACAAGTTCCATACTACTGCCTATCAGCACGATCCAGCCAAGTGCTCACATTTGCTTCCACAATTTGTATTTTTGTAAAATGCACTTTGTTTTTACATTACCCGCTACCTCCATACACCTAGCACCCGACTGCCAGTAGAGTAGGATGACAAATTCTCTAATTATTTAGTTGTTGTTTCTAGGTATATAGATGCAAAGTGGCCAAACTGTCATCTTCACTTGGTCTGCCTCCTGCCTCGGCATGCTTTGTGTATCAATGATGTCTCAACTTGCTGTGTGATACTAAGGCTGGCAAGCTAATTTTGGTAGGAAAGGTAAAGCACAAGACAGTTGGCCTAGGAGAGCAAGAAAAATAAATCCAGACCTAGGGACTAACCTTATCACTAATTCTTAGAAAACACTCAAGTAGAACCAGTACCTGTCAGATTTAAAATTATATAGACTACAGAATATAATGGTTTACCATATATTTCATTCTAATACGTTTTCTGCATTACATGAGCTTGAAGGACCAATTGCTTAGAATATTGTGTACCTATAAAAAGTATGAAATTAAAGTGGTTCTAAAGTCAAAAGGTTTCTTACCTTAATGCAGTACCTGCATTAAGATTAAAAAAAAACTTTCACTCTCTGTTTGCCCCCCCATTAAACACTTACATGAGTTCTGTTTCAATCCAGCTTTGTGCCCTTCTGCAGCAGTGCTGGTCTCTCTTCTTGCTCTCACAGGACAGATTGATAGCAGTGGGAGCCATTGGCTCTTGCTGCTGCCAATCAGATCCGGTGAGAAGGAAGCAGAGGCATGGCCAGGCCACGCTGTGTGTGTGTCTATGGACACACATGGCATGGCTTGGAAGCGTGCCTGCATGTCTGCCCCCATAGCAAGCAGCTTACTATGGGGGCACACTCAGGAGAGATGGAGTAGACAGCACTGGTAGGACCCCAGAAGAGGAGGTAAGGGGCCGCTCTGTGCAATATCCTTGCTCTCAGCAGACACATATAAACCTCTTTTTCCATTTTACAAAAATATAGAGACTTTATTATCACTTTAATACATATTGAGTTAGTATTCAGTATTTTAATTACTTTTTTATTCTACCTATCTTATTTATTAGTTATCAGGATACAAGACCTATTGCAATAGTGGTCCTATAAGTATACCTACCGTTCTTAACCACTTGCCGCCCAGCCACTGTATAAAAACGGTGGCAGGGTGGCACGGCTGGGCAAAAGCACATTTTAAAACGTGCTGTTGCAAAACAGGTAGGGGGCGCGCGCGAGGCGCGCCGCCGCCCTACCTTCACCGCCGATCTCAGTCGCGGGTGTCAGTCTCCGGGTCACAGCTGGTTGTTATCAGCTGTGTCCTGGCGATTAGCGCCAATCAGTGACAGAGAGCAGGGCTGTAGTAGCTCTGCTTTCTGTCACTTCCCTGACAGTTCCTGACAAGCAGACCAGGAGAAAAGAGTTTCTCCATCCCGATCTGCATGTCTCCCTGCAGTACACACCCCCGCCCCCTAGTAAAACACTCCCCTCACACAGTTAACACTTTCAGTGCAAGAAAAAGTTAATCCCTTCCTCCCCAGTGCCATTAGTACAGTGTCAGTGTTTTTTTTTTGCACTGATCACTGTTTTGGTGTCACTGGGGATGTCAGTGACCCCAAGCCAGTTCCCCCCCAGTGTCAGAATGTCCGCCGCAGTCCCGCAGTCCTGCAATAAGTCGCTGATCGCCGCCATAAGTCACTGATCGCCGCCATAAGTCGCTGATCGCCGCCATTATTAGTATAAAAAAAAATTAAAAAACCAAGTATCTTTCCCGCCATTTGTAATCGCTATAACTTTCACGTAAACCAATTAATTTACACGTATTGGGGTTTTTTTTTTTTTTTAGCAAAGACATGTCTCAGAATGAATTTTGGCTGAAATATATGATGAAATTTGATTTTTAAATTTTTTTTACTGGACATGTTTTATAGCAAAAAGTACAAAATATTGTTTTTTTTCTCAAAATTGTCAGCCTTTTTTTTTTATAGCGCAAAAAATAAAAAACGCACAGTTGATCAAATACCACCGAAAGAAAGCTCTATTTGTGTGAAAAAAAGGACATAAATTTTATTTATGTACCATATTGCATGACCGCGCAATTGTCCGTTAAACTAGCGCAGCGCTGTATAGCAAAAAAAATTGCATAAATTGCAGTATCTATAGCATAGTTTGTAGACGCTATACGTTCACAAAAAGCAATCAATATACACTTATTGGGATTTTTTTTTACCAAAAACATGTAGCAGAATACATTTTGGCCTAAATTTATAACTAATTTTGAGTTTACTATATATTTTCTATAGCTGAAAGTAAAAAATATTGTTTTTCTTCAAAATTTTGGTCTTTTTTTGTTTATTGTGTGAAAAATAAAAAGCGCACAGGTGATCAAATACCACCAAAAGAAATCTCTATTTGTGTGAAAAAAAGGACATAATTTTGTTTGGGTGGAGCGTTGCATGACTGCGCAATTATCAGTTGAATTAGTGCAGCGCCAAGTAGCAAAAAGAGGCCTGGTCATTAAGGGGGGTAAATCCTCAGGAGGGCAAGTGGTTAAGCTGGCCATACATGGGTCAGTATTTTTTCCTTCAGTTAGCGGGTTGAAGGAAAAAACTGACCCGATTCCAACAGCCACACATTAAATGTCGAAGCGGGAGTCCTCCCTGCTTTGTCATTGTATGCTGACAGCAGGACACCTTTACCGATCGGCTGCAGTGCTAATCAAGTGGATATTTTCTAGTAGGGCCAGTCATGAGAAGTCAATCAGTAGATCCACTTATCATGAGCAGGAACGTCCGATAGATTGGAATTCATCCGATTCCTGGTGAAGTGGCTGAAGTTTTGATCCATGTATAGCCAGCTTTAAACTATGGGCACATGAGCCTAATGTAGCACCTTCCTAGTGCTGGCAAACAAGCTGCTGATTATGCCTGTGCTTTTAATTCACACAGGAAAAAAATACCATTCTGGTTTGTTCACTTTGTTGCCAGTCAAGCCTGATGACGGGAGCACTTAGACCCCCGAAACGCATTGGTTACTGTTTGAATTGTATCCCTGACTTTAAACGGAATAAAGTTTGTGTCTGGGTCTGGACCTCTTAGCAGTGGTGTGGCACTTCAATTTCAACTCTTTACATTCGTTATCACTCTTCATCTTTAAAGGGCCCCAATCTGCTAGCAGAAGATACTGTCCCCAAACTTTGGATTGACTCTATTTCATATCCACACCTGCTCATCGTTTACATAAAGGGGCGCCCCTTCTTTATATAAATATCTAAAAGAAGGCATCCACTTGGTCTAATTGCATTGCACTTATGTTGCAAGAGAGCTGGCAATTTTTCTAAGCCTTTCCCACACAATTGAGCTGCAATCTCAGGCACCATTGATGCACAGGGATTAATTACATTAATTTTACTGAAATATTGTGTCCATTGCCCTTTTATTCTGATTGTTGGTAACTGGCTTGGTGAATATTTTTAGTCTAACCATGTCTGAACCTAGAGTGTCAGAAGGGTTGAGGAGTTTGAAAAGTCAGGGCAGCAACAGAGGACCAGCTTCATCCAGTGGCTCCTGCAGGGGTAGCACTACATTTAAACCCAAACACTGTGCATTTGTGTTTTTTTTTTTCCACCACGATTAGCAAGTCTTGATACAAAGGTTTTGGTGATTGTCAAGTTAAAGGTTATTAAAGGCTTTGCAGAAAACATTATTGATGTGCAGTTGCAAATAGTATCCAAAACCTAAATATATTGAGGTTTACTATTTCTTAGATGTGGTGGCTGTATGCATTTAACATTTTTAGGCTGAGTATTCTAAGCAAGTACAGAAAATACCTGTTCATTTTTTCAGAAATGCAGTGCTTTCATATGTTCCTGTTAGCTGACAGAAAAAGCTATCTTCTATTTCTTTGTTTCGGTACTAATCTCCATATTCCCCATGTAATGGACATGATGAGACACTGTATATTTAAAAAACAGCCTGAGTGACAACCATGGCTCTATCCATAGACACAGTGACATAGCCACCCAGGGACAGCTGCTGTGTCTTCTGCAGAGTTACCAGGTGAAAATAAAAGGCAACACCTAGTTTTGAACAAAGGCAGATAAATGCATTCTTGATAGCAATAGATGATTTATCCATTATGCTGTTTGATTATAGATAATCAGCCAGTGGGTGTGGTGATAGATGTACCTCTCTGGGCATTTCTGAAGTACTATTAATAATACACCCATAGTACTTGAGATTAGATGGCTCAGTCTACAGTGTACCCAGTAAAAATGCCAAAAAAATTTTTTTAGGCTTCATGGACACTAGCCTACGGGGACTGTGACCATGGGAAAACACAAAACATGGCAAAAAACGTGTGTAAATGTGGTACATTTACACGCATTTTTGATGGGTTTCGCGTTTTCGTGTGGCCGGTGGTCAAAATATTCCTATCCTGAACGCGATTCTTCCGCATTCAGGAGAGGGAAGTTTAACCTCACCTAAACACGGTTGATCCTAATCTCCTCTAAAAGCCTATGTGTACATGAACCCATAGGCTTTTATGGAGTTGAGTTTAGGAGCTTTGGCAAAAAAACACCAAAAACTCCTAAACTCAAGTTTAGGAGCTGCTAGTGTATATGACTCCTTACATTTTGCAAAGACTTGTTATGTTATTAAGGGTGTTATAGGTTTTATGATTTCTGCTTGTTAACCTTAAAGGTGCAAGAGGCTTTGACGGATTCCCAGGAGATGTTGGATCATTTGGAAGACCTGGAAGCCCTGGATTAAAAGGAATAGCTGGAGACTTTGGCCGTCCAGGGCAACCAGGTAATATGCTTCACTTGTCACCAGAAACTGTGTTCTTGATATATTTAAAGTGTAATAGTTCTTATTAGATGGCAATGCATGTGTTAAAGTGAAAACAATACTAACAACATGTGAACACTTTGACTGCTCAGTACTAAATGTATGCTGGCAAGAAATAATTTGGGTTATTTCCTTTTTTTATTTTTATTTTTATTTTCTTATTTTTAGGATCTCCTGGGCTTCAAGGATTTCGAGGAAACCCTGGGCTTGTAGGAACCCCTGGATTCCCTGGATCTCAAGGATTCCCTGGACCTTCAGGGGCCCCTGGTGTTAAAGGTAGTATGATATCAATGCACAAATAATGCTGGCGTCATAACTGGTGTTATAATTTCTCAAAAAAAAATTTTCAATCTAATCCAGCAAAGCAGCTGAAGTTCAGTTTTAGATATAGCAAAGAATCGGTAGAGTATAGAGAATGGTGATAGAACAACTGTAAAGCAGATTATTCACTGGTAGATTTTCAAATAAACATTCATACAAAAAGTTTCAGTACATTCAATGACTTGACAAATGTTTTTTGAAAGTACTTCAATTTTTCATTTGCTTTTAATGTTTGATTTCACAATGAATGTCAGTCCCTAAATTAAAACCGCATACACTGTTAGAAATGTGTTTGCTTGAGAAAAATCTTTCAAATTTTATTGTCACTGCAGTCAAAAATGGACATCAATTTGACCACACACACAATTAGAAAATTGAACAGAAGTTAAAACCAAAAAATTCAAAGTTCTACTAGTGTATAGCCATCTTTAGGTTATTAATGCTGTTTGTGTTCCTGTTTGGGAGAATCACCTTCCCTAATTGCCCTGATCACCAGTGTCATGTGGAATGAAAGTGAAGATGAATCCCAAATTCTGAGTTGCAACCAGAGCATAGAATAGAGGGGAAATCTTCTAATGAAGACACTAGTTTCTATGACAACTGTCTAAGAGGATGACTTCCCCATTAAATAACTATCCTCTTATTTGAGTCTATAGGACTGGAAGTGAAATCTCTTTATAGAGATACAGATGGCAAAAATAAAAATGACAACAGTTTTAATCCTCTCTTACTGTATCCAAAATGAAAAAATAATTGGCTTTAGATATTGTTTAAATTTATTTTTCATATAACCAGCATATATGTTCCTGAATCTCTCTTGATATTAAAGCTGGAGTAGCCCATCAGTTTACCTGCTTAAAACAATTAACAATTAATTTCTACCAAATTGTCAAGCCATCAAATGGCTGGTTTCATAAATGATAATATTTACAGCACCAAGGTAACTGCAGATCAAACAGAGGCCAAGATAGCAGCTTCCTTTGGCAGGTAAAACAGATTGCATATGCTGTAGGTCATTCGACTGTAAATGTGCTGTTTGCATGGAGTTTAACTGTAACTGTGATCATCACGATCCCCATATATTAGCATTTTCACTGGTATTTGTGGTCTTTCATTACAGTAACAACTGTGACTTTTCTGTTTGTTTTAGGCTTCCCTGGTTTATCTGGGCTGGATGGATTAAATGGCTTGCCTGGCACAAGAGGTTTACCTGGCACACCTGGTAATTACAGTGGATTGTGAATTCAGTTATTTCAATAGTTGTATGAAACAGCAATAATATCAACAGCTGCATAACCCCTTCGTGACAAAATGTCATTGATACTTAGATGCCCAGCCCTTAATTTTGCAGTAATCCTGTAATTTGCATGCCCAAATCATTTTTGGTTTGTTTATAAGGACGTATAAAACTTTGGTAAAATATTTTAATAAATATCCTGCTCAGGTTATTAACAAAGGCTAAGAAATGGGCAAAGATGGTAAAAATATACCGTATTTTCCGGCATATAAGACGACTTTTTGACCCTTGAAAATCTTCTCAAAAGTCGGGGGTCGTCTTATACGCCGGTATACGGCATGCTGACACTTTTTAGGGGGGCGGTGCGGTACCGCCGCCGCCGCCCCCCCCCCCTTCCAACGGAAGTGAAACTAAGTACAGGGGTGGGCAGGAGCTTCTGTTTCTTACCTGGCTCCGGTCCCACGACGATCCGGTCCAGGAAGCGCGGATGCTCCTTCCTTCAGTTCGGCCACTGGATGTTCGTGCGGCTGCTCGGCTCCGCCTCCTCACCGGTGATTGGCCACCAGAACTGTAGCTCAGGAAAGGCACACAGGCGGCCAATCACCGGGGAGGAGGCGGAGCCGAGCGGCCCCACGAAAATCAAGTGAAGGTAAGTGTGCCGTGCACAGGTGCTGCTGCAACCATATATGCTTGCTGCAGCAGCACCATACTGAACAGGGGTCAGCAAGTGTCAGTGGGAGGAATAGTGCCCCATCATTGGTGTCACTGATACCAATGATGGGGCATTATTCCTCCCACTGACACCGACGATGGGGCACTTCCCCCCCCCCCCACTGACACCAACGATGGGACACTATTCCCCCCCCCACTGACACCAATGATGGGGCACTATTCCACCCCCCCACTGACACCAATGATGGGGCACTATTCCACCCCCCACTGACACCAATGATGGGGCACTATTCCACCCCCCACTGACACCAATGATGGGACACTATTCCTCCCACTGACACCAATGATGGGGCACGATTCCTCACACTGACACCAATGATGAGGCGCTATTCCTCCCACTGACGCCAATGATGGGGCGCTATTCCTCCCACTGACACCAATGATGGGGTGCTATTCCTCCCACTGACACCAATGATGGGACACTATTCCTCCCACTGACACCAATGATGGGGTGCTATTCCTCCCACTGACACCAATGATGGGGTGCTATTCCTCCCACTGACACCAATGATGGGGTGCTATTCCTCCCACTGACACCAATGATGGGACACTATTCCTCCCACTGACACCAATGATGGGGTGCTATTCCTCCCACTGACACCAATGATGGGGTGCTATTCCTCCCACTGACACCAATGATGGGACGCTATTCCTCCCACTGACACCAATGATGGGGTGCTATTCCTCCCACTGACACCAATGACTGGGCACTATTCCTCCCACTGACACCAATGACTGGGCACTATTCCTCCCACTGATACTAATGATGGGGCACGATTCTTCCCACTGGTGTGCATTGGAAGAGGGGTAGTCTTATACGGCGAGTATAGCCCAAACACTACATTTTAACAGGAAAAGTAGGGGGGTCGTCTTATACGCCCAGTCGTCTTATACGCCGGAAAATACGGTATTTGTTTTTCATTTTAGGCATTGCTCCCTCTCTAAAGCACTTCCGTTTATGGTTGCGTTCCAGCCTCCTCTATATACAATGCAGGGTTAATAGCCCTGCATTGTATGTGATGATGCCAAGAGACCGTCCACAAGCCAGAGCGTCAGTGAGTGGAGGAGAGAGCTGGAGCTGGCAGAAGCAGTGTATTTTATGTAATACAACCTGGTTAGCTTTCTCCTGAACTTAACAAGCATATAACCCTTTCAATGCAAGGGGGCTTCTGCTTGTGTACATATCAACTACTTAAAGCTGTTCTCTCTTAGATATTACATTTTATCTGTAAAGACCACGCATAGGCTGTGAATACACAGACATAACAAAACACTTTCATGAAAGCACATATCTGTAAAGAGGAGGCTGAATATTTACACCTCCTGCCCAAGATTCACCCTTTTGCAGAGAACCAGTCCCTCAACTTTCTCAAATAAACCAACACTCCCAAGGGTGTGGATCACCATAGTCCACCACAGCTCTCACTGTTTCCACCCTCTGATCTCCACATTACTACTGTATCCTACATTGACGTGAAGTTAGAGGTAGGAACCAATAATAGTTTCAGGAAGCAAAGAGAACAATACTCCCAGATACGTCAACTTCCTAGTGGACTTTAGATGTTCAATTCTAAGTAAGTGCTTCTGGAAAGCTTTATATTATATAGCAAGGTCTTTTTAAAGTGATTCTAAAGGCAGAAGACTAGCTCCCCTTACCCCATATACTTAACTGAGCCTAATCTCAGTCCATCACTGTGCCCAAGAGCAACAGCACTGCTCTCTCTCTCTCTCTCTCTCTCTCTCTCTCTCTCTCTCTCTCTCTCTCTCTTTCTCTCTCTCTCTCTCTCCCTCCTCACAGGGCTCAGATACAGCTGCAGCCATTGGCTCCTGCTGCTGTCAATCGCCTGTGAGGAGGGAATGGGGGCGGGCTGTGTGTCAATAGACACTAACAAAGCAGCTTGGGATCGAGCCTGCACAAGTGCCCCCATAGCAGCAGGTGAGTATAACATGTTTGTTATTTTAATAAAAAAAAATCTAAGGTTTTCGATTACTTTAATAATAAATAGACTGACTACCATAAATCAATTTAGGTAATATTGCCCAGATCCCAAAGGCTGAGAAGTCACCACTAGACAGTTGTTCTCTGGGAGAAATTGAGTATCTGTCTTTAAATGGTCCCTATCTTTAAACAAATCTAATAAAGCCAAACTGGTAATCAGAACATGAATGAACAGTTCGTATGTTGTACTGCAGTATAACTATGGCTTGTAATTTAAAATATCATTGTTTCCCAAAATAAGGCTTAAATGAAGCTGGACGGTCGGGTACTCCTGGATTTCCAGGGACTAAAGGTGAAAAAGGATCTCCCAACACAGTACCTGGACAATCTGGATTTAATGGTGGAAAAGGCAATCGTGGAGATCAAGGTAAGACAAGATCTTGAATTTAGATTTTAATTTTACACCAATTGTCTGAATCCATTGTGACCCATGTTTTACTGTAAACTGTGCTGTTAGTTAAATTAACATGGAAGAAGAGACAGAGACATAATATTTTGCAATGTGTCAGACACTGGTTACATAGTAGATCTTTTCTCATTACAAATGCATTTGGTTATGATTTTTTAAGTCTAATGTGAAACATTTTTTTAAGGATTGCCTGGTCTCCCTGGACCTCCTGGACTACCTGGCGCACCAGGAGCATCAAATGTTGTACCTGGATTACCTGGAGACCCTGGACCAGCTGGGCTTGATGGAGAGATGGGTATGATTTAATTGATTAATTAACTGTGTTGCATAAGCTGAATTTCCTTGCACTTGTGTACAATATACAAGAAAAATGCTCTATGGACATGTATTTATTTAGACATTATCAAAATCAAACAATTTTGCAGAGGTTGCAGCTAATTCTTTATAAAACAATATAAGTAATTTGGATAATTCTTTTTTACGATACACACTTCCCCTTCATCTCCCTACTCCTACACACACACACACACATCAGTACACAAAAGTGTTCTGTGAAATTATGTGTATTACCTGTGAATAGTTAGTCAATTGCTTCAAAAGACTTGGTTAAATAGGGAGGTTTCGGTATAGAATGTTTACTGCTCTTCCAATTTATTACTATTTCCTATTATTGTTATCTTGATGGAGAACCATTTAGGGGCTATATACACTTGTGTGTTGTAGCAATGTGCGCTAAAATGCATGCATTAACATACATTTTATTATGGATGGAACCTCAATGCACTGTACAGTACACAGCAGCACACAATGCACCGAAGAGCACCACAATGCACAGGGTGAATCTACCTATTGGGACATAGCAATAAAAACCTCCAACTCTTCCCTACGCTATCCAAAACTAATTCAAGCATTTTGGCTATACATTCATTTTATAAGTAGGTATACAATGATTTTTGGGCCCTCCTTCCTAAATTTTTGACCGCATTACACTGCTCTCTGTTTGCACATGTACCGAATTATTCATAATAACAAAGCGCATTGAATTTATTTAAACAAAGTAAAAGATCTGTGTTTCAAAGACATCTCCTTTGTAAAGTGCTTAACACTTTGAGGGCCAGTTCCCATCAGGATCTCCCATGAATGCGATCACTTTGTGTGATTTGCATTTTCAGCCCATTCAGTTTAATGGGCTGAAATTGTACTGCACTGCAACACACCAAAAGTAGTGCATGCACTACTTTAAAAAATGCATTGCGAACAGATCGCATGGTACTTTGGTGCCATGCAAACCGTTGAAGGGCGAATACATTGTGTTGGAGACCTGAGTTTGGGATGTCGGTAACTTAATATTGACACCCACTGCAGATCACAACGCAGTGAGTTTTTAACATAGTTCAGGAAATGCACACGGAATACAGGTTTCCTGCGCAGGGTTCTGGTATGAACGGGCCCTCATGGAATAGCAGGCACATCCTGGTATCTGCAGGTAACATCTACAGTCTTTCAAACTGTCTTTTCACCTCAAAGCCCTAAAGCTCAATGGGCTCTATTATGAATATATCAATTTCAGCCTTGGAGATGGAGGTTTGACTTCTTCCAACACCACGCTATTGATGTATCTTTGTGATGATTGGTCCTGCTGGTTATAGATAACAGAGACAAAGTGGTGATCTAAACCTCAACCTTCTTGGCTGAAGTGGATATTTACTTTAAGAATAAAGCATTGGAACAGATGTATTAGTGCTATCTGGCTCACAGCCAATCTCATATATTTTCCTATATGAATGCTGTCACTATTGCTCCACTACTTCTGAGGGTCAAATAAACAGTTCTTATGTAAAATATAAAAATGATTTGCTATAAATATTTGCCATAATGTTATATATGTTATGATTCCAGGAATGCCAGGACGCCCTGGACCGCGTGGCCCCCCTGGTCCAGCCTCAAATCAAGGGGACACAGGAGATTCAGGATTTCCAGGAACACCAGGCAGAGGTGGTATAAAGGGAGATCCAGGTGTCCCTGGAAATCCTGGCAGCCCTGGAGCTCCTGGAGTGAAGGGTAAGTGTTTGCTATTCCATTTATGCATTACAGTACCTGAATTCTAAATTCCTCTCACCTGCAAAAGCACTCACTAGATACTGCATTACCTTTACTGATAAATGTTAAAGTTATTCATTTTCCTTTTATTACATGACTGCAGCAGAAAAGACAAAAATTGACATAGTACTGGCAAGCATCAACACTTTGTTCTGTAAATGGTGGTTTAAAAGAATAGTAAAAAATAAACATTTATACTCACCTATATGGCTGCAGCATTGATACGATCAGTGAGCAGAGAGCCAGTGACTGTCAGTCACTGAATATCTGTTCTGCCTCTCCAGCTCTCACTGGAGCCCTGGGCTGTGGAGGGGACAGGAGTGGCTGATTTAGTTCTCAGTGGTGCGACATCTGCCAGTCAGGCATCTGGACGGATCTCAACATAATTGTCGGGGTCCCTGCAGAATCTGGACCGGCTCTGTAATGTTTGAATCTGGGTCACAGGACTGCAGAACTAAGTGCATTCCCATGGCCCACAGGAAAAGTATGGCCAAAAAAGTTTTGACCATAATTCTATAAAAATATATAGTATAATAAAGCGCGCTATTGTCTATACAGATTGAATGGGTAAAACCCACATACATAGAAAATGAATAAAAGAGTACAGTGCTAAATTAAAATTTCCAAGGACATACTAAATATAACAAAAAGTCCAATCCAAAAGGCATTAACGTGTGGAAGAAAAGTTCATCAATCAAGGACCCAACAGAAATCCGACAGATTCCCAAGAGATCACCAAGAGGAAAAACTCCTTCACCAACACTAATCACACTGCCTCTTATCAGATGATGTTGACCCCCCGAAAAGGAAAGGTTAATACACGCTGTGTGCTTCCTAGAAGAGAACAATGAACTCGTACACTTTAAGACTCCTGGTCTTCAATGCATAGTGATTTTGGGATGGACCTAAAAAATAAATATTATCCAAACAGTAGCGGACAAGCTTAATAGTTTCAGTCCAGGGTTTCTGGGAATATTTTGAATGCAGTTTTTCTAACAAGACATTTCCAGAAAATGTCACAGGAGCTGTGTCAGCAACCCTCCTTTCTTGCTGATGTCCAATAGGAGCAGAAATTCCAATTGAATCCTTCTTCTCTGTTGGAGACCACCGTTTTGGCGTTATCCCTGTGTCTGACATATCCACTAGAGTATCCGGATAGGACTTCTCCAGACCCTGTCACATCTGTCACATGTGCCCAGGGTGAACCTGCTCTCATCTGTGAAAAGCACAGGGCGCCAGTGGAGGACCTGCCAATTCTGGTGTTCAATGGCAAATGTCAATTGAGCTCTGTGGTGCCAGGCAGTGAGCACAGGTCATCAGGCCACCCTCATAAAGTCTGTTTCTGATTTTTTGGTCAGAGACACTCACACCAGTGGCCTGCTGGAGGTTGTTTTGAAGGGCTCTGGCAGTGCTCATCCTGTTCCTCCTTGCACAAAGGAGCAGATACTGATCCTGCTGATGGGTTAAGGACCTTCTACAGCCCTGTCCAGCTCTTCTAGAGTAACTGACTATCTCCTGGAATCTCCTCCATGCTCTTGAGACTGTGCTGGGAGACACAGCAAACCTTCTGGCAATGGCACATATTGATGTTGGTGATGGAGGAGTTGGACTGCCTGTGCAACCTTTGTAGGGTCCAGGTATCGCTTCATGCTACCAGTAGTGACACTGACCCTAGCCAAATGCAAAACTAGTGAAAAACAGTCGGAAAAGATAAATAGGGAAAAAAATATCACTCTTTAGTTTTTTTTAGCACTATACATAGAAGGGCATTAATGCTGAAGTTTAGTCAATCATTTTTTTAATCAGCACAAGGGACTGTACTTATTATCTGTTTTTGCTTGTCCCTTGTGATAATGGCTGCTGATTTAGTTAAAATCTTCCATCCTCCAACCCCCCCATACCCTCACAGCAATAATCTTCCGATGCTGCGGGGGTTAAAAGAGGTGAGGGACCTGTGACAGGCACTCATCAAGAGTGCTGACTATGCCCACACTTTCTGCCCCCTCCTTCATTCATAGACCTTTCATTCATCCTCCTGTCCTCCATTCATAGATCACTTTTCATTCATGAAAACCTATCATATGGATATTTACATATTTGTGTAGAAGTAGGAGTAAAAAATAAAAAAAAAACAATTTCCATGGACATATAGTAATTGTCAGTGGTAAATCCATTTTGCTATTGCTCCCCACTGCCAGTTACAGAGTTTCCCTTTTTGTATTTCTCTATTTAGGTTTAAGAGGTGATCCAGGTTTCATGGGGAGTCCAGGAAAAGAGGGCCCTGTTGGAGATCCCGGATATCCTGGACCCAAGGGAGAAAAAGGGAATCAAGGTATATATGTTTATATTACTACATACAGTACATAATTTATATTTTCATGGTTCTTATGTGCATGAAACATTTTGGTATGTATTATTATGACAACTTAAAATCTTCAAAGGATACCGCTTTACTTGACTGAAAATGTTGTGTTATTGGGAAACAATCAATTTTTCTCTTTTTTGTGAGTTACGTTTACCATTGCTTTTGTGATATGTTAGCAAAAAAGCTTGCCATTAAACATATTAAATGCAAGTAACTTGTTTTCAGGTTTTCAAGGTCCAACGGGGCGTCCAGGTTCACCTCCCTTGGATTATTTTGATCCTTCTTTTGGAATTCCTGGACTTCCTGGAATCAACGGCTTTGATGGAGGGCCAGGTGATAGAGGTTCACAGGGACTAGCAGGACCTCCTGGTAAGGAAGATGAGTTAACAAATATTTATGTACTTATGTATGCCACATGTTGTCACATTGTTTTGGTTAGTGCACTATAACTTTCCACTTATTCAGTTTATGTAGTCCATCTGACAAAATGACACTATGTATCCTAAGAATTAGGAGGTAACTTTCTGAACTGTCACTTGGTAGTCCAGTTCTCCATTGGCTATTCATCCCCAGTGATATTTGTATCTAATTAATCTGGCTAAAAAAATCTGCAGAATTTACGATGGGCCTGATGTACAGTATATGGAACATATTGGCTCTGTAGACTGGTGTTATAAACTCAGAAATACTTTTATCAGTCAGTACTAGTAAGTTTTTGTTTTTCTCTTACCTTCCCTTCATTTACTGTCTCTTACCACTATTGTACCTGTTAATTTTCCTGCAGGCAGCAAAGGTTTCCCTGGCCGTCCAGGGCAGATGGGAAGGAATGGATCACCAGGTCAGCCAGGGTTTATTGGTGATGCTGGTGAACCAGGTATTCCAGGATCCTCAGGGTTTGAAGGTAATGCCTCTTTTTAGATAATAACACTGTTTTTGTTTTTTTTAGGTCCCTATCCCATAAATGTTAAGATGTAAACCACAACCCTGTAAAAATGATCATATAATGAAAACAATGTTCCTGTTCCATTTTAAACTTGTTTAGGCCTAAATTATGCAGGAGATTTTATTTAACTTTGTAGCATGAGATCAACATTTTATTGATAAATATTTAATTATATGCACATTTATATCAATATGTTGCAGATTATGTGGTTTTCAGTAAGAGGCTGATACATTGCTACTAATCAATATAAAATAAATGTAAAGCTAAATGTAATATAGCTGTTAAAGAGAACCTGCAGTGCTTTAATGATTTGTATGTATATATGCACATAGATCTGATTATTGTAAATTGTCGATTAATAATAAAACCCTGATATAGTTTGTAAATACATTCTGTATGTCCATAGAGGCAGACATATTTGTTCAATACATATGAAGGTGTACTGCATGATGTGCCTCACCAATCCTGTCCTCTCACTGTAAATCTATAGAGTCTGTTGGTTTGGAGACAGTAGATTTACCAAACCCTTAGTGATGAAAAAAACACAATGCTTCTGGTTGCCAGAGATTATGTGATCTATGCTTCCTAGGCTTTAGATAATATGAGGGAGCTTTGGATCACCAATTTTCTGTTTAGTGAGGGGAAGTATGGATTTTAATGCTAGATGAATTCTAAAATAAGCCCCAAATCTTGTGTCAAATGAAATCTTCTCCCACTTCTATTGATTGCAGCCATCACTTGTTACTGGTCAGCACTGATTAGTGACCGTAGAGTGAACATACTAGCCGACTGAGAGGAGGGATTTATTATTGTTTATTATTATACAGTATTTATATAGTGCTAAAAGGTTTGCTCAGCGCTGTACATTATAGTGGGGGACAGAACATGAGACAATACAGTAACAAAACAAAACATGAGGGGTTCAAGGGCCCTGCTCTTTCGAGCTTACAATCTAGGATTTAAAGACAGACAATAGCAACAGCATGCTACTGAAAATTGTGTATTGCCAGAAGAAAGAGCACACCACTCCAAAGAAATATGTACAAAATATCTGTGAGGGCTTTACAGTCTTGTTTTTGAAAAATTAAATGGTATGTGTACAGTTATATGACTTTAACCAGTATAGCATATTGAGAAATAATAGGTAAAAATAGAATTATCCCATACATTATCCCCTCAACAGTTCATGCCTGAACTTTGCCAATGTTTGCAGGTCCCCCAGGAAAACAGGGCATCAGTGGATTGCCGGGTATGCCTGGAAGGAGTATAAGTGTTGGCTACACCTTGGTGAAACACAGCCAGGCTGAAACAATTCCTCAGTGTCCAGTTGGAATGAACAAACTTTGGGATGGCTACAGTTTGCTGTATGTAGAAGGGCAGGAAAAAGCTCACAATCAGGATCTGGGTGAGTAAATTCTCTGCTACTGATGAAAAAAATATATAATATGTGATGTCATTTATATGTTAACATTAGGAGTTGTACTCTCATCTAAAGGTAGGACAGCAGAAGAACTTCAAATGTTACATTTACTAAGCAGTGTCGAGTTTAAGTTATACTAAAAAATATACACAAACATGGTAAACTTCCCCTAAAAGTAGGTATACCAAACAGCTAAATGATTTAAATATATGTCAAATGACTAGGTCAGAATAAAAGAAAAGTTTTTTACTCCTAGACTGTATCTTGGTCTATGGAGATTGGAAGGAGGCAATAAAACATGCAAGCTTAATCATACAGTACAAGACACAGGCTGGATAATCAGAGTGTCAGGGATCGCGGCGTCCTGCCGGCCGGCGCATGCGCGCTGGCGACGGCTCACGCCGGGACACAGGCACTAGGTCCCGGCGAGCCGTGGATGACAGGATGCCGCGCATGCGCAGTGGGACCCGCGGGCGCGCCTCGGGCGGCCAATGACAGCCCGGGGGCGCGTCCCGAGCGGCCAATGACAGTGCAGGGCGCAATATTTAAAGATGCCCTGCACTGTCAGTAATCGCCGCAAGGTCTATCTGAGTTCCTGAGTCCTGTACCTGTGTTTTTGACCCTGATTGACCCTGACTACGCTGCCTACTCCTGTGTTGACCCGGATTGTCCTGACTACTCTGCCTTCTCCCATCCTGACCCCCGGCTTGTTTTGACCTCTCTACGGACTGACTTATCCTGATGACCCTGCGTGTGACCTGACGATTCTCCGCCTGCCGATTCTGTACCTCTCCTACCCCACGGGACCCCCGCTCGTGATCCATCCTGCTAGGTCCTGCCGTCCTCCTCACATCTGGCTCTCCCGGTACCAATACATCCCCGGAGGTTGCCCCTGCCACTGGTGGGCCTGCTCGGAGGTCGTGACCTGGTCCCGGTCTGTTTCAAGTCCATCCCCACCATCAGGGGCCCTGGTGAAAGCACAGACCGGGACTTAGACTCCACGCTTTGGGTAGGTCTGTCAAGTGGGCAGCCAGGGGCACCACCTGGCGGGTCCTAACAGTACCTTGCGGCCATGACAGAGCTAGGAAGAGGACTGGCGTCCCTAGAGGATATATGCCAGCACCTGGCGACTCTGACCCAGGCCTTCCAGAATTTTCACAGCCGCTGCACCCGGCTTGAGGACCGCATGGAGTCGTTTGCCACCCAGACTCCCCCTGCTCCAAGTTCCGCAACTGCGGAGTCACCCCGCTGCTCCAGCATCCGGAGTCAGCAGTTGCGGCACCCCTAGCTCCCGAACCCCGCGTTCCCCTGCCGGAACGATTCCGTGGAGACCGAAGCCGTTTTCGGGCCTTCCGGAACGCGTGCACTTTATTTTTTTGACCTGCAGCCCCGCACGTTTACCGTCGAGACCGTCAAGGTGGGTTTATAATCTCTCTCCTTCAGGATGAGCCCCAGGATTGGGCTCACCGCCTGATGGAGAAGCGTGACCCCCATCTCGATTCCGTGACTGAGTTCTTTCAGGCCATGGCCGTCCTATATGACGACCCCCAGCGGGCTGCCTCCGCAGAGGCTACTCTTCTATACTCTCTGCGGCAAGGCCGCCGGGGCGGCCGAAGAGTATGCGTCTGATTTCAGGCGTTGGATGGGAGATACCAGATGGAACGATGCGGCATTATGTCACCAGTTCCGCATTGGGCTGTCTGAGTCGCTAAAAGACGAATTAGCACGAGTAGGACTACCGGACTCTCTTGAGAAACTGATAGAGTTGGCCATCCAAATTGACCGCAGACTGAGAGAGCGTCGCCTGGAAAGGAGTAGCCAGGGTCAAAGGGTGGCATGGATCCCACCGAGAGAAGCAGCTCCAACCCCAGGGAACCATGCCCGGAGCACGGAAGCAGGGGACACCTCAGAACCTATGCAACTGGGACTGGCCCGTTCCACTTTATCGGCCGAGGAACGTCAGAGGAGAGACGATCGCAGAACCTATGTCTGTACTGTGGGGAAGCTGGTCACCAGGTGCGCTCCTGTCCTGCAAAAATGAGTAAGTCCGCTTCCTGTTTTCCTTTACCTACAGAAAGGGGTGACCTATCTAGTTACCTGGCAATACCTGTGTCGTTACAGCAGCTCCCCGGAGGAACCCTGTCGGTGACCGCAATCATTGATTCGGGAGCATGTAGTTGTTTCATTGATCTTACTTTTGCTCACCGGCAAAAGATTCCCCTCCAGACCAAAGAAAGGGGGTTTAACATCTTCCTGGCAGACGGGTCTAGCATAAAGTCGGGAGTGGTGGATCAGGAGACTCCCCCTATTTTTACCACGATGGCTGACCATCATCAGGAGTTCCTCCGTCTGGATGCCATCGCATCCCCCCTTTTCCCAATCATTCTGGGGCTTCCTTGGCTGCGGGCCCATAACCCCCAGGTTGATTGGGAGAAGGGAACGGTTCAATTTCGGTCACCATACTGCCGGGATCACTGCCATGTCCCAGGGCCCGTGCCTCCCCGGTTTCTCCTATGCATGGATGGTGATACGGATCTGTCTCAGGTTATCCCTCCGGCCTACCACGTATTCTTAGATGTGTTCAGTAAGCGAGGAGCAGACATTCTTCCCCCACACCGTTCCTACGATTGCCCCATAGACCTCCTACCCGGATCTGAGATTTCATTCGGTCGCATTTTTTCCTTTATCGGAACTAGAATCAGGGGTTTTGAGGGGAGTATATTGATGACAATCTGCGGAAGGGATTTATTCGCCCGTTCACGTCCCCGGGCCGGGGCTGGGTTGTTTTTTGTAGAAAAAAAAAAAGACAAATCGTTACGGCCTGTATTGACTACCGAGACCTGAATAAAATCACAGTAAAAAATCGCTATCCGTTACCCCTAGTCCCTGAGCTCCTCCAGAGGTTAGGGTCAGCAGCGATTTTTACTAAATTAGACTTGCGGGGGGCATATAACCTTGTTCGTATCAGGGAGGGGGATGAATGGAAGACAGCCTTTCGTACGAGATTCGGTCATTTCGAATATTTGGTGATGCCGTTCGGGCTCTGTAACGCACCGGCCACCTTCCAACACTTTATTAACGATGTCTTTCGTGATTTCCTCGATGTCTTCGTGGTTGTCTACCTAGATGACATCCTGATATTTTCACCCTCACTGGAGGCTCATAGGGAGCATGTGGCAAGGGTCCTAACACGTTTACGCCAACACGGGCTTTACGCCAAGGCAGAAAAATGCTGTTTTGAACAGTGTAAAATAACGTTCTTGGGACTGGTCCTCTCTCTCCCGCGGGGGTCGCGATGGATCCCCAGAAAGTCACGGCGATCTTAGATTGGCCAACACCCACCGATAAGAGGGGGGTACAGCGTTTCATTGGATTCGCAAACTTTTATAGAAAGTTTGTCAGGAACTTCTCAGGGCTGGTCTCCCCAATCACGCAACTGACTAAACAAGGGACTTGTTTTTAAATGGACCCCTGAAGCCCAGACCGCGTTCGACACGCTCAAGAAATTGTTTACTTCTGCTCCCATTCTCTGCCATCCAGATTCTTCTCTTCCATATGTTTTGGAAGTGGACGCCTCCGAAAACGTTGGGCGGTAGGAGCGATTCTTTCCCAAAGGAGTGGTACCAAGGAGTTACTGCATCCCGTGGCGTTTTTCTCCAGGAAGTTGACTCCGGCGGAGCGCAATTACGATATTGGAGATCGGGAACTCCTGGCCATCAAGTCCGCTCTAGAAGAATGGAGGTATCTCCTGGAAGGAGCCACACACCCAATCCTAATATTCATGGATCACAAGAACCTCGAGTATTTAAGGACGGCGAAACGACTGAGACCACGCCAGGCGAGATGGGCTCTTTTCTTCTCTCGGTTTTACCTTTCATATAACGTACCGACCTGGGTCTAAGAATACAAAACCAGACGCTCTGTCCCGCATGTTTGAGGACCCCGACGATACAGTGTTACCTGACACAATTTTGCCATCCTCGTCCTGCAAATGGAACTTCGCTCCAGACTGATTGACGCTTCCGTTGGACTGCCAGTCCCGCCTGGGTCGCCTCTCCAGAACCGCGATGGTCTGCTTTGGAAGGAAAATCGGATCGTGGTGCCAGAAGGAGTTCAAACTTTCGTCCTGGGGCACTGCCACGACCATCCAATGGCAGGGCACTTTGGGGGTGACGAAGACTCTGGAGCTCATTCTGGTGGCCAAACATGGTCAAAGACTGCGAGCGCTACGTCCAGACCTGTCCCACCTGCCAAAGGAACAAGCCCTCCAGAAGCAAGGCCTGGGGATTGTTGCATCCATTGCCGATACCCAAACGGGGCCTGGCAAATGATTGCCATGGATTTTGTAGTCGAACTCCCACCGTCTCAAGGCTACACTGCCATAATGGTGATCGTGGATCGCTTTTCAAAGATGGCCCATTTCGTGCCCTTGGAAAGAACCCCGTCGGCACCGGAGACTGCACGGATATTCATCAAGGAAGTAGTGAGGCTACATGGGATACCCGAAGACATAGTATCGGATCGGGGAGTCCAGTTCACATCAAGATTCTGGAAAGCCTTATGTGAAGCATTAGGAATCAAACTGTCACTGTCATCCGCTTACCATCCACAGACCAACGGGCAAACAGAAAGGACCAATCAAACATTGGAACAGTACCTCAGATGCTACACCTCCTATCTCCAGGATGACTGGCTAACACTGTTGCCTTCTGCAGAGTTCGCCTATAATAACTCGAGCCACTCAGCGACGGGACAATCACCATTTTTTACCAATTTCGGATATCATCCTACGTTTTCTCCCCGACCTAATGCCCGAAAGTCCGGTACCCGCATCTCAAAATGTCTTGCATTTCTTTTTCTGTCAATAACAAAACGATTCAGGAGGCCATCACTAAAGCCCAAGAAGATAGTAAAAAGGCGTTCGACAGGAAGAGAAGAGGAGAGCTGTTGCTCCAGCCGGGGGATCAGGTTTGGTTGGCTACGACCAACTTGAAAATGCTGTGTCCTTCCAGGAAGTTAGGACCGAAGTACCTTGGACCGTTTCCAATTAAACGGGTGATCAATGAAGTGGCCTACGAACTTGAGCTCCCGGAGTTTTTCAAAATACACCCTGTGTTCCATGTCTCTCTCCTGAAACCATCCAGACCAGATTCCTTCCCGGATCGCCAATCCAGACCTCCTGAGGCAGTCACCATAGGTGACCAGGAGGAATATGAGGTAGAAACTATTCTCAGTTGCCGAAAGAGGGGGGCCAGACGCAGTTCCTGATAAAATGGAAGGGTTATGGCCCTGAGGAGAATTCTTGGGTACCCATCCAGAATGTTCACGCCCCCAGGCTCATCCGGGAATTTTTTCGTGGCCACCCGCGGTGGAGAGATCAGTGGGGCTCCCGGAGGGTGCCCATGGGGGGGGGGGGGCAATGTCAGGGATCGCGGCGTCCTGCCGGCCGGCGCATGCGCGCTGGCGACGGCTCACGCTGGGACACAGGCACTAGGTCCCGGCGAGCCGTGGATGACAGGATGCCGCGCATGCGCAGTGGGACCCGCGGGCGCGCCTCGGGCGGCCAATGACAGCCCGGGGGCGCGTCCCGAGCGGCCAATGACAGTGCAGGGCGCAATATTTAAAGATGCCCTGCACTGTCAGTAATCGCCGCAAGGTCTATCTGAGTTCCTGAGTCCTGTACCTGTGTTTTTGACCCTGATTGACCCTGACTACGCTGCCTACTCCTGTGTTGACCCGGATTGTCCTGACTACTCTGCCTTCTCCCATCCTGACCCCCGGCTTGTTTTGACCTCTCTACGGACTGACTTATCCTGATGACCCTGCGTGTGACCTGACGATTCTCCGCCTGCCGATTCTGTACCTCGCCTACCCCACGGGACCCCCGCTCGTGATCCATCCTGCTAGGTCCTGCCATCCTCCTCACATCTGGCTCTCCCGGTACCAATACATCCCCGGAGGTTGCCCCTGCCACTGGTGGGCCTGCTCGGAGGTCGTGACCTGGTCCCGGTCTGTTTCAAGTCCATCCCCACCATCAGGGGCCCTGGTGAAAGCACAGACCGGGACTTAGACTCCACGCTTTGGGTAGGTCTGTCAAGTGGGCAGCCTGGGGCACCACCTGGCGGGTCCTAACACAGAGACCCTGGGTTATAGGCGCTTTTTTTTTCAGGTGACTGGACACTGGCAAAGCTTGAGTGTATAGCAATAACCCTACACTACTCCATGAGACTTGAAGTGGTTGTAAAGGCTCAAGGTTTTTTGCCTTCATGCATTCTATGCATAAAGTTAGAAAACCTTCTGTGTACAGAAGCCCCTCACAAATAATCGCAATTCAGCAATGTGCATGAGAGCCTCAGCTCTCCAGGGACTCTCCCTCCTCATTGGCTGAGACAGCAGCTCCCACTGCTGTCAATCACAGCCAGTGAGCCAATGAGGAGAGAGAGAGGGGACGGGGCCGAGCAGTAGCTCTGTGTGTGAAAAGACAAGCAGAGCAGTAGCTCAGAAGTGAGTCTGCTTGGGTGCCCCCAAAGCAACATACTTGGGGACACTCAGCAGGAGGGAGGGGCCATAAGTGATGGCAGGGGACCCAAAAAGAGAAGGACCAGGGCTACTATGTGCAAAACCACAAAAAACATTGCCTTTAATATCACTTTCAGTTTTTTGATAGTCTCCTGTAGGTGATGGATCTCTTCTTTATGGAGAAGTGTCTATGCTCAACTATTGCTTATTACTTCAAATTCTTCAGTGAACTCTTTACTGTCTTTTGCTATAACATTACAAGCAGTGCAAAAAAATCAATGAAAACACATTTTATTTCAGATCAATAAAACATGTTTAGATACAGGGATCACATCTAGCAATGAAAAGCAGATACCTGTACAGAGTATATGAGAATGCTCACATATAAAATTGGAATGGGTCCAAAGAATCTAAGCAGGATCAATGCCTGATCAGCCTCATATGTTAAGTTTCGTGTGTGGTGTATTTTTTCAATCTCAAAATTATCCATTATATATTCTAGGTCTTGCTGGATCTTGTCTACCCAGATTTAGCACGATGCCTTTTGTGTACTGTAATATCTATGAGGTCTGCTACTATGCCAACCGAAATGACAAGTCTTACTGGCTGTCTACCACTGCTCCTATTCCTATGATGCCTGTGGCCAGCACTCAGATTAAAAACTACATCAGCCGCTGCTCTGTGTGTGAAGCTCCTTCCCAGGCTGTTGCTGTTCACAGCCAAGACAACACCATCCCACAATGTCCTGATGGCTGGAGGAGCCTCTGGATTGGATATTCTTTCCTTATGGTAAGTATACTGTTTGGGGTGCTTTATGTATTCCTTTAGCAGATATAGTTGTGCGTAAAGGAATATTAGTGATCTGAAGATAGACATAAGGAAGAATAGCAGCTTAATTGATTTTTTCACTGAAATGTATTCAGCCAGGAGGTGTATGTGTCAAGGTGCCCTATACACAATAATTTGGGTATGCTGAGAAATGGATTTTTTTGGATACCTTTAGTCTGTACCTAACACACACATTCACACCACACTTGATTTGGAAATTGGATTATCCAGCTTTTGACCATAAAATAATAGTAGTCACATAGATGGTAACTAGACCAGGTCCCAAAATAGAGAGGCCCATCTTGTAACCCTCTTTTACTATAAAACACCATATGGCAGTTTTGCCATCTGTGAACACTTACCAGAATTCACAAATCCAGGACAGAGGCTAAGAATCACATTGCCAGTGATATTACTTACTTGCACTGAAGATCAATGTGGAACATATTAAAAATGTTCTTCATCTGATGTCCCAAAATAACCAAATGTGTCAGAATCCTACATAACAAAAAATAGCCATGTAATGTGATGGACTATATATAAAATAATTCTTCAGGTGCATAAATATTTTCTGTTATGTATTTCTTTTTTTAATCAGATAGGTACTTTTTTAATCAGATAGTTTTTAATATGTTTAAAGTTTTCATAAAACAGTATAAATAGACCCAAAACAGAGCTCAAAACTGAAAAAAAATCCAGAACCAAGTAACAAGAACAAAGGTACAGAGCTGGAAAATATTAATTACATTATCATATTATACACTGCTCAAATAAATTAAAGGAACACTTTGAAAACACATCAGATCTCAATGGGGAAAAATATCATGCTGGATATCTATACTGATATGGACTGGGTAATGTGTTAGGAATGTAAGGATACCCCATCGTTTGATGAAAATTAAAATGTTCAACCTACAGTACATAGGATTGTATTCAAAGATACCCTAAAAATCAAAGTGAAAAAAATGATGCAGCAGGCTAGTCCATTTTGCTGAAATTTCATTGCAGAAATTCAAAATGGTATGGCCCCACATGCTTGTATGCATGCCTGACAACATCAGGGCATGCTCCTAATGAGATGACGGATGGTGTCCTGGGGTATTTCCGCCGAGATCTGGACCAGGGCATCATTGAGCTCCTGGACAGTCTGAGGTGCAACCTGACAGCATCGGGTGGACCGAAACATGATATCCCAAAGGTGTTCTATTGAACTTAGGTCAGGCGAGCATGGGGGCCATTCAATAGTATCAATTCCTTCATCCTCCAGGAACTGCCTGCATACTCGCTCCACATGAGGCCGGGCATTGTCGTGCACCAGGAGGGACCCAGGAATCACTGCACCATCGTAGGGTCTGACAATGGGTCCAAGGATTTAATCCCGATACCTAATGGCAGTCATGGTGCCATTGTCTATCCTGTAGAGGTCTGTGCATCTCTCCAGGGATATGCCTCCTCAGACCATCACTAACCCACCACCAAAATGGTCATGCTGAACGATGTTACAGACAGCATAAAGTTCTTCCATGGTTTCTCCAGACTGAGTATAGTAGGATCATTGAGCAACCAAGCACTAGACTTAGCTTCTGCTTGTATAGTGTGGTGTAACTGCAGATAGAAACACTTGTTAGATAACCCATATTTCTCTTTCAAAGTTTGAAAATCTTTGAGGACCTGGCCATTATATCATTGTGGGACATAAATAAGGCCCCTGCAGAACAGTTGTCAAAGCTTTCTAATTTCAGGTAGTTAAAGTTTCGAATAAAATTGATATAGTCTGCATTGACCATTTATTGGATATGAGATTTAATTATGTTCCACATTCTATGTATCATGCATATGTGGAGTAGTTTACATTCTGTTACATTCTTTGGATAAGTAATTCACATTTATCCTTTTCACAGCACACAGCTGCAGGTGCAGAAGGTGGCGGACAGTCCTTAGTGTCCCCTGGCTCATGTTTGGAAGACTTCCGGGCCACTCCATTCATCGAATGCAGTGGTGCTCGTGGAACCTGCCACTACTTTGCCAACAAGTACAGTTTCTGGCTGACAACTGTGGAAGAAACAAGGCAGTTTGTAGGGGATCCCCCCTCTGAGACACTGAAAGCTGGGCAACTTCGAACACGCGTCAGCCGCTGTCAGGTGTGCATGAAGAACTTGTAGCATGACTGCTTTACCAAGAACTCTTTCCCGTGATTTCCAGCCTCCATTGGTGTATATAAAGGCACACAAGCTGGCCATTCTGAGCAAAGGCATTTGCCTTAGAACTTGGAGATTACAATAAGGCACTTTTTTTTTACTAAATAGCAAAGAATATCTGCTGTAAACTCATCAGTCAAATGATAAGTGAGAGGCCGTACAATGAAGTATGGACATTCACATTTCAGAGAGGAAATATTTTAAAAGAAATGGTGCTAACCTTCTATTTTTGTCTATTATGTATTATTCATGGCTACCTCAGGAAGGCCTTTGTAAATTTCAATCAGTGCTATAATAGTCTCATGACGACAACTGAATTTCATCAGTGGTGCTAGCTGGAATTCATTCTTGAAAGAAGGAACCTTGAGTTCACAACCTAATCTGGAAGAACCCAACAGCTGTATTGTAACCACTTGGGTGTGATATTTAAATGTTAACCCTAAAGAAGATGTACATCCCAATCAAAACAATGGCTGAAATTAGTATTCTGTTTTATCATCTTTGATTTTGGAGAACTGGAAATATAAGCACTTTGGTTAGAATGTTTCCACCTTGAACATTTCTAAAGAAGATGTACATCCCAATCAAAACAATGGCTGAAATTAGCATTCTGTTTTATCATATTTGATTTTGGAGAACTGGAAATATAAGCACTTTGGTTAGAATGTTTCCACCTTGAACATTTCTCAAGTAATCCTTTAATGAATCTCTCCAAAAAGCAATCTTTCATTAATATGGTAATTGCTTGCATAATTGATGCCTAAACTCTTCTTTTGCTTCTTCCAATGTCACAATGTCATCAGCATTATGTAAACAAGCTGCTTGTACTGAAAAAGGAGTCACCAACCCAAGATGATCATTAGAGTCAGGATATCTGCAGTCAATTTTGGGAGACCTCTACTTCTACTATCCATTCTCAAATGTAGCCCTATTAGCTGGTCAGAAAATGAGTACTGTATGCAGGCATGTAACAAGACAGAAACAGAATATACAAAATCATATGTTTAATTGAATGCGGTTTATTCTGGTACCATTTATGTATTTTAGTTAAATGACAGGTTTGCTTAAAAAACACCATTGTACAGCAATATTTTTCAGTAGTCATGGTGCAATTAACATCACACACACTGCGAGATCACTGCTCCTCAGTGGAGTGGAATGTAGATCATTCTCCCTAATACAGTAACACATTTTAAAGGCACTGAAAAATAGCACAGCATTTGAGTGTCATTAATCTATGATATACAATAAGGTATGGAGGTGCAGTCCACATGTATCAGCTGTAGATTCATAATGCGATAAGTCAGTCCTTAAACTGTTATTGCGGCATCCCTGTATATTAGTCTTCTGCAAAGAAGAACTGCCTATTTGTTGACCACTAGAGCCTGGTCTTTCCGAGGTAGCCTTGGTGCATTTATTTTGTAATTATAAACATTGTTTTACACAGAGATCCCTTCACAAGCTAGAAATACCCCAGTGAAATGTACATTTTTTTAGTTGATTATATGTGTCTACCAAGTTATATTTTACTTTATATAATTTTTATTCCAGAACTGTTTGTACTGTATTCCATAGATAACAATCTGTGTGGGATTTTCACTTTCTACTACTTACTACTGCAATGAATCTCTTTTGGTCCCCACCATGCCATAACACCTAACAATGGTTGTATTTGATGTCTCACACCACCAACTGTTGAAGGGAACATTGTACAAAGTGGTCTGGAGTGCACACAACCACTCTGTAAATTTAAAATAAAATTGATCCCTGATTCACATATTGTGTTAAATGTGTTCCTGAAGAGAAAATAAGCAATTCAGGATGGTATGACGTTATCAGCTTTAAGAATCATGTTTGCAGTGAAGATTAAGATAGCAGCCATAGGCCTGATTCACACTGGCAATGACAGACATGTGTTTGAAGGACATTTCTATACAGATGTAACGATTTTACATTCTATATTTCACACTGTGCATCTACCTGCATTTAGGTGCATTCAGTTTTAGAGAAAACAGAATTCTGAGCATCCATGGGAAGATTAGATACTTTGAATACGTCTAAACACACATAAGCATATGGAAACACAAGTACATGTAAATGCAGCAGAAATTTATATGGCAAGAATAAAGTTTGTTTATACTTCCCAAATAGTTTCTCCTGCATTTAACTAAACCAAATGCAGGAGGCTAGTTTACTAATATTTAATGCAAGAGCGATGCACTAATCTTGTTGCACATCAAACCCACTTGGGCCCTAAAACTTTGTTTTTATACATTAACTAGATACAACTAGAAACAAAATAGTGGTGAAACTAAATCTACTGCAGTTGGGTGCTTGGTTTAAGATACACACATATATATATATACACATACAGTGCTCAGCATACATGAGTACATCCCTTTGAAAAGTAGGATTTTAATCAATATCTTAATGAACACAAGAACAATTTCCAAACTTTTGACAAAACTGAGTTTTATACATTTGTTTCACTCATTAAATGAAAGTAAGGTTAATAATATAACTTAGATCACAAAATCTTCAGTTTTACTCAAATTAGTTGATGCAAAAATGAATAAAACCCACAACAAACACTACTACATCTCATATTTTGTATGACCTCCATGATTTGTAAGGACAGCACCAAGTCTTCTAGGCAGGGAATGAACAATATGGTGACATATTGCCACTTTTATCTTTTTCCAGTCTTCAAGAATGACTTCCTTAGAGCCTGGATGCTAGATGGAAAGTGATGCTCAACTTGTCTCTTCAGAATTCCCCATAGATGTTCGAATGAGTTCAGATCAGGAGACATACTTTGCCCCTGAATCACTTTCACCCTGTTCTTCTTGTCAGAAATGCAACAGTGGCATTAGATGTGTGTTTTTGATCATTGTCATGTTGGAAAAGTGCACCACGACCAAGGACACAGCATGATGGTAGCATCGTCTCTTTCAATATAGAGCAGTACGTCTGTGAATTTATGATACCATCAATGAAATGCAGCTCCGAACACCAGCAACACTCACGCAGCCCCACAGAAGGACGCTGCCACCACCATGTTTCACTGTAGGCACCATGCATTTTTCTTTGTATTCCTCACGTTTGCGACGCCATACAGTTTTGAAGCCATCAGTTCCAAATACATTTATCTTGGTCTCATCAGTCCAGAATACGGGAGTCCCAGTAGTCTTCTTCTTTTTCAGCATGGGCCCTGGCAAATTCTAGGCGGGCATGTTGTGCATGGGCTTTAGGAAAGGCTTCCTTTGTGTATGAGACCCATGCATGTCATTCCTCTGCAGTGTACGCCATATTGTATCTCGGGAAACAATCACCCCAGTTTGGCTTTCTACTACTTTAGCTAATTGCAGTGAACTTGCATGGTGATTTTCTTCAACCCTTCTCAGCAGAAGATGCTCATGTCTAGGTGTTAACTTCTGTGGACTGCCTGGATGTCTCTGTGGTTGCAGTTCCATCTTTGTTAAATTTTTGTATCACTTTTTGCTACAGTATTCTGACTGATAAGTAAAGCTTTGCTGATCTTCTTGCAGCCTTCACCTTTCTTGTGTAAAGAAATTATTTTCTTTCTCAGGCCTTGTGACATTTCTCTTCCATGTGGTGCCATTGCTGACAGCATGAAATGGGAAGGGGATTTCTTTAAGTAACGCCGTTTTCTAATCAACTCTGTTGGACACCTGTTTAATGAATAATTAGACTCACCTGTAGTTAAATTCTTGTTAATTAGGATTTTGTTGTCTAAAATGTAGCTTTGCTCCTAAGATTTCATTGGGGTGTATTCATTTTTGCAACATGGTCTTGAATGAATTTGTTAGAAAAAATACTTTTGTGTGTGTGTGTAAATTAACAAACCTTGTTTGCAATCAATGGCCCACGTTTGTTTGAGTATTTTGCAGTATAGTGTCCCACAGTAAATGTTGATTCTGAAAAGGAGAGTAAAGGTTTTCTGACAAATCTCTTGGGGTGTACTCGTTTATACTGCGCACACAGTATCTCACAGAAGTAAGTACACCCCTCACATTTCTGTTAATATTTTATTATATCTTTTCATGTGCCGACACTGAAGAAATGACACTTTGCCACAATATAGTGAGTGTACAGCTTGTATAACAGTGTAAATTTGCTGTCCCCTCAAAATAACTCAACACACAGCCATTAATATCTAAACCGCTGGCAACAAAAGTGAGTACACCCCTAAGTGAAAATGCACAAAAAAGTGTCAATATTTTGTGTGGCCATCATTATTTTACAGCACTGCATTAACCCTCTTGGGAATGGAGTTCACCAGAGCTTCTCAGGTTGCCACTGGAGTCCTCTTCCACTCCTCAATGATGACATCACGGAGCTGGTGGATGTTAGAGACCTTGCGCTCCTCCACCTTCTGTTTGAGGATGCCTCACAGATGCTCAATAGGTTTTAGGTCTGGAGACATGCTCGGCCAGTCCATCACCTTTACCCTCAGCTTCTTTAGCAAGGCAGTGGTTGTCCTGGAGGTGTGTTTGGGGTCATTATCATGTTGGAATACAGCCCTGCGGCCCAGTCTCCGAGGGAGGGGATCATGCTCTGCTTCAGTATGTCACAGTACATGTTGGCATTCATGGTTCCCTCAATGAACTGTAGCTCCCCAGTGCCGACAGCACTTATGCAGCCCCAGACCATGATACTCCCACCACCATGCTTGACTGTAGGAAAAACACACTTGTCTTTGTACTCCTCACCTGGTTGCCACCACACACGCTTGATACCATCTGAACCAAATAAATTTATCTTGGTCTGATCAGACCACAGGACATGGCTCCAGTAATCCATGTCCATAGTCTGCTTGTCTTCAGCAAACTGTTTGCGGGCTTTCTTGTGAATCATCTTTAGAAGAGGCTTCCTTCTGGAACGACAGCCATGCAGACCAATTTGATGCAGTGTGCGGTGTATGGTCTGAGCACTGACAGGCTGACCCCCCACCCCTTCAACCTCTGCAGCAATGCTGGCAGTACTCATATGTCTATTTCCCAAAGACAACCTCTGGCTATGACGATGGCAATATAGTGTGTGTGTGTGTGTGTGTGTATATATATATTATATATGACATATCCTTTTTGACTGTGAGGAGGATTAGCTATTTAAACTGATCAGTCTCCCAGTTGCTGATCTGAATATGCATTGAAACACACTTATCGATATACTATATACTGTATATGTTATGTGGAGGAGCTATTTTTTTTTTTGTCTGAGCAATGAAATAGCTATTTAAGCCGCGTAGTCTCCCTCATTCAGTGTTCATTTTATATGATAATGTTGCATATAGTCAGTAGTAATGGTGTCGAGGCAGGGCTGCGACATGGTGATGTCAACACACTAATACAAGTGCAAATATAATTTGAGGGCATAAAATGGCAGCAGCCGTTCTTGCATGTGGTGGCTATTGAGCACACCCTTTTTATATTTATTACGTCACAATTTCACCCCTGACAAAGTCTTCTTTTGGGCGAAACATGTTGGGTTATTTGGGGATTTTAGGCATCTTTTGAAAGCAGAGAGGAGAGACGATTTATTAGATCTTGTAGTTGGTCAGCACCCTGAATTTGTCATTGAAGTTTGCCCTCTGCATCACATCCTAAGCACTGCTCTGCAGGAAATTTGACTTCACCACTATTTGGTTTGTCAGCTTTTGTACTAATTTTATTCAGTAAGAAAAAAAAGTTTTGAGGGCAAGTGGACTTGATGTGTGACGAGATTAGCGCATCACTCTCACATTAAAGGTTAGTGCTAATGCTCACAAAATGGGGCCATTTTCATGCATTTTGTCATAGATTATTAAGAAAGCTTGTATATGTTTATGCTGGCCATACCCCTTTAGATTTTTTTCATATTTAGTCTACAGACTGACTGGAAAAAAAATAAGATGACTCCATCTACACTACACAGTAAAGATGGGGAAATCTCCTGGTGTAGCTATTGTATTTTGACAGCTAGCAAGACGTTTTTCATCAAAAGGATGTCAGGGTGGAATGAGGCTGACGGCCACAGTCTGGGGTTGCTTTACTAAACGTAAATAGTAAATGTAAATTGGGTATTCCTTTCAAAGTAAAGTTACACCACATCAGGTGCAATGAAAAATTTTAAAAAAGCATTTATCTGCCTTTGGTAAATACACCTAGCGGAGCACATTTTCTTATGAACCAGATTTGTTCAGTGTACGGCCAGCTTTAGTCCTATATATACACAAAATACAGCAAGCTTCCAATGGCTTTAAGTTTGCATTTGAGACATTTCAGAAATCATTCACATATGCCTCTGGCCCCTTTGTGACCCACATTTTTACCTTCTTCTAAAGGTGCAACAAGCTGATTTTACATTCCTATTGATTTGTATGGGGAGAAAAGCAATTCTGTTGACAATAGAAGCCTGTGTATTCAAGTCCTTGTGATCATTGATACTAAGGGGTGCTCTTCTATATGTGGATTTCAGATACATTTCAAGGCTTGTTTACACTTTCTATATCCCACTGGTTACTCATGAATGATTTGCAGAATGTTAATTTACATATTGCAATTATGGAATTGTCACAGGACACTTTAAGAATGAATAGGTCTGCATCCATTACTTAAAAGGACAATTCCAGGAAATAGGTGAAAGTGCTTAGTAAGGTATTAATGCTGTCTAATAAACTATCCTAATCTGGGTTTTCTGTAATCCAGAGAGCACCTCACAAATTCACTAGTGGTGTACTTCTTTAGTTCTTTGCAATGTAACCTTCCTTCTGAGTGCTTCTATCATGAACGCATTCAGTCTTTCAAGGCAATTTTGAGCCCCGATTGATGGATGCAAAAAAATGTCTTAGTACTTAGCCCTTTTATCAGGTTTTCTGCACCTTAATAAAATGACTGCACCATGATTAATCAAAAAGAAAATGTTCAAAGTGCATTAATGGTGCTCATCTGCATTTGAATTTAGGTTGATATTCATTTTAATATGTAAGGATAAAAACAGAACCATTTGTGCATATTTTTAAACATTTGCAAAAATGTTTAAAGCTAAAGTTTAGTCCAATTTTTGGGGGATACCATACATATAAGGTATGTGCAATAGTGTGTATTCCATTATCTGCAGGTAGCTGCTTCTGTTAAAAATTGTGTGTTGTCACCTTTTCACAGTCACTGGATACTGCCCTAAGTGGCTGTCTTCTGGCGCTGTGAAGGTTAACAGCAGGTTCAGTGAATGGGCAGAGGAGATGCTGTCATTCAATTCCTCCTCCATCCACAGAATTCCATGCATCATGAGAGTGTAGTAAGACAAAGTTCTATGAATGGTAAAAGAAGCAGGAGAGAGTGTAGGCGAGTGGCACAGTTTTCCTGATTAGGAGCCATTGCTGTTAACCTTCACAGTGCTGAAAGACAGCTAATCTGTGCATTATCTGGTGGATGTGAAAGGGACAAAGCACAGAGAATTTTTAGCAGAAACAGCCGCTTGCCATTAATGGGATGAATACCTAATGTACTGTATATGGTGCTGTACCCCCCCAAATAGTTTTTTCTACTAAACGGCATTTAAAATTGAAAAGGAATGGCTAGGACAGGCTGCTAAATGTTCAGTTACATTGCAGTATGCATGGTATGACTAAACAGTTGTTTTTCTTCAGTGTTTTATGAGATTGAGAAAAATATAATCAAATGAAGATTTATTGAAAGCAATCATGATTACATAAAAAAGATAGCAAGCAAATATATAGTGAAAATACTCCCTTATTTTCAAATGCAGGAATTTTCCCAAATACTGCCCCCCTCCAAAAACAGACACAAAACTGATGTGTGCTTGGACTGCCAATCACATCCTGTCCATTGGCTTGCTTTGTTAATACAGGTCCAACGCAACAAGCTGCAATACATTGTTTCCAATAAGCCCCATTCACTCTGATGCACTACAGGGCACATCAAGGAAAACAAAATATAATATTTTGGTTTCCACTGTGGAAAATGCAACGCACTGCATGTTTATCCAGCCAAAGTCCTTTATCTGATGTTATGCTCTAAAATCTGACTCATGGTTATGGATTACTACACTTGGTTCACCCTCATCATTCCTTGCACTGCATTATAAAATAAAAAGTGCAACATTCAGATAGTGTGAGTCTCATATTCTCTTTTCTACCAAAAGTGATGACTTATATGAGTGTATACACATTGACTGATTCATGCTTAAACCAAACCTGAGTGCAGAACTTGTTTGTAGTGAAAAAGTTAAAAAAACAACACTGTATTGTCTCTTCCCTCCCCGCATGAACATCTTTCTTACATACAGATACAGAAAGCATAATGCTTTAAAACCTAGCTATGAGATAAAAAGTGCTAATGCAGAAAAATCCTACACTATGGTCAAAATAAATAATTATGCTACCTAAGGACGCTCTCATCTTTAATATAATAAAAATGTCCATTGCTTAGAAAGCAATAGGCTGATAAATCTGAAGCGTGCCCAATATTACTGCTTTGGTCACATGATGTTTGCCTTATTGCTCACTGATGGTTCTGTCTGGACAAACCGCTTTCTCAAAGTTATTTTGCCCTTAAGATGGATGCTTCCTTCCTAAACCTCAGGCACATTTTAACTAAAAGCCTGTAACAAAAAGAGATGCTACATTTATTTTGCCTCTTCTGCTGCTAATCAGGAAAAAGAAAAAGGCATCAGGTGTATCACGGTGATTGCACACAAAATGGCTGCCCTCATAAAGGCGATCCCATTGCTGTGGGTCGGTGTACGCAAGTAGCACAGTTGGAACAATTGATTGTCAGCAAGTTATACAAACTGCAAAGCTGTAAAAAGACCTTTTACCAACTGTGGGGGGAGAAAAGGGGGACTTTGACGTTTGTCAGGCAATCCAACATGAAAATATGGTACATAGTGCTAGCCAGGAAACACATTATATATATATGCATCCTTACCGCACAGACAGTATGACGTTAATAAACCGAATCCTCTCGGCAGGAAAAGTCAGTAATATACACATACACACACATAATTCCAAGGAATTGTTCAAATTCTTATAAACAATACAGACTTTTCCAGCATGGAAGTGTATAAAAATGGTGCAAGTTAGGGTCTAGCAAAAAAAAAAAGGAGACAGTTAACCCTTTGTCTGCTACGTGTATACTGTGAAATGCAGGGGCCTGCAGTGCTATCGTTCAGTGCAAATATCCATCCATCCTTAGACACACTGAGTGAGAGTGTAAACACTGTTGGCCATCCCAGAAACAGAAGTATACAATAAATGGGTATTTCTCTCCTAGAAATGTAAATCCAGTGCAGAAAATCCTTTCAGCGGCTCCAAGCACTGTGCTTGTTTTTCTGCTCTGACTCAGGCACTTTCCGGTAAACTTGCATCTTCTGTGTGTGATCCAGCGGCAGCAGCACAGACACAGAGACCTCATCACACTGTGAGGATCTCAAACTCCTCCTCTACATCAAAGAGTTTATCAGTAGACTCGATGAGCTCTGTGGTGAGAGAAACAGATATGAACAGAGGTGGGAACAAATGCAAAATGTGATATTCAATACATTTTCAGCAGGAAGCAAACTTGTAAAAGTAGGCTGCCACTGCTGACAAAGCCCTGAAAATGCTAGTTGTCTGGCTGTCATGCCAGGTGACTAGCCTTTTCAAGTGTGGTGAGCAATAGTAACCCATATACTGCACATCCATCAGTATATATTTAGTTTAACCTCTTGGCGCCAGCGCCTCCCGGCCCTTTAAGAGTTTCAGAAGTCGGGAGGCGGGGTGGGGTTTTAGGGTCATATGACCGCCGTGATTTGCTGTCACATGATCGGAAAAGGTCTCAATCAAAAGGGGAGATCAGGACCTTTCCGGGAGTAGCAGAAATATGTGCTGGGAGTGCGCAGGGCGCGTGCTCTCAGCACATATGTATTTTTTAATTGTACACAAATATGCAGCCACTCGTCGTCAAGGGGTTAATGTATTTAAAATGAGATTCAAATGGTCAGGAATGTTTCTGAAATGCACTTAACTGCTCTGCGGTTTAGAAAATCAACAATGTGCTAGCAATAAACATAGCAACCAATCAGCAGTCATTTTTCATTCTTTTTAATGCTGTCACGTTGCTAAGCTATGACTGGCCTTAGGTGATACACAGAGCTGAAACAAATCCTCCTACATAGGTTGTACCCGTTTATCTAAAACTGCCTTTTCCCCTACATCCATTTAAAGTGCAGAATTTATAAAGTTTGTCTGCGTGTTCAGAAAACAGGGGATGGAGAGCTGAAATTAGACACTGTTGAGTGAGGAGAGCTCTGAGAGCGGATTGGAGGGAAGGGGCACACCCCCCCTTCATACAGCACACAGGAACGGAGCTGAGGTTGTCAATCACAGGCTGTGTGCTGGAGGTCCCTCCCCTGTCATCTTTTTTCTCTTATAAACCATATAAATGCTGCGCTACATTCAAACTTATTAAGTGAATGTGGAATCCAATGACACAAATCCAATATAGTGACAATAATAATGAAATAAATAATACGTGCTTACTGATAACAAAAATTATCAAATAAAACACCCAAAAAGATGAAAAAACACAAACTTAAATCTATACGCATGTGCATGAAAATACACATACATATAATTACATCACACGTGCAAATGTGAAGTGAAATAATGGTTACTTATTAAACGCAAAATTTCACTTCACTATTTCACTTCACATTTGCACGTGTGATGTAATTATATGTATGTGTATTTTCATGCACATGCGTATAGATTTAAGTTTGTGTTTTTTCATCTTTTTGGGTGTTTTATTTGATAATTTTTGTTATCAGTAAGCACGTATTATTTATTTCATTATTATTGTCACTATATTGGATTTGTGTCATTGGATTCCACATTCACTTAATAAGTTTGAATGTAGCGCAGCATTTATATGGTTTATATTCACTTGATCACTGGTATATGATTTAATGCTAGCAGCTGTTTGGGGTTCATATATTTAATTTGTTTTAATTGTTTAAACACATTATTTGGAGCGCAGGAGGGTCTCACCACTATTGCTACTATCTTTTTTCTCTTGGTGTCAGGAAAACTTGTCAAAAGTGATCTATGCAGATAGCAGAGGAATGAAGTAGTAGACAGAAATGACACTTAGTGCTCTTACTTGAGACAAGTACACACTATGGAGGGATGTGCTTTGTTCATATTTCATGTCTGAGGTTTAACTAATTAATTAATAAAAACAATAAACTTAGTAATAGCTACTTGCCTCTTTTTCCTCGTTTTCTGAAGTTTACTTGGTCTGATCCACCTGTAGATGGGTCACCCAACTCAACAGCTGGCTTCCTTTTGCTGTACTAGATCAATAATGACAGCTCACCTGACTTTGCGCATGCACCGAATGTAATCTAGCATGGTTTGTTACTAGTCAGCAACGAACCATACCAGATCTCATACATGGCACATGTGCGGGATATCTCTAAAAGGCATGGGTGACGTAGACTTCCTAAGGGGCAGCTGCGAATACATGATTAATAGCTTTTGAAAACCAGAAAGTCATAAAATGCAAGCTAAAAATCTCTTTGATTGTAAAAATGGCTGGATGAGGTTTAGGGATGAGCATGCAGAGTTGCATACATCATGGATTTTTGTTTGTTAGGCAAAGGCCAGTTTAAAGGGTAATGTTAACCTGGGGAAGAAGAAGTATCTCTGTTACTAATAAGTCTGTATATGCAGTAATTCATGCTTGTTATACTCACTGTGGAACCTAAGGGGTTAATCCTCTGCATTATGTAAAAGGGGCTGTTGATACGGTCTTCTCTGATCCTCCTCTCATTTTACTGTCCCCAATCCATCTGCTGACAGTACACAGCTCTAGGAGACACTCTGCACATGCTCAAGTTTAGTGTGTATGGCTAGAGAGTTTTATTTTCTTTGGGAGGGTGCATGTGATCAGCACAAGGCCAATCAGAAATGTCCAAACAGAGGGTCAGAGGTTTTGCCGCCTCATAGGATAGTCAGAGCAGTATGAAAACTCCTCTTACAAGGTTTAACCAGTGCTCAGCTGGATACTGATAGAAGTCACAAGACTGCTATATACTGCTGATGAGAAAAGGTATTTTAGTTTAAATTTACTAAAATAATTGCATTTCCATGTTGTGTGTACTGTGGGAGACCAAATATAGTGAATGCAGGGTCCTGGGTTTAGTAACACTTTAACTCCAACCCCAAATGACAGAGCTCATCAGGACCAGCAGAAAAGAAAAATCAACCCAATGGGGACCTATAGAGATATTTCTGCATCACTCAGACACCACACATTTATGAATGGTAGTTTGGCCAGGATATGTAGAATTTTCAGTGCCAAAGTTTTATTGTTTTTCATCATGTCCGTTAAGAGTGTTTTTTGACTATAAAAACAGACTAAAATCTTTACAGAAAACACAGAGAATGCCAAAGGTATGTCAATGAGGATGAAAAGAAAGTATTATTCCATCCTCACTCTGAGCTGCATTAACATGCCAACTGCCTGCTCTGGACAGTCTAAGCATACCCTTCATTACAGACCATAGTTTAACTCCCACCACCAAGAAATAATGATAGAAATATATGCAGAAATTAGTTATTGGCTAAACGGCAATGTTATTTAATGAATTCCTTTACCAACCTGCGCCTGTAGTGGTCACCTCTGGCTTTGTTGGTGGTATAAAAGGAGGCCAATGAGGAGGGTGCTTTGGTGCCAGTTCAAACATCCGTAAACTCTGCTGCTTTAGTATCTCCTGCCATTGAAAAAACACCTCATTAAAAATGTTAATGCATATTGGGATATCAAAATGCAGTTGAGTCGAGGAAAGCCAGTATGAAAAAATAAATGCAGCACAGATCCACTTTGAAGGCGAAAAATATCAGTTTAAGGCTTAAAATATTATTTCTGTATGCTAATGTACTAAACATGCAAAATTGTTATATACTACTGCTCAAAAAAGTGATAACACACTGTGCCCATATACAGGCAGGTCCATAAATATTGGGACATTGACACAATTCTAACATTTTTGGCTCTATACACCACCACAATGGATTTGAAATGAAATGAACAAGATGGGCTTTAACTGCAGACTGTCAGCTTTAATTTGAGGGTATTTACATCCAAATCAGGTGAACGGTGTAGGAATTACAATAGTTTGCATATGTGCCTCCCACTTGTTAAGGGACCAAAAGTAATGGGACAATTGGCTTCTCAGCTGTTCCATGGCCAGGTGTGTGTTATTCCCTCATTATCCCAATTACAATGAGCAGATAAAAGGTCCAGAGTTCATTTCAAGTGTGCTGTTTGCATTTGGAATCTGTTGCTGTCAACTCTCAAGATGAGATCCAAAGAGCTGTCACTATCAGTGAAGCAAGCCATCATTAGGCTGAAAAAACAAAACAAACCCATCAGAGAGATAGCAAAAACATGAGGCGTGGCCAAAACAACTGTTTGGAACATCCTTAAAAAGAAGGAACGCACCAGTGAGCTCAGCAACACCAAAAGACCCGGAAGACCATGGAAAACAACTGTGGTGGATGAGCGAAGAATTCTTTCCCTGGTGAAGAAAACACCCTTCACAACAGTTGGCCAGATCAAGAACACTCTCCATGGAGGTAGGTGTATGTGTGTCAAAGTCAACAATCAAGAGAAGACTTCACCCGAGTGAATACAGAGGGTTCACCACAAGATGTAAACCATTGGTGAGCCTCAAAAACAGGAAGGCCAGATTAGAGTTTGCCAAACGACATCTAAAAAAGCCTTCACAGTTCTGGAACAACATCCTATGGACAGATGAGACCAAGATCAACTTGTACCAGAGTGATGGGAAGAGAAGAGTATGGAGAAGGAAAGGAACTGCTCATGATCCTAAGCATACCACCTCATCAGTGAAGCATGGTGGTGGCGTGGCGTGGGCATGTATGGCTGCCAATGGAACTGGTTCTCTTGTATGTATTGATGATGTGACTGCTGACAAAAGCAGCAGGATGAATTCTGAAGTGTTTCGGGCAATATTATCTGCTCATATTCAGCCAAATGCTTCAGAACTCATTGGATGCCGCTTCACAGTGCAGATGGACAATGACCCAAAGCATACTGCAAGAGCAACCAAAGAGTTTTTTAAGAGAAAGAAGTGGAATGTTATGCAATGGCCAAGTCAATCACCTGACCTGAATCCGATTGAGCATGCATTTCACTTGCTGAAGACAAAACTGAAGGGAAAATGCCCCAAGAACAAGCAGGAACTGAAGACAGTTGCAGTAGAGGCCTGGCAGAGCATCACCAGGGATGAAACCCAGAGTCTGGTGATGTCTATGCGTTCCAGACTTCAGGCTGTAATTGACTGCAAAGGATTTGCAACCAAGTATTAGAAACTGAAAGTTTGATTTATGATTATTATTCTGTCCCATTACTTTTGGTCCCTTAACAAGTGGGAGGCACATATGCAAACTGTTGTAATTCCTACACCGTTCACCTAATTTGGATGTAAATACCCTCAAATTAAAGCGGGCAGTCTGCAGTTAAAGCACATCTTGTTTGTTTCATTTCAAATCCATTGTGGTGGTGTGTATAGAGCCAAAAATGTTAGAATTGTGTCGATGTCCCAATATTTATGGACCTGACTGTACATATTAATAATAAATGCAACATACAACCCAAAATTGAACATTTTGATCAATATTTCCAGTGCATACATGCCCAAATCTCAAATAAAAACATTATGGTGTAAAGTCCACACTTAGTGATCAATCTTCCTACAAACTTCTCAGTTTTATATGCGGTGTCCACACTTATATGCATACAGAACTCTGAACAGAATTGGGTGATCGGTTATTGCTAAGCAGGTCATAAAGAGCTTAGTATGCAATACTCCCAGTTGGTCATCAGGTGTCCCTTTCCTCTAAATAGGATCTCACTTTCCTCTGCTAGTCCACGCCTAACATCAATGTCAACTCCCAGGTAGTGATGCAGTATTTCCTAGTGGCCAGCAGATGTCACTCTCCTCTGGTTGGAACCAGGGTGCCTGCACTCATTCACTCCTCACACCCATTTACGTGTCCCACATACTGTACAATCAAAGCAAATACTTTCCATGTTGTTGTAAAGAGAGAAATTATTTTATTTAAAAAATGGAATTGCACTCACATAAAAATGTCCTTATAACTTGTACGTAAATGTCGATAAAACCACCCCTTCCAGATTCTGGCATCTAAAATTCACTTCAGCCATTATACCTTTCAATTTTGGGTTGCATCTTGCATTTATTTTTAATATTTATATAGGGTGGCTCATCTCACCAACATCAAAGAGTGGCCTCCATTCACAAAGCGGCAAGACAAAAGTAGTTACTGGCTTGCTACATCAGCATACCTACCACCAATGCCATATTGAAAAATATTTGCCTTTCTTACCTTTTCTACAGTTTTACACCAACTGTCAAAATCTGCTTCTTCCTTGCAAAAGAATCCCTGGGGAGAGAATAAAAAATTGTAATCAATGAAAAATACAGCAAACAGTAAAGTTCTTGCTCCCGTGCAGCATGCTGGAAGCAGGGTAGAGAGCTCTGTTCTTGTCTGCCTTCTTCACCAAACACAACTGTTAATACTTCATATAAACCAATGAGAAACATGGCAGCATTATTAAATCACATTTTTAATTAACAAGTAATCTTTCCCTGCCATGAATAAAATAACAGCTACTTTTAAGCCTCCTATGACCTAAAGCTGTGGTGTTCAACCAGTGTGACCCTCTACATTACCAAAGGGCTGCACATAAAATTCAGTGAATATTCATTATCACAGACAGCAGACACACAATAGTGGACATGATGTAAGATATGGTCAGAGACTGCAGACAGGATACAGGAGATGGTCAGAGACTGCAGACAGGATACAAGAGATGGTCAGAGACTGCAGACATGATATGTGAGATGGTTAGACTGCAGACATGATACAGGAAATGGTCAGAGGCTGCGGACACAATACAAAAGATGGTCAGAGACTGTAGACACAATACAAGAGATGGTCAAGGACTGCAGACATGCTATGTGACATGGTCAGAGAGACACAATACAAGAGATGGCTAAGAACTGCAGACATGCTACGTGACATGGTCAGAGACTGCAGACATGATACAAGAGATGATCAGACACTGTGGACACACTACAGTAGACAGTCAGAGACTGTGAACTTGCACACTGGGGAGATGCTTCAGGGGATAGTCATGGACAGGAGACATTATACACGAGACTGCTAGAAATCACTGCTATAATAGGGCAATATGGAAACACAGATTAGTGTCTGCAGGGGCCCCAAGGAAAGGACCAGCCACACAAAAAATGCCAAAAGGGTGACAGGTTGGGCTCCAGGGACCTAAAGCCTTGGCAAGGATCACATGGATACCAGAACGCCATGGAGGACATTTATCAGTTTTGTAGCACAGCAAGGTAATAAAAAACAGAAGCAGTGAGACAGAGAGTGTACATCGCATTTCTTATAAAGTTACAGCTTGACTGAAATTCTTCCCTCGGCTTCTATAAAGTAGCACATCAACAAAATAAAATTCCTGACCACTGCACTTAACTGTGCATTTATTTAGAGTGAAAATCTCTCATAGTCACAGTGATAAATCTGTTGTAGTTGGTTGTCCAGGTTTACAGGTGCAGGGGTCGCAAATACACAGAAAAGCGGTCACTGACACTTTGCTTAGTAAGAGATAACCTGATTTGTGTCTAAATTTGTATCTAATTTGCTTGATAATGTCCCATGAGAATGTTTATTTCACTTCATTAGAGACTGAAAACATTCAGTAAGAAAGACAATTACTGGTAGATTTGTGGAAAAGGCAGAAGCAAGGCACATCCACTATGCAGGGCTACTAAATGAGAAGTAAAGCCTGCACAGGTAAAAGCATATATCATACACTTTTACAAACCATGCCCAGAAACAAGTTTTTTTTTCATTAAACATCAACACACATTAATAAGGTTCTTTACATTAACCTGACGTGTATCACAAGTATAAAAAAAAAAATCTTAAAAAAAGGACTATAGTTTTTCTTTAAGGTTATTGGAAATAAATGTAAAATGGAACATTTGGTACCAAACTGCACAAGTAGGGTATAACATAAACAAGGAGGGCAAAACCTAGACACACTTACCCTCCAGGCAGTGGGGGAGCTAGGTTTTCTAATGCTAGAGATGTATTAGTCTCTGTGGGGGGAATTTATCAAAACTGGAGAAGCCAGAATCTGCAGCAGCTGTGCATGGCAACCAATCAGCTTCTATCTTTCATTTTCAAGGTTAACTGAACACACTAAAAAGATAGAAGCTGATTGGTTGCCATACCTACTCCAGTTTCCCTTTGCTCTGTCTTGATCTGTAATTACGAATAAGGGAGATAAAGTGCACAGAAATACTTTATACAGATTACATTATAAATGTAATTGGTTTACTACATACTAATGCCACTGAGGGGTCCAGATTCAAAATCTTCATCCTGTTAGGATTTTTTTGGCAGTGATATGTCTGATCCTGCACCGTCCCAGTTTCTTCTGTGTCCACAAAGTTCTGCGTTGTGTGGGGATCCAGGTAAATGAGTTCATCCCCTATACAAGGAAACAGTGAAGATATCTTTACATAAAGCCACTTTATACAATGACTAATATTTTATTACACTGAAAATTTATATATATATATATATATATATATATATATATATATATTTTATTTTTATTTTATTTTTTTTATTTTTTTTTCAGGCCCAAACATTATCAGCAATGTGTTTCCTACATTGAGAGACCCACAACTGTCCCCAGTTGACAGTTCATACAAGCCCACAGAGACATTTCTGTGACCCTTAGTGCAGGACAGCCTGTGGGGACACACAGAGGACATCAACATACTACTGACTAACTACTGTTCACTACTACAACTGTGCATCACTGATAACATAAGATGCAGAAGTTAATGAACAAATACCTTGGCAACCCACTTTGTTCAGCTTTAAAGTGAATGTGTTCTTTGCCAATACAGAGGAAAAAAAAAGGAGGTTCACGTTATTGCAGCCCCCCAGAAGAACATTCTACCTTACCTACCTGCCAGGAGGTAAGGGATAGACCTGTGTAAACTTGAAGACGCTAGAGTTCACCCTTACACAGGACTATGGACTTTTTTTTTTTTTTTTATTCTGGATAAAGTAGGGATATAACTCGTTAGGCTTATTAGTCATCTACTGTATGTCCTATTGTGGAGACTTCTATTCACTTCCTGTCCTATAGCCACAACAGGAAGGGAGAGCAAATCTCTCCAAACCAAGGGAAATCCCCTCAGTTTTCACCAGAAATAGTGACCCTATTGGAAGATTTCCTCTCTACTCCTGTTCGGATAGTAACTCCAGAGTCGGAATTTTCACTCAGTTTGACTCTTGGGGGTTTATTTACTAAAGCTGGAGAGTCCAAAATCAGACTCCCTTCTGCATAGAAACCAATCAGCTTCTAACCTCAGCTTGTTCAATGAAACTTTGGCAATGAAACCTGGAAGCTGATTGGTTTCTATGCAGAAGTGAGTCTGGTTTTGCACTCTCCAGCTTTAGTAAATAAACCCCTTGGTGACAAGGTTCATCAGGACAAAAATAGGGAAAAAAGACAGCAATAAAAACGTGGCATGTGATCTAATCTCTTTCAACTCAATCCAAATCTTAAAAAAAGGTTTTAGTTTTAGATAAACAAGTATGGTAGTAATAGCACAGAAATATTCATCGGAGAAAAAAAAATATATGTAGAACATAATAAAGATATCAAGAAAGCATAGATACTTTTTAGGAAAAGCATTGCAGTAATCATAGTTCTGCATTATATGAATTGACGTTCAAAGTCTAATCTAATCTCAAAATATGTATAAAATTGCATATACATTCCCTTTAAAGGCAAAGAGAGTGGCAGAGTGGTGAGGAAGAGCACAAAGCTGTCAGCACTGGATAACAAGCTTACCTGAAAAACCTATGAAATAATAGGCATTGTTTGGTTTTCCACCTAAAGCTCCTAATGACTGCGGCATTTTAAAACATTCCTGTAAAGAAAAAGAAAGACGAGTGGCCATTACGTACATTGCAATATTTACTTTCTATTAAACATTTTTTGTTTCCTAACGTTTGAGTAGCCACATAGGGGGAAACCTACTGCAATACCCAGAAGCCAATCAGCCAATTATAGGGGCCAGTAGGCACATAATACTGAACTCCAGGGAAGCAGCTAAATCCACAGCTCAACTATAAATTGGAACTATTTCACCTACCGTGAGGGTCCACTGTCTCCTCTATCTATGAAATATACAGTACTGTGCAAAAGTTTTACGCAGGTGTGAAAAATGCTGTAAATTAAGAATGCTTTCAGAAATAGAAGTATTAATAGTTTATTTTTATAAATTAACAAAAAGACTTTAAAAAGGAAATTAAAGAATAGATATCCAAATCAAATCAATATTTGATGTGATTTGACTACCCTTTGCCTTCAAAACAGCATTAATTCCTATATTGGCCCCAAATTTATACTGCAGCAGAGCAACAACCCCAAACATACAGCCAATGTCATTAAGAACTATCTTCAGCATAAAGAATAGCAAGAAGTCCTTGAAGTGATGGTTTGGCCCCCACAGAGCCCTCTACATTAGTTATATTCATAAGAAGGATTACAAGCAGCAATAAACAAATGTTCAATTTTGCCTAACTTACAGAAATGTGGTGAAAATTCACGTTTCCAAGAATACCTAGTCACGTGCAAGGAAAATAACAAATAAAAACACAACAAACTAACAGGATTTTATATAACAGGATGTATCCGAACTTCCGAATTACAACAGTAATGAATTTACATGAATCCAAAAGACCAAAACTAAATTCGGCCCAAATTCAGTCAATTCGAAAACAAGAATAGAATAGAAGAGAAAATAATAGAATAGAGTAAAACAGAACAGAATAGATAACAACAGCATAAAATAGAATAGAAAATAAAGCAATAGAATAGAAAATAATAGAGTAAAACAGAAAAAAGAATACAATAGAATAGAATAAAATAGAAAAAATATAACAGTCTTCCAAAATTTGAATAGAAAAAATAGAAATTAATATAATGAAATAAAAACAGAAAGAATATAATCATCTTCCGAAATTTGAATTTTGAACAGAACAGAAAATAAAAGAATGGATAAGGAGTAGAATAGAAAAAATAAAAACGAATAGAATGGAATAAACACAAAGAATATAACCGCCTTCTGAAATTCTAAAAGAATAGATTAAAATAAAATAGAAAATAAAAGAATAGAATCTAAAAAACAATAGAATAAAAACAGAAAGAATATACTTGTCTTCAGAAATTCGAATAGAATAGAACAGAACAGAATAGAATAAAATAGAAAGGAATAGATTGAATATAACCATCTTCTGAAATTTGCCTTTGGAATAGAATAAATTTGAATGCCAATTTAATACTTTTCGATTCGGCTGAATTAGAAAATGAAACCAAACAAATTTAACTGAACAAAATTACTTAACCATTTGCCTACCGGCACGTTCACCCCATTCCTGCCCAGGCCAATTTTCAGCTTTCAGCGTGTTGCACTTTGAATGACAATTAGTCATGCAACACTGTACCTGTGTGGAATTTTTATCATTTACAGCTTTCTTTAGGTGGTATTTAATCACCACTGGGGTTTTTATTTTTTGCTAAACAAGCAAAAAAAAAAAAAAAAAAGACTGCAAATATATGACAAAACCAAGACAAAACATTTTTCTTCATTTTTGTTAGAAAATTTTGCAAATAAGTAATTTTTCTTATTCACTGATGGGCACTAATGAGGTGACACTGATGGGAACTGCTAGGTCTAAATGTGCCTGTGAGAATTGCCGGTTACCGGCTTTCCTTTCCTCACACTATCATAGTGCGTGAGAAAAACACTGCCGATAACCTGCAAGTCTGTTTACACTATGATCAGCTGTACACAGTTGGTCACACAGTAAAGGGCTGCTGTGATTGGCCCTTTACCTCGCTCTGTGTTCAGCTGTGTCCAACATAGCTATGACAGAGCGCGCCCGATACATGGCACGGGAGCACATGGGGTGGTGCATGGGGGGCGGGGTTCTGGGAGGACCTCAATAGACCTGGAACCATCATTCAGCTATAGCGCTGTCAGCAACTGGTTAAATAACAAATCAAAACTAAATGAAACTAATTTTTTTCGTTCTGCTCATGTCTTGTAAACCAGCCCTATTAAGTAAAATGAATTTAGTTGCAGTATTTGTAAACAAGGGTAACTCTCAGTGACCTGTTTCTATTGATCTAGATTTAACAATGTGAAAAAAACTTACTTTAAAAGCATCTATATAAACAGGATTAATCTGGTTGATTCCTAGGCGCAGAGGGACAATGAGCAGAAGTGGCCTCCATGCTGACCTCTCCTCTGAAGTGTCTCTACATCTGCTCCAAGCACTTTGGTGAGTGTAAGAACTGCCTTGTGCTGTGTTCCAATTGTAAGGGTGATAGCGGCACATTTTTCCTGTACCAAGAAAATTTAAAACATTCATCAGCAGAAATTTACTGCATGCAACACACAACATACATCACACCAAAAAAAAAAATAAATAATATGGGAGGTGAAACAAAAGTAAGTAAGTATCTTAACTGCGAACAATTTCCGTTAGTTGCTCGTTCGTAAGTCCAACAAAGATCAGCGCTGGCAGACAATGGTTGTGAGCACTGATCGGTGTGTTCTGGTGGGGGAATCCCCCTGTCAGAACACAATGGCACAGTAAGGGAGATCGCCACACCGATATTGCTTGTGTCGGTACGGTGATCTGTTTGTGCGATCTGGTGTGTGACATACAACCCACGTCTGCATCTTTGAAAGTTCGCAAGTTGAACGCTTGTATGTAGGGGACTAATTGTATAGCAATCTTATACGGACATAAGGCCAAGGGCACGGACCTTGTAACACTAATGTTACAGTTGTGCATGTTGATCTCCAACTAACCTCATTCAGCTGCTCTGGAGATGTTCTGAGTCTGTGAATATGATTATCAACCCCTAGCTTTTATTAAAGAATTTAAAAGGACATGAGGACTTTTGTACTGTTAAATAAGATGCTCTGAGATGACTTTGTTTAATTATTATGTACAGTTATGTAGAAAGAAGGAAATAGGAAATCTATTGAGTTCATAAAGTGAAAATACACATTCACTTTATCAATAGAGATATCAGATCTGCAAATGCAGACTTGTTCTTAAATGTGCAGGCTGTGGGGCTTTCATCCTGATCCTGCTGACCTACAGTGCCTTGAAAAAGTATTCATACCCCTTGAAAATTTTCCACATTTTGTCATGTTACAACCAAAAACATAAATGTATTTTTATTGGGATTTTATGTGATAGACCAACACAAAGCGGCACATAATTGTGAAGTGGAAGGAAAATGATAAATGGTATTCAAATGTTACAAATAAAAATGTGAAAAGTGTGGCGTGCATTTGTATTCAACCCCCCTGAGTCAATACTTTGTAGAACCACCTTTGGCTGCAATTACAGCTGCAAGTCTTTTTGGGGATGTCTCCATCAGCTTTACACATCTAGAGAGTGAAATGTTTGCCCATTCTTCTTTGCAAAATAGCTCAAGTTCTGTCACATTGGATGGAGAACGTCTGTGAACAGCAATTTTCAAGTCTTGCCACAGATTCTCAATTGGATTTAGGTCTGGACTTTGGGCCAGTATAACACATGAATATGCTTTGATCTAAACCATTCCATTGTAGCTCTGGCTGTATGTTTAGGATCGTCTTCCTGCTGGAAGGTGAATCTCCTCCCCAGTCTTTTGCAGACAATCAGGTTTTCTTCTAAAATTGCCCTGCATTTGGCTCCATCCATCTTCCCATCAACTCTGACCAGCTTCAACAAGAATTCAAGATGTGAGGTCAGACCTTTCAGACTACACTAGCTGCATGCTTGTTCCAGGTGAATGACTAAATAGGTAATGAAGCCAATATCAGCATGACTGTCTCCAAACCTGCAATGCAACCCCCAAATATACTGTATATCCTTACAAGTGTACTTCCCAAATACTGATTGTCATTGCTACATGAACAACAATGATCAAACTTTTTTGACTTTACAAATAATAATATTATGTATTTTGTCAGCTGACAGATATTAATTTATGAAAACTCCAGCCATCAATGGCAAACAGACTTCTCCAGGGCTTCTATTAGCCATACTCTGCCTCTGCTCCATTTTCACATAAATACTAGAAAGAATTAGCCCTTTAAAATAATGCCACTCTAACAGCTGTTGGTGTGGACCCACTTTGTCACCAATCATAACTGCAGCCTCTGTCCTCACCAGGGAGTTCTTAGAAATACCTATTGATTTCCCTGTGTGACACTCCCAGTTTGTGGCCCTTAGGTGAGCTGACAAATAAATGAAGCACAGTACCAAATCATTAGGCGAAAGCTTAATTCACAACCTCTAGAAGTCATGGTAGGCATGTTTAAACTTAGTGCACACACCCCAGAAAACACATATATGGGAGCTGTCATTGTTGAATTTTTTGGTTAGGAACAAATATGTTGAAAAAAAAAAAAAAAAAAATGGCAATTGAAAAAAATGCAAAGACATGAAAAGCTATCACCTGAATAAAACTCCTTTACAGATAAAATTCACCCACCTACATTACTTTAAACTGAAAGCATAACTGTTCTTAAAAAAACGAAAAGTGGAACTTACTTATATCTTCAATGACCACAGTGTTATCCATTGAAACATAAACAGCTAATGAATTCCATTCATCAAATAAAGCAAGTTTCCTGGAAACATGAGGCAATTATTAGTCTCTTAGGTGTGTTTATAACTATTATAACATAGATTTATGAAATCTAGAGGCTCTTTGATCATTTTCTGAGTGTAATTTCAGCTGTCCACATACCATTATTATATAAACATTCAATTGTTGATATTTATAATGTGCAAAGACTAGGCGTATGAGCATTCCGTCATGCACTGCTCACCTCCCCCGCCAACACACAGACACGCACTGCACACCTCCCCCCGCCAATACACAGACATGCGAGAGACGCACTGCACACCCCCCCCCCCCCCCCCCCGCCAATTCACAGACATGCGACACGCACTGCACACCTCCCCCCCACCAATACACAGACATGCGACACGCACTGCACACCTCCCCCCGCCAATACACAGACTTGCACTGCACACCTCCCCCCACCAATACACAGACATGCGACACGCACTGCACACCTCCCCCCGCCGCCAATACACAGACATGCGACACGCACTGCACACCTCCCCCCACTAATACACAGACACGCACTGCTCACCTCCCCCTGCCAATACACAGACACGCACTGCTCACCTCCCCCTGCCAATACACAGACACGTACTGCTCACCTCCCCCCGCCAATACACAGACACGCACTGCTCACTTCCCCCCCCGTTGCCAATACACAGACACGCACTGCTCACTTCCCCCCCGTTGCCAATACACAGACACGCACTGCTCACCCCCCCCCCCCCCCCTTGCCAATACACAGACATGCACTGCTCACCTCCCCCTGCCAATACACAGACATGCACTGCTCACCTCCCCTCACCAATACACAGACATGCCCAGCTCACCTCCCCCTGCCAATACACAGACATGCCCAGCTCACCTCCCCCTGCCAATACACAGACATGCACTGCTCCCCTCCCCTCACCAATACACAGACATGCACTGCTCACCTCCCCCCACCAATACACAGACATGCACTAGAGGCTCTTTGATCATTTTCTGAGTGTAATTTCAGCTGTCCACATACCATTATTATATCAACATTCAATTGCTGATATTTATAATTTGCAAAGACTAGGCATTCCCTGTCATGCACTTCTCACCTCCCCCCACCAATACACAGACATACACTGCTCACCTCCACCTGCCAATACACAGACATGCACTGCTCACCTCCTACCCCCCAATACACAGACATGCACTGCTCAATCCCCCCCAATACATAGCCCCACACTGCTCACCTCTCCCTCCCCAATACATAGACATGCATTGCTCACCTCTCCCTCCTAATACATAGACATGCATTGCTCACCTCTCCCTCCCTAATACATAGACATGCATTGCTCACCTCTCCCTCCCTAATACATAGACATGCATTGCTCACCTCTCCTCCCTAATACATAGACATGCATTGCTCACCTCTCCCTCCCCAATACATAGACATGCAGCTCTCCCCAACACTAAACATTTTCTTATTAGCACACTTTTCATACATAAGCCCACAGGTTAATTACAAGAAGACAGTACCCTACTGCAAGTAAATTATAAAATACTTACTTTAGGACCTGAGCCACTGTATTTGGCCCATACCATTCACCTATAGACTTTCCTTCTCCTACACCCATCTGTGCTGATTTTTCATCCAGGAACAAACAGAAATAAAGAATTATGATTGGTGTGAAAAGGTAACTAATAATTCTGCAGCAGAATGCGGTTTATTAAAGCAATATGGCATACAGAGAGGTGCCCTCTGACAATATCGATACACACAATAAAGACTTTAGCACCAGAATATTTATTAAAAAAAAAAAAAAAAAAATACAAAAACGTGACAGTGTCAATTTGTTTACATTCCAAACTGCATCAGTAAATTAGGTTTGAATGCTGACAAACTGCTGCTGGCCAAAGCAGACATTTCTCCTTTTTTCCAAATTGTAGAAATCAACTTACTGTCAAACATCATTTAACAAGCACGTTATCCCATGATATGCGGTGTAGAGATTGCACAATACAGGCTTTAGGGAAATAGGTTCTCAATCAATATGCAGTAACTATAACAGCCATTCACCGGTCATCTTTCATTAGGCTGACATCAGCACACTGAAGTATGATTGACTGCCATGGGCTACTGTTCCTAGCAGTCCATGTCTGGTTTTTGCATTGGTAATCTTTTTTACCAGTTTGTTCTGGAAAATAACTTTTTCAGTCTGATGTGTACACAACAACTGCATTCAGCTATCTCTTCTCAAAGAACATCATGGTAAAATGAAGGGAAGACTCTGAAGGTGGGAATAGATGGATCCAAATTCTGCTGGTTCAGTAGGGACTGGCTGAATTTGTAAGTGGTCCACCCTGTTTAACAGAGTGAATCTTTAGTTCATCTTCTGAGGAATGGCCATGCTGAAAAACTTTCACTGATCAGAGGCTGCAACTGCTGATCAGTGTATTCTGCCACCAGACCCACTGTCAGAATTCAATGTCTCAGCAGGAAGGTTTCCTCCATTCACCCTGTTTGCGTAGAAGTGTGAACCCACCTGGTGTTTTGGCTGAACAAAGACAAAAAAAAAAAAAAAAAACCTAACCATATATACCCAGCCTTACTGACTGCTACGCTGTCCTGTGACATACACTCATTTGTCTGTGTGTGTACAGTAAATTACCTGTGGCTGCAGACAAGAAAACCCAGTGAAGGAAAATACAAGATCTGCACTTCCTTATTACAGTTACTGAACATGAAATTTGCTGCCAACACATACAACATCGAATGGAGCAAATGTGCCATTAAAGGATGGATTCCTTCTCACACAAAAAAAAGGAAATGACTGAAGACAGGGAGTTCACCCTCACAGAACAGCAAAGCAGGGATTAGATCATTACAAACTATACATAGAACCGATTATTTACATAAAAGATCACTTTTTGAAGTTTAAAAGTGTAGAGTAAAAAGTGCATTTTTTTAATAAACTACAATGCAGCATCTGCGGTCATCAATATTGAAATCAGGTCCATTTAAATTCATAGAACTGCTCTTACCCATCTGGTGAATGGAGTAACAGCTATTTTTTCTGTCTAGAAAACACTGCAGGATCTGGTAATATTCTTCTGGTTGTTTTTTATGTTTGTCCCATTGCCATTCTGGAATAGATTAAAAACAGTGTGTCGAGATCTTTAATGCATAACACAGAGCTATAGTCTGGAAGTTATAACTTTTCAGCAATGAAGTATCACACAAAGAAAACACCTCTGTGACTAAGCTCCAGATGCAAGCTGCCTTTGATTCTTGAGCTGTATCTATAATTCAGAAAAGTAAGGCCTAACCAATACAGCTACACTTCATTCATCATTACTGAAAACTCTGATGGCCTCCTTTTCGGTCAGTGTCTCACTTGTTAGCTCAGTTCTGAATTCAAGCTGATCTTCCCAGCCATCAGTGGTCTATTAAGGTCCCTGCTGAGATAGACCCTGCTGTGTCATGAATAGGCATCTGTCAAACCTGTAGAGAGGTGTAAGAGGCTGCTACATACAAAAGTAGGAGCTAGACTTGGTAAATAGCCATTTACACATTATTGATTTTAGAATAATTCTATAGGAATATTTTCGGTTTAATTAAATAGCTATTAAGAAGGTGAAGCTTTATGATGTAATTTGCCCATTTACAATTTTGCATGGTGGTTCCAGATAGGACTTAAACGACGATTTTAGGTACAGTAAATGCATGTGTGTATCATGTATGAATATTTAATCATCATAAGGCAACACATACACGTAGGAACATACCTTTCCAGCTCTAAAGCTATATTTTCTGTCTAAAAATTACCTATCTTCTTTCCATAGCAGGCTTCATGCCAGTTGGACTTACCTTTGAATTGTTCAGTTAGGTACACTAATCTAAATAATCTCCCCAATTAATATATCCAATCATGTAGGCCTTCACTTGACATAGTTATTGGTACATTTTGCAGATTTAACAAATAAAACTCAATGGTGGCCATGCACATTACAATCTGATTGCACAATCCCTGTACAATCTCATTTAACTTTACCAAAACTTGGTAATGTGAGGGCAAATCTAAACAATTTCTATCCAACTGCACAGGCCTTTGCATTATATACTGTAGTTATTGGTAGATTTAAAGGAGATTGTACAACCAAATTGTATAGTGTACAGTCAGGTTAAGATAAACCTAGGTAAAGCAAGGCTAGCTTTAGATGAATGAAGGCTTGTTTCTTGTTTTTTTACATATTGGGGTTGACTTACTAAAACTGGAGTGCATAATCTGGTACAGCTCTGCATAGAAACCACTTGGCTTCCATTTTTGTTTTTTGTCGGAAATTGAACAAGCTGAAGTTAAAAGCCGATTGGCTACCATGCACAGCTGCACCAGATTTTACACTCTGCAGTTTTAGCAAATCAACCTCATTGTGTGCGTCAATATTGCATATACATCATTTAATTTTATAGTGTTTTTGTGTACCAATATCATTTTTTAAATGTCATTACTATTGAAAGTATGGTTGACAGATAACTGGATGAGTATATTAGGATGGATACAAAACTGATGTTTTAGAGCAGTGGTCTCCAAACTCCAGGGGCCAGATGTGGCCCTTTGCTTGCCTTTATCATGCCCTTGGGGCACTATTCCACCCACTGATACAAGGCACTATTCCTTCTAATGACACCAACAATGGGGTATAATTAGTGTTACTGATACCAACAATTGGGCGCTATTCCTACCAATGATGGGGCACTATTCTTACCACTGACACCAATGTTATGGAACTATTCTTTCCATTGACACCAATGATGGGGCACTATTCCTCCCAGTAATACCAATGATGGGGCACTATTCCTCCCACTGAAACCAACGATGGGGCACTATTTCTCCCACTGGCACCAATGTTATGAAACTATTCTTCCCACTGACACCAATGATGGGGCACTATTCCTCCCAGTAATACCAATGATGGGACACTATTCCTCCCAGTAATACCAATGATGGGGCACTAAACCTACCACTGACACCAATGTTATTGAACTATTCCTCTCACTGACACTATTGGTATGGAACTTTTCTTCCCACTGACACCAATGATGGGGCACTATTCCTTTCCCTGATACCAACAATGGAGCACGAATCCGTTCCCTGATCCCAGTGATAGGGCAGTATTTTTTCCCCTAATACCAACAGTGAATCACTATTCATCCCATCAATACAAATGATGAGGCATTGCTTATTCCCAATGACGTCGGGCCATGCTCCCACTGGCCACAGTCCGGCCCCCTCAAAGTCTGAAGGACAGTAAACCGGCCCTTTGTTCAGAAAGTTTGGAGACCCCTGTTTCAGAGCTACAGATTCTGTGTCTTTACAAGTATGAGGCTTAGGAAGTACAACACCTTAGTACTATGAGGAGTTTTGGATTGGTGCATGTGAAAAATTAACATATGGAATGTAAAAAGTCCATACACCAGGACAATGAAAAGCATAAAAGGGGATTTGCACAAAGTATGGAAACTTCCTATCTAATCTTTAACCTGACAGGCACATTACTAAATAGAGCGAGCACCACTTCCAACAGCCACTCTCTAAAAAACAATGAGACCTTTTTTTTCCCTATTTGCTCAGTGGGCCGAATATCTCACATGCACTTGTATTCAGGTAGTGGAATGACCAGAAGCACAGGTCGTGCTGCCAGATGCAATATCTCTTGATCCTGAATGTATGTTGTTGGTTGGAGCAACTCTGTACTCTTAAGATTTTCTTTTAAAATGGAAAAACCAATGAGGCTTTTATCCTAAGTGTTTATTTTTACAATTCTAAGAAGTCTGATCACCAGAAAAACTGCAAACCTTTTATTTTACAGCTGAAAGACAACCAATGTTATTGCTAGATGGCAATGCTGTTAAAATCTGTAATTGCAGTTCACAATCCCAAAAAAAAAAAAAAAAAAAAAAAAAAAAAAAAAAGGAACTGCAATGCCTGGGACCTCTCTGTGTTAATACAAGGAGGAGTTTAATAAAAACAGAAGATTCCTGGTTGTCTTGTACACATGCTTTAGGGAATTCGTTTATGTTTAACTATATATTACAGATCTGCAGTGCAGTGGTCCTGCATGACCTTAGTGAGTATAGAACATCCTGAACTAACATTCTCCCTGGGACGAACTATATCAGCAGTTCTAATTACACAGCAACCATTTCTCTTAATCTTCCCCGTTACCTAATGGAGCTGTAAGCTCTTTGGAAAACAGTCAGGGCAAAGTTCATAATTTTATTTTTGTCTCAAACATTGATTTAGTTCTGGTTTCCATCTATTATGGGAATAATGTATTGCTGCTGTAAAAAATGGATGTGGCTGGTCCCAGGTGAGTAATGCAAGTTATATGAGGCACAGTCTGAGTACTTTAAACAAGTCATTAAACTGACAAAGTAAGGGAACATGTTTTCATGCTGTGGAAGTCACCAGTTAATGAAGCAGGGAACGGATGGTAGAATTATATACTTATGGTAGATTATCGAGGAGCTACTTTGTTCCTGTACTGCAATGTATCTTCTTTTTTTGTGGTACTTACCTCTGCCTAGATGCTGGCAAATTAAGGCTTGAGCTAGCATCATCTGTCCACATCTCAACATACAACCCCAACCAGCATCAGAGGATGGACCTGTTCCACCTGGTTTTACGTAAAGTGAGAATATGTTATCAATATAAACAAACATACTATTCTTTAGGTTATATCTCTGTAACAGAAAACAGCAGTAGTTGGCTAGGTTCACATAAGTTTATTTAACAACATGGTGTGAAAACAAGCAATTTTTTTAACACTGTACACCCTCTCCACCCTCGCAGAATAGGAATACATGTACTCCAGAGTGGGGACCGAGTAGGCACCGCCGACAGCAGTATGTGACCCGCATAGGGGGTCTATCCCTTCCCCAGTCTTAGCAAAACTTAAAAAGGTTTTGAATTGACCAAACCCAGAACAGTAAAATCAGTCTGTATATGCAGTAAAGCATGCTTGTTATACTTACTGTAGAACCTAAGGGGTTAATCCTCCCCATTGTGTAAAAAGGCTGTCTGATCCTGTCTTCTCTGGTCCTCCCCTTCTTCTATGGTCCCCAATCCATCTCTTCATAGTACAGAGCTATAGGAGGCACTCTGCACATGCTCAGTTTAGTGTGTATTGCTAGAGTTTTTATTTTCTTTGGGAGGTCTAATCAGCACTGTCCAGACAGAGGGTCAGGGGTTATGCAGTCTCATAAGACAGAGGAGAATGATAACTCCTCCTACAGGCTTTAACCAGTGCTCAGTTGGACACGAATACAAGTCTTAAGACTGCTATATACTGCTGATGAGAAAAGGTAATTAGCAGTTTATATTTACTATAATAATTGCATTTCTATATTCTGTGTACTGTGGGAGACCAGACCAGATATAGTGAATGTAGGATCCTAGGTTTAGTAACACTTTACCTTTCGAGTTGGGTATAATAAACAAGCAATACAAAACTTACCAATAGGAGAAAATTTCTTTCTGTATGTAAACCACAGCTTGGAAGTAACATCTAAAAGCAAATCGCTCTTCTCTGTAAATGGAGAATGAACAGCCATTAAGAGCCATTAAGCTGCATTAACATTTACAGCCATTAAACTCAAAGAACTGTAAGTAACATCATAAAAAGTCATATCAGATTAAAGCAGATGTAAACGGTATCTGAGCTATTTAATTAAAATGCCATTTAATATATTTAATATAGAAGTAAAAGTTTATCAAACTTTCAAAACATACAATACTTGAAAGAAAACAAAACATAAATTTCCATCTCAGGATATAGACAGTTTCAAAATGTACTACACAAGCAGCTTACAGAATTACAATAATCTATGTAACACCAAATTCAGTGGAATCAGACCCCCCTAGCATTTCTATCCATGCTCATCTTGAGTAAGGGCAGATGATTCATGTGGCATTTACTTCCGGGTGTCAGGCATGCAGGCAGGAGGTTGTGCTTAGCTATGAAAGCCCCTACTCTCGATGAAAGAAAAAACACCCATAAAGACTCCTGAGATGTATGACATCCTTTTGGCCTAGGCCAGAAACCAGGAAGCAACTGATAAAGCGTACAATAAAAAACATTTTAAATAAATAAATATAATAAACATTTCTATCTATTTGCTAAGGCTAGCAGCCTAAAGATTAAAACAGTAAAGGTTGATTCAGAGAATTTAGTTCCATTTTAAGTAATTCTGTCATTCACACCCATCCCTGTGCTGCTACTGACAAGAAAACAGTGTACTTTATACTTTTAGAGAGTCCTCTGATTCACTTTAAAACAGATGTGTAAAATGTAAACTGTACTATTTATAAGGTAAACCCTTCTGGAATTAGACCTGATAGAAATATAAACAGCTGGAAACTGGAAAATAACATTTGATGAGAGAATAAAATCAGTATCAACAAAAGAGAAGTACTCCAAAAAAAGGTTGTGTGGGTTTTTGCAGATAAAGTCAAGATAAAGATTATTTTAAACCAGCAATTGTCAAACCCCTTTTTTTCAATACAGCCTTAAAGTCCTACCCTTTTGTATTATTAGTAGAATATTAAAGCAAATCAAACCTGTAGATAAAAGAAAACAACAAATCTAATGGTAGCAGCATGAGCTGAAAAAAAACTCTCACTTAGGAGGCTTCGGGTGGCACAGAGATGAGCAATTCTTTCATGTGATAGGTAGCGGTTACATTTTACTTTGTATTTAGGTGAAAATAAATTCTAAGGCAATTTGACATAAACATAAAAAAAGACACGCATGGATAAATAAAGCATGGGTTTGTTTTAAAGCTGAACTAGAAGTATGATTTTTTACTGCAGTTACATTGGTCCAGCTCATATCCTAGTGATCCCTGTGCAAATCACTGTAATCACAAGGTGAGATTCTGATGCTACCACCCCTACTCTTCACCTCATCCTATCATGCCTTTGTATTCATTGAAAAAAAAAAATTCTGTGCCGTTCTGTGAATGGCAGTAGTCTTGAGCAAGTGAGTGACTGCCTGTGGTTATTATGCAGAAGGGAAGCCATTCAACACAGAACCTAGAAGATCGCTGTATCACTGTAGTAGCGGCGACTACTGCAGTGATTTGAACAGGGATCTTTCTGGTATGAGTTATGCAAGAGCAGTGATGTTCCAGGTCCTGTGTGGAGCGGCTTTTCTTTTGCATAATAGTAACCACAGGAGGTTACTTGCTTGGTCATCACCGCCGCCATTCACAGAACGTCAAGGTGGAAATTGTGATATCACTGCCCCTTCTCACCTCATGTAATCAGAAAATGTAATTTATTAAGTAAAAAAATCCAAGGTGTTCTGTGAATGGCAGTGGTGCCAAGCAGGGAAGTCGCTCAGCACTGGACCTGGAAGACTCCTGCTACTACGGCAGCGACTACTACAGTGATTTGCAATTTTTACAGCAATCGGTCAGGTATGAGATATGAATACTTACATTGGTCCAGGTTGGGCTGTCACAATCGCTGCGTCAGACCCCAGACCTTCTCACCAAACTCGTGACCGAAGGACTAGCCGATCTAAAGCCGCGATGTCACGTGCATAACAATGCCACACCCAGCTGCACCCTGCACAACGATTTTCCAGCTAATTGGACCACAATCGATGTACCGGCAGCCTGAGCGATTGTTACTGGGTCAGGTTAATTATGCAATTAACTCTTCACACTGCCACAACCTCCTTTTTGTACAGAGAAAGAGGAAACTCAGCGATATCAATTATAACACTATAATGGTTGAGGTAATCGTCTGTATAACACGGTTATACAGAGGGTTAAACAAACACAGTAACTTTCTCTTTAGAGGCAGGAATTCGTAAATTGCAATAAAGCACTATAGAAACAGTTCAACACTTTCAGAAGGAAAGATTTATTACTAAAAAGGTCAAACGGGTGCAATAAAAATATTTACAGAAAAGATATAACTAAGATATATATATATATATATAAACATACAGAGACCAACAGCACAGCAAAGAGATATCAGAGAGAGGTGAAAGGGTTAAGGTACTTGCCAAAGTCCTGGGTTAGCAGATCCAAGTTTCAGAGCAAAAGAGCACGGGTCTCCCCAGGTGGTATTGATGTTAAAATGGGAGACGTCTTCAACTCACTTCTCTTAGGCCTAACAGCCCAATTTGTAGTTCCCCAGCAGGGGGTGTCTCTGACGTCAAGGACCAATACCCAGTGTAGGGCGTAAAGGTCTGAGTGTTGACCTAAACTAGAGCCAAAATCTTGTGTAGTTCATATTTGGGCTCATAAATTTTCCTATGCACAAGTGACATTTCACCCGCGGGTAGATTATTATGCAGACATGTCTGAGGATTGATTAGAGATGAAATATGTAATTCTATACTGAACTGTTTTAACAAAGGTTATCTGATTCTGTCACCTACGCTGAGTTAGGTTTATTAGGTTGGAATCTCTTTCAACTCCTGGGAAAGCTTGCCTTATCTCTTCCGAGGGGTTACAATTTGCAGGTTCTTTGGACAGGGAGGCCCCGACTCCCTTGGGGGGCTTTATAGCTCCTATGACATTCCTAACTCACACACATACTGGCCAAATGTCGCTGGGCCTTTCAGAGAGGGAGGGGAGAAGAATGAGGGAGAAATATATTTGTCAGGATGGTTAATCCCTTTGCCAAGATGGAGGTTGAAGCCAAAATGGTTGAACCGCGTCCATCTCTGGGTATACGCTGTTACATGGGCCACTATAAGTATGCAGTAAAATCATACCTACAGTTCAGCTTTGAGTCTACAGGATTTTTTTTAATGAGATTCCACATCTCCCTCCACTGTGCATGATCTCGAAAGCTCCTATGTAGACACCCAACTATCAAGATGATCGCCTATTCCATACCTACAGTAACACGGATTTCTTTTTTTTTTTAACATAGCACTGGTCAAAAATGATAAAACATGGAATGAGCTTTCACCAAAATATGGTAGTAGGCTGCTCCGCTCTATATAAATAAGAGTTCAGATTCTTTTCTGATATAATTTATTGCAGAAGATTTGCACTTATATATTCAGTGCTTTTAAATGCACACACACCCATACCCATGTACAGTTCATTTCAGTGCTAACCTGTTTTAATGTCATATTGCTTTCCTAGGATGTAAACGGGCTCGTCTGTATCAGGGAGTTCTTCAAGTTCCAGATAATCTGACAGGGCAATCTCATCTTCATCACTTGGAAAACCTGATGGATATTCAATAATAATTACGCGAGAGAGAGAGAGAGAGAGACAGAGAGACAGAGACAGACAGACAGACAGTCTTTCCAAAACGTCACAGGAAAGGTAAAATGCTGTTCTACTTAAATTCACATATGCAACATATTCCAGATCAGCTCTAAAACATCAAACAAATGAATTTAGAAATAACGTATTAAGCATATCTTCATTATCTCTACCTATCAGTGAAACATGATTGCTGCAACGTATCTTGTTTACTGACAGGTTTCCTAATAGGTGGAAGTTGTGTGTTTCAGTCTTGCATAATTAAGTTACCAGCAGAGGCTAGGACTGATATTCTAAATGAAAGAAGGAAGAAAAAGCAGAAAGTCCCTACAATAGAAAATGCACCTCTTCTTCATTCACATGAGCATTTTACCACAGTGCAAATCCCAGTGGCATGAATATACTGATTCCTGCTGCTGGGTTTGATAGTTGTAGGCGGATGGCTGCAGCCACCAAGCCCATACACTACAATGACAGGCTGTCAATGGCCACAGCTTTTTGTGCCTGTGATAATCTGAAGTGATTAAAAATGAACATACACTAAAGCTGGCCATACACGTATAGATTTCTGGACGAGAATATTTGATGAATGGATAAATGTTGTTCGAAAATTGTCTTTTGCTTTTAAAATTTGATTTTAAAATGAATGTAATTTCTGAATGATAACCACATACACTGGTCAAAAATAAAATAAAATTTGATTGAGAAAAGTTTTCGTTCCTTCCCCTTCGAACTTTCCCGTCACTGCAGTTGAAAACGAACATCGATGTTACCCCACTAACGATTAGAGGATCAAACGAATATTATTGAAATGGAAATCCTTGAATGAAAATCTATATGTGTATGGCCAGCTAAGGTGTGTCTACTACCCCTAAAGTAGTATGTGACAAATGAGTGAAGGTGCAGCTGCTTCAAAGTCTTCTCACGCCAGTTTTTGCTGCTTCCGTCAATGCCTTCTCACAATGCTATCTTGCTTCTTCCATCAAAGCCTTCTCACACTGGTGTCTTCTTCCGTTAAAGCTATCTAAGGCTACGTTCACACTAGCGTTGTGTGCAGGCGGCAGAGAGGCGTTTGGGAAGCGTTTTTACCGCTTCTGACAATTCTGCACATTGCAGCACATAGTGCTGTTCTAACGGGAGCGTTAGCATCGCGTCACGGCAAAACAGGCGCCTCTGGTCGAGTCAGGAGGTGTTGAAGCCTCCTATTTTAGTCTATGGTGCCGCTCCGCAAACGCCCGGCCGGCGTTTGCAGTGCAGTTGCGACGCGGTTGCGGGGCATTTGCGGAGCGGTAACACCATTCAAACTTCATTATAGGCGTTTGTGGGGTGTTTTTAACGCTCGGCAAACGCCTAGCAACTCCCGCTAAACCGCGCATGCGGGGTTTGCCGAGCGTTAAAAAACGCTCCGCAAACGCCGGACCAACGCTATAGGGGCGTTTGGCAAGCGTTGGTAAAACAGTCAAGTGTGAACGAGCCCTAACACTGGCGTCTTGCTTCTTCTCTCAAAGCCTTCTCACACTGGTAACTGTCTTTGCACCGTAATCTCATTACAAGTCATATGTTCATTTTTTATACACAATGGAAAGCCTCTTACATCCAAATGTACCCATGCAATAGACAAGCTTCTTCCAGATGACCCCCTTATATTTACAAATCATCTTATTGTACAGCTGTTCCCAGTACATGCCGAGTTTAAATCACAAAAGTTTTCTAAAAACATGTCCAACAACTACAACAATTTGAAATACAGAAGTATCTGAGTACAGCGCCAATGTCATCCGGAGCATAACAAAGAATCCATGTGTCCATCCTTTATTGCTGCATGAGCCCTGGACTGATCTCCTAATTACAAATTGGAATGAGCATGATCCAGAGACTAAGCCAGACTTTGTTGTCTGTGTTCAAGTAGAAATGAATGTAGTCACATGGCCGCTATATAATTAGTGTCTACTAATAACAAAGGATAAAGAAGTCGAAAGCCTAAGCAAACACTTTTTATAATGAGAAAAAATCCATATAAGCAAGCTTCTGTAATAAAAGCTTACAATATCTGTAAGAGGGTGGTCATCATGTAGATCTTTTCCTAACTGTGATCTGCATTCCAATTTTCAATACAGAAGGCTCCTATTCCCTAGCAGGACATAAGACACTGGTGAGGTCCTACACATGCACAAACATCTACCACTGGTTCCATATTGTATTTAAGTGTATACATCATGTCATGTCAATGTATCTGTGATTATGTTTTCTACAAGGTAAATGCGTCATCAAAAAAGTATGTTTTTACCCTCATGCAAATTCCATTTTTTTCCTCATTCCCAGGGAATACATCTTCTACATGGAGTCCATGCTTCCCCAGTGTGTTTGTGTGCGTGTTCCCTGCCGTGCATATACAAGAGGAGCGTGTACATGCGGCTGCAAGGAATGTCACCGCTGCAGATGACTGATTCATTACAGGTGACAGCTTACTGGTGAGCTTGGATACATGGGATTGGAAGAGCATATGCACACGGCCAAGCTCATCTCTAGTGTGCATGTGTATGTGACAAGGCTGAGAAGCTGGAATCTTTTCTAGAGACTAATGTGAATGTTATGCAGAAAATGAAACCTGACTTGAATTTTGGCTGAATCTGCAGAAATTCAAGCTGTGGGTTGGCCCTGTCAGCAGCACCTGCTCTGCAAATTTTGAGTCTGACAAACTAAAAAACTGAAGGAGCCAGGTGAAAGTCTTGATGCAGCCACTGTTCAGGTATTCAGACAGGCACGGGTACTGTGGCTGTCTGCTTTTTGCAGTCGGTTTCATTAAGCAGATTTCCTTCACTTTCTGTCATGTAGACTTAAAGTGCTACTAAACCCAGGACCCTGCATTCACTATATCTGGTTTCCCACAGTACACAGAACATGGAAATGCAATTATTTTAGTAAATATAAACTGCTAAATAACTTTTCTCATCAGCAGTATATAGCTTAGTGACTTCTATCAGTGTCCAGCCCAGCACTGGTTAAAGCTTTTAGGAGGAGTTTTCATTCTCCTCCGACTGTCCTTTGAGGCTGCATAACCCCTGACCCTCTGTCTGGATAGTTCTTATTGGCCCTGTGCTGATCACATGCACACTCCCAAAGAAAAAAAAAACCTTTCTACTATCTCTGTACTATCAGCAGATGGATTAGGGACAGTAGAAGAAGGGGAGGATCAGAGAAGTCAGGATCAAACAGCCTTTTTACACAATGTGGAGGATGTATGCTATTTAGTGCATATACAGACTGATTTTACTGTTGTGGGTTTAGAAACAGTAAATCAGTATTAAGCCCAAAACCAAAAATTGCAGCTTACCAATAATCTGATATGGTGGATGCATCAGTTTTCACTTTGTGATCTGGCCAGTAAAACACCCCCTGTGTTAGTAAGAGACCCCACTCTGGAGAAATAAGCCATAGCACAGTAGATAGCAGTAATGTCAGTCTATGGGGGGGGGGGGGGGGTGTTAAATGCATAAACAGATTTAGATACACTAGCAAGTTGAAGCCAAACTCCAGATCACCCTTTACAATTAGTTACAGCATTTTGGGATAAAGGTACATGAATAAATAACAGTTGATCATTTTAATCACCCCTGCAAGTGGTAAATGGATTGTCTCATCCATGTAAACTGATACATTCTGCTGCAGACCTTGAACTTCTGAAAAACAGCAAAGTTGCTGGCTGAATGAAAAATACAAGAAAGAAAGCCTAAAAACAGAAACTAATGCAGCTATCACATCTAAGAATTGGTAAGCTGCAATATAATAAATGTTTGCTTTTGGGATTAATATTGCTCCCTAAAGGGAGTTAGCTCTGCACTCCGCTCTCCCCAAGAGGCAGCAGGATCAGTTCATAGAGCAGCTGAGGGACGGGAAGTGCCAGAAGGCAGACCGGGGGGGACAGGTCCAGCATGTCATCAGAGCTGGCTGGCTGCTCCCGGAGGAGGCAGCTATTTGAAAATGACCGAGATGAGAGTGCAGGACACACTGTGTGGCACCTAAACAGCAGAAAAATACTGGATTTGCTATGCAGGTGAGCATGTGCTTTAAAGAGCACTACAGTAATACAGTTAAAGGATAGGTTCACTTTTGGGAACATGTTACATTTTCCCATAGCTGCAGCCACCGCCTGCCGCCCCCCCTCTGACAGTACAGGGAGACTTCTCCCCATATAATCTGTCAAATTTGAAAACAGTGCGGCCGCGTGGGGCTCCGCCCCCACACAGTCACGCCATTCATTCATGAACTTCTGCGAACAAATGAACTGCAAGTCCAGACAGCCTTAGCGGCCGTGGGCATGTAGTTTTTCAATGAACTACCATGGCGCTGTGGGGAGAGTACTGCTATAAAGCAGAGAATTAAATTCCAGAAAATTCTCAACTCCACCTTCCAGCGATGTGATAATTACATCTCTTGCTGGCCACCTTCTCTCCAGGCTACTTCCAGGTGACTGGTTTTGAGCCCACTGGTTGGGTGGCAGGGTATAACATGATCCCGCACAAGTACATGAGAGTCAGTCATTCTGACACAGCCAGAGTGTGCCGGGAGTGCATGCTGAAGTGTGCACATGCAGCACAGTGAGGACTGCGAGTAGGAAGGGGTTATTGCAGAATAGACAAAGCATGCAATACGGAGCTGCCTAATCCCAAATGTTGATAATTATAGGTTTAGTTCTGCATTAACAGTAGGGATAAGCTCCAAAGCCTAGGAACTATCCTGCTGGGAAGCTGTCAAAGCTGACAGCCAATCATAGGACGTGGGGACAACATGTATGCAAAGGGTGTGCAAATGTGCTGCTGTGGGGTGGAGAATGCCTCTGCCACCTATGATTGGTTGTTGGCTTTGACAGCCTTTGATGGTATAGCTCAGGCATGTTCGGACTTGTGTATGACAGCACAGCTCATCACTGTTTACCAGTATGAGGATATCTGTCCAATATGATAGAAATCCCACATCGAACCGCAGTCACAAGAACAAGTTGGGACCATTGGAAGGTTTCCCCTCTATTCCTGTTCTGGTGACAACTCCAAATTTTGCATTTCCCCTCACCTTGGCACTGGTGATCAGGACAGTTAGAGAGAGTGAATTCCTTAAGAGGAACACAGACAACAATAAAAAAATGTCAGGTGTTCTAACCCCTCTTCAATCTATCCAAAACTGAAAAAGAAAAAATGTTGCTTTAGATAGACTATAAAGAGGCACGGTCTACTAAGAATCTCTGTTGCAATGGAAGGTAGTGTGGAGGATTGATGAGATGTTATATCCGGGCTTCAGACAGGTATTAGGAGAGGTGATGAGGGCTCAGCACCCCAACACAGGAAGGACATGGCGGTGAACACAGAATGCTTCTGAAGGGAAAGGGTAAATGACCACTACACTACTGATCCTGTTATTGTTTTGTGTTGTGTCCCCCTCGGTGCTGTCTACAGAGTCCTTGCTGTGTCCCCCTGGGTGTTGTGTATATAAAAGTCTCTGCTGTGTCCCCCTGGGTGTTGTGTATATAAAGTCTCTGTTGTGTCCCCCTGGGTGTTGTTTACATAAAGTCTCTGCTGTGTCCCCTGGGTGTTGTATATAAAGTCCCTGCTGTGTCCCCCTTGGTGTTGTATATAAAGTCTCTGCTGTGTCCTCCTGGGTGTTGTATATAAAGTCCCTGCTGTGTCCTCCTGGGTGTTGTGTATATAAAAGTCTCTGCTGTGTCCCCCTGGGTGTTGTGTATATAAAAGTCTCTGCTGTGTCCCCCTGGGTGTTTGTATATAAAGTCTCTGCTGTGTCCCCCTGGGTGTTGTATATAAAGTCTCTGCTGTGTCCCCCTGGGTGTTGTATATAAAGTCTCTGCTGTGTCCCCCTGGGTGTTGCGTATATAAAGTCTCTGCTGTGTCCCCCTGGGTGTTGTATATAAAGTCCCTGCTGTGTCCCCCTGGGTGTTGTATATAAAGTCTCTGCTGTGTCCCCCTGGGTGTTGTGTATATAAAGTCTCTGCTGTGTCCCCCTGGGTGTTGTATATAAAGTCCCTGCTGTGCCCCCCTGGGTGTTGTGTATATAAAGTCTCTGCTGTGTCCTCCTGGGTGTTGTGTATATAAAGTCTCTGCTGTGTCCCCCTGGGTGTTGTGTATATAAAGTCTCTGCTGTGTCCCCCTGGGTGTTGTGTATATAAAGTCTCTGCTGTGTCCCCCTGGGTGTTGTGTATATAAAGTCTCTGCTGTGTCCCCCTGGGTGTTGTATATAAAGTCTCTGCTGTGTCCCCCTGGGTGTTGTATATAAAGTCTCTGCTGTGTCCCCCTGGGTGTTGTATATAAAGTCTCTGCTGTGTCCCCCTGGGTGTTGTATATAAAGTCTCTGCTGTGTCCCCCTGGGTGTTGTATATAAAGTCTCTGCTGTGTCCCCCTGGGTGTTGTATATAAAGTCTCTGCTGTGTCCCCCTGGGTGTTGTGTATATAAAGTCTCTGCTGTGTCCCCCTGGGTGTTGTATATAAAGTCTCTGCTGTGTCCTCCTGGGTGTTGTATATAAAGTCTCTGCTGTGTCCCCCTGGGTGTTGTATATAAAGTCTCTGCTGTGTCCCCCTGGGTGTTGCGTATATAAAGTCTCTGCTGTGTCCCCCTGGGTGTTGCGTATATAAAGTCTCTGCTGTGGGTCCCCCTGGGTGTTGTTGTATATAAAGTCTCTGCTGTGTCCTCCTGGGTGTTGCGTATATAAAGTCTCTGCTGTGTCCCCCTGGGTGTTGTATATAAAGTCTCTGCTGTGTCCCCCTGGGTGTTGTATATAAAGTCTCTGCTGTGTCCTCCTGGGTGTTGTGTATATAAAGTCTCTGCTGTGTCCCCCTGGGTGTTGTGTATATAAAGTCTCTGCTGTGTCCCCCTGGGTGTTGTATATAAAGTCTCTGCTGTGTCCCCCTGGGTGTTGTGTATATAAAGTCTCTGCTGTGTCCCCCTGGGTGTTGTGTATATAAAGTCTCTGCTGTGTCCCCCTGGGGGTGTTGTATATAAAGTCTCTGCTGTGTCCTCCTGGGTGTTGTATATAAAGTCTCTGCTGTGTCCTCCTGGGTGTTGTGTATATAAAGTCTCTGCTGTGTCCCCCTGGGTGTTGTGTATATAAAGTCTCTGCTGTGTCCCCCTGGGTGTTGTATATAAAGTCTCTGCTGTGTCCCCCTGGGTGTTGTGTATATAAAGTCTCTGCTGTGTCCCCCTGGGTGTTGTGTATATAAAGTCTCTGCTGTGTCCCCCTGGGTGTTGTGTATATAAAGTCTCTGCTGTGTCCCCCTGGGTGTTGTATATAAAGTCTCTGCTGTGTCCCCCTGGGTGTTGTATATAAAGTCTCTGCTGTGTCCTCCTGGGTGTTGTATATAAAGTCTCTGCTGTGTCCTCCTGGGTGTTGTGTATATAAAGTCTCTGCTGTGTCCCCCTGGGTGTTGTATATAAAGTCCCTGCTGTGTCCTCCTGGGTGTTGTATATAAAGTCTCTGCTGTGTCCTCCTGGGTGTTGTGTATATAAAGTCTCTGCTGTGTCCCCCTGGGTGTTGTATATAAAGTCTCTGCTGTGTCCCCCTGGGTGTTGTGTATAAAGTCTCTGCTGTGTCCTCCTGGGTGTTGTGTATATAAAGTCTCTGCTGTGTCCCCCTGGGTGTTGTATATAAAGTCTCTGCTGTGTCCCCCTGGGTGTTGTGTATATAAAGTCTCTGCTGTGTCCCCCTGGGTGTTGTATATAAAGTCTCTGCTGTGTCCTCCTGGGTGTTGTATATAAAGTCTCTGCTGTGTCCCCCTGGGTGTTGTATATAAAGTCTCTGCTGTGTCCCCCTGGGTGTTGCGTATATAAAGTCTCTGCTGTGTCCCCCTGGGTGTTGCGTATATAAAGTCTCTGCTGTGTCCCCCTGGGTGTTGTATATAAAGTCTCTGCTGTGTCCCCCTGGGTGTTGTATATAAAGTCTCTGCTGTGTCCTCCTGGGTGTTGTATATAAAGTCTCTGCTGTGTCCTCCTGGGTGTTGTGTATATAAAGTCTCTGCTGTGTCCTCCTGGGTGTTGTGTATATAAAGTCTCTGCTGTGTCCCCCTGGTGTTGTTGTATATAAAGTCTCTGCTGTGTCCTCCTGGGTGTTGTGTATATAAAGTCTCTGTTGTGTCCCCTGGGTGTTGTATATAAAGTCTCTGCTGTGTCCCCCTGGGTGTTGTGTATATAAAGTCTCTGTTGTGTCCCCCTGGGTGTTGTATATAGAGTCCCTGCTGTGTCCTCCTGGGTGTTGTATATAAAGTCTCCTGGGATTGGTCAGCCTTGTGCTCCACACACCTGGATCCTCAATATATCACTCAGCCCTGCCTCTATGTATCAGCACAGGGAGCTATTCTAGGCCCAGGAGCTTACAATCTCTGTGTCGTGCCCTCCACACATTGTTACATCGCTCAGGTCATCTTCCCCCAGTCTTGTCCCTCCTTCACCTACTTTCAGTACCCCCTCTCTGTCAGGGGAACTTACCGGCCTCCATCCTGCCCTGTCACCCAGGGACCGGCGCAGCCTCGTCCACAACAACAGTGGGCACGGTGCTTGCCGGGAAATGTAGTCAAGAAATAGTTTGGCGGACGTAGAATTTGAGTCTTTCTTTACTACAACTCCCAGGGTGCTGCGCTCCGGGGGCGCGGCCTGTGTGCTGCCGTCTAGGGTATGGGGGACGGTGATTGGCTGTGTGTAGCAGGCGCTTCTTTCCCTTTGTCAGCATGGAGGAGGTGAGGGTGTCTGATGTGGAGGTGTGTAACCTGGCGTACAGGGGGCAGCTGGAGCAGCTGAGGAGCATGGTGCTGGCAGACAAGTCCCTGACCTCCAGGACGGACCAGGTAATGGCTGAGCTGCCTTGGGGCTTCTAGTTTCTAAGCCATGGACTAAGTCCACTGCAAAGTTCTGTTCCCTGTGTCTGGGCAGCTGCTGGAGGACTACAGGTGTCAGCATTGCCTGGGAGCAGGGGCCAGCATTGTCCTGTGTGGAGATGAATGGTAAAGCAGACAAGTCTCAGAGGGGAGATGTGAGCATCCTCTGCAGTGTTCTGTATGGGAGGTGATGTGTGCCAATGGGGGCTCTCCTGGGGGGGCACTGTCATTACAAGGCAGAGGGGACCGAGCTTCATCACAGCTCATCCACATTGCGGGATTACATTCTAGTGGTATCAAACCCAAATGTAGTATTCTGCAACTTACCAACCCTTAGATGTGGTGGCTGCATTAGTTTTCTTGTTACCCCTCTGTTTTTACCTGGTGATCTGCCTAGTAACACTTCCTGTATTAGAGTGCTCCTGCTCTGGATGAAGGAGCACAGGGGGTACATATGGACAGCAGCATTGTCAGTCTGGGGGGAGGGGAGTGTTAAATGCAGTATCAGATTTAGATACAATAACAAATGGAAGCCAAACTCCAGCGAATAATTTGTAAGTAGTTACAAATATTTTTTTCTCCTTTTTGGGATAAAGGTTTTACATGAATAAAAGCTGATCACTATAAGCACCCCTGTCAGTAGTAATTGGTTTATCTCAACTCTCTAACTGCTACAACTGCAGGACCGCTTGCTCTGTTGAAGAACAACAGACTTACTGGCCAGGTCAGTAGACAGAAAAAAAGAAAACGAATGCAGCCATTACAACTAAAAATTGTTAAGCTGCAATATAATAAATGTTTGCTTTTGGGTTTAACACTGCTTTAATTCGGTTTGTTTGCATAGACACACAGAGGCGGCTCGGAAGCGAGTCCACATGAGTGCCCCCAGAGCAAGCAGCTTGTATGGGACACTCGAGAGGGGAGCGGCAGAGGACCTGAGATAGAGGAGGGTGGGGGACTGCTCTGTGCAAAGCTATTGCATAGAGCAGGTAAGTATGACATGTTTGTTATTTTTTAAAAATCAGAACATTTTAGGGATGCACCAATACCCTTTTTTTTTGGTTGGCGAGGATGAGTACCGATACTTTGGTCAAGTACTCTCAATACCAAGTGCCCAAACTTTGCGGTCTATACAAAATAAATGGGTGCAAATCGCACTGCAAAGAATAGCATGCGATTTGAACATGAATGCAGTGCGATTCCTATCCAAATCACATGCGGTTTCCCCACTGCTGCTGTGTGAATCCAGGCTTGTCACAGGAGCTGTGTGGGAAACTGTCCTGCACCAATCCCATGCTGTCACAGAAGGAAAAGCCGCTTTCACAGGTCTGAGGATTTGAAATCCCAGTGGCTTTCTCGCCTCTCTTTGCAACGAGCTAGGCGGCTTCTGATTGGTCAGCACGTGACTTGTCATAGCCTGCGTTCACACAGGAGCGGTGGGGCAACCATATGCGATTTGGACAGGAATCACACGGCATTCCTGTTCAAATCGAATGCTGTTCTTTGCAGTGCAGTTTGTGCCTGTTCATTTTGTATGGGTGCAAATCACACCGTAAACTGGATCTGTGCACAGTTTGTAAAAATACACTCACCAGCCACTTTATTGGGTACACCTGTTCAATTGCTTGGTGTAACCAATTGCTAATCAGCCAATCACCTGGCAGCAACTCAGTGCATTTAGGCATATAGACGTGGTGAAGAAGACTTGCTGAAGTTCAAACCAAAGAATCAGAATGGAGAAGAAAGGAGATTTAAGTGACTTTGAACATAGCATGGTTATTGGTGCCAGATGGGCTGTTCTGTATAATCTACTGGGATTTTCACGCACAACCATCTCTATGGTCCAAAAAAGAGAAAATAACCAGTGAGCATGATTGTGTGGACGAAAATGCCTTGTTGATGTCAGAGGAGAATGGGCAGACTGGTTGCTGCAGCATTCAGATGGTAGGGTCAGAATTTGGTGTAAACAACATGAAAGCATGGATCCATCCTGCCTTGTATCATCGGTTCAGGCTGGCGGCGGTGTAATGGTGTGGGGGATATTTTCTTGGCACTAGCAAGGTGTACCTAATAAAATGGCCAGTGAGTGTGTATGTACACAGGGGAATCCAGATTTGTTTATTATGCTTTCTCTGTTTATTTCAGGATGAAAGGACACCTCTGCACTGGGCATGCTCAGCAGGACACACAGAAATTGCTGATTATTTGCTCCAGCTAGCAGTGCCAGTTGATGGTAAAGATGATGTAAGTTGGTGATTTCTTTATATTTAATATATAGAACTGTAATCCGCCTGATAAAATGGCAAGCAGAAGATGGAGGCTAGTGAAGTCTACATGTGTCATACGTTACATGGTGTTTACTAAAAATCTGCAGTGGGTATAAAGTGCAGACACATAGACATGCAGCAGACTCTAATACCTAGCGTGTTACTGGTGTATCCCCAGCTGTTCTAGCAAGCAAAGCTCAGTCACTCCAGCTAGTTTGCCACTTCCTTGTAAGCTCTACTTCTTCATCTTGGCCTGTTTATTATACAGGATTTATATAGTGCCAACAGTTTTGCTCAGCGCTTTACAATATAACGGGAGACAATACAGCAACAATACAGTTCAATACAAGAGGGATTTGATGAGGTTATGATGATGGATTGTTCCACTAAGCAGCACGAAAGTGGAAGGAGGCTTAAAGGTGCCGGATCTTAATGGCTAGGAACTCATTTCCCTTATTTCTGAGTTATAGAGTGAAGGGACATGTCCCAGTGGTGTCACAGACCCAGGGTGGATAAAAATCAAAAAAATCGGATTTTTTTTTTTATTTAAATCAGATTTTTTTTAAATAAAATGCTTTTTGAGGAAAATATATTACCATCCAAAGGTTATTCCATCATGAAATAAAGATTAGTTTTTTAATTATGTAGAATAAGGCTGTATATGTTTAATTTTTTTGGTAAATAAATTCCATTAATCCATTCACAATGTCATGCTCTTCCAGAGGTTTTTGTAAGATTATTGGGCAGTTTCTCTGCCTACAAGATATTATCACAGATGCTTGGTTTACTTTCGCAGTTCTTAAAACTGAATTTGACTCAGCAGAGATCACATGCCTCTTCTTCACAGCAAAAATGTTATAAAATGAACAGAGTTAAGAAAAAGACCTTAATCCTAACTTCTACAAACCTATGAATACAGAATCAACCCCTTCAGTGCTAAGTTTCAAGAAGTTCAGTGAATAGAATAGAAGCAATATTTTTCAATATTGGAAGTGGAATAGATCTGCACAAGAAGAATGTGAAACTAAGTGTGAGGAGGAAGGGGCTGACAGTAAGTTTCTTAAAATAGATATATTTTGTTCAGCCAAATTAGTTAACAAACATGGATGTTTGTTTAAGCAAATAACATATGCTGTAATGTTATTGTTTCAGTTGAATAAATCTATTTAAATTGTTATTAAGGTAATGATTATTTTTCTCCTTGATAAGTACAACAGAAAAGTTGTCCAAATATGAATGATTAACCTATTAAACTGGGGATAAAAAAAAACTAATATGAAAAGTTGTTATTCTAAAAATCTTCAACTACTTGCATATTAAAGTTATACCAGTGAGAATTAGTCTTTATGTAGAAAACTATCGTTTTCGTTTATCGTGATTTAAATCAGTTTGATTTAAATCAAATCCACCCTGCACAGACCATAATTAAAACCTTTACATACTCTGTTTTAAACTGCCAGAAAAATAGTTTAGCAGAAGTTAGGCTTCTCCTTCCTTGCAGTGGGGCTATCCCTGCTTCTCAAAGCTAAAAGCTTTTTTGGGTCTAGGGGACAAAAAAGCAGTTTTACTTACCTGATCCTCCACTCCCTACGCTCTGGCAGTGGAGGATTGGGTAAGTAAAACTGCTCTTCCTTGCCCCCTTTAGACCTAAACAAGCTCCACTGCAAAGGAGGATTTTTACTTTGCACAGTGTCTTCATGCACACTGGGTGTTTTAACCACTTCCCATCCGACCCATGTACATAAATGGCCGGACGGAAGCAGTGCAGGAGTGGGTGGCCGTTTATAAACTTCTTCCCACATTCCCTGCCTGTGCGCGCTCCCTGGGAGCGTGCGGCACCGCGATCTGGTGTGAGGTCCCAATCATGTGATCCCTGACCGACAATCCGTGATCACATGAATAGTAGTAAGCAAGATATCACTTCCTTACATTATTGCTTACTACTAGTGAAATCTGTGAATGATCAAAGGTCACATGGTACAAGGCTATTCACAACAGCCTTCTACCATGTGACAAGCTGTGACCAATCACAGCTCTCACAGTATTTCTCAGTGGCTGCAAGAATGCAGTCAGAGAGGAGAAATGATTGCTTTTACAGTCTTTATGGATGTAAAAGCAATCGGCGTAAAAAAAAAAAAAAATCTTTATCACCCCCCACAAGTAGTACAGTGTCATTATGGTGATCCTGTACTGCTAGGGTGACAGTATGTAAAAAAAAAAAAAAAAATTATAGTATAAAAATGTTTTGCAACATTATAATTTTTAGTTATTGACAAATTTTGTTTTTTTTTTTTTTTTTACTAAAAAGATAGCTGAATACATTTTGGCCAAGATTTATGAAGAAAGATTATTTGCAAAATTTTATAAGGAACTTTTTTCCAAAATGTTTGGACTTTTTCATTTATATAGCAAAAAAATAAAAATCCCAGTGGTGAATAAATACCACCAAAATAAAGTTTTATCTGTCTGAAAAAAATGCTAAAAAATTCATATGGCTACAGTGTTGCATGACCACGCAATTGTTATTCAAAGTGTGATAGCACTGAAAGCTGAAAATTGGCCTGGACAGGAAGGGGGTGAAAGTGTCCTCACTTGAAGTGGCTAATAACGCTGGTAACGTTAGCTGTGTAAAGTCACATTAAAAACATGAGTTTTTCAGCGGTTTTTAGCTTTTTTGCATTAGCATTTAGCTGCGTTTTGCCGTGTTTTTTTTTTTCCCCATTTGCGTTATATAGCCTTTTTTTTGCTCATAAAAAAGTTAAATAAACACTGGTTTGCCGCCATTTACAACATTTTAACGCGTTTTGCCGCATTAGAGCCAAAAACAGCAGCTCAGCTGTAAAAATGTGAGTGAAGAATAGTTAGAACCTCTTTCAGGTTTCTATTGCTGTCTGTGGTTCCATTGGGGATTTGTCCCTTCACTCTATACCTTTTGGCAATAGGATGTGAAATTATGAGAACAGGAGGTTACTAGGACCCACTGTAAATATGTCCTGGTGAAGCCTCGCCGCTTGTACTGGTATTTAGGGGGAATTTTCCTGCTGAGGAACAATGGACAGCAATGTATATCTGGCAAGGTATCCATCCTTTTCAAACTCTATCCAAAAAAAATGTTTGACTGGAGATGGACTTCCAGGTCCAAAATGAAAACTGTGTTTTGGGCAGCTTTTGATGTTTTGCTTCTACACTTTGGTCCCAGGCAGGATGGACTCCTCTTCACATTGCTGCCTCTGCTGGTCGGACAGATATTGTCAGAGCTTTATTGGGGAAGGGAGCCCAAGTGAACACCACCAACCAGGTTGGGTGCACACCTCTCCACTATGCAGCATCTAAGAACAAGCATGAGGTATCTACATTTTGCCTGTTTTTTTTTATATGTAGAAATATAGTGATACTTTATCATTTTGGTATTTAATTTTTCTTCAAAATTGACATGCTTATCACAGACAACATTCTTGATGTTGCCTCTTCACAGATTGCTCTTCTGCTTCTGGAAAATGGTGCTTCACCTGATTCCAGGGACAAGCTGGAGTCCACACCACTTCATCGCGCAGCTTCAAAGGCAACCTGAAGATAGTGGAAATCCTCCTAAAACACAAAGCATCAACTAATATACAAGACACTGAAGGGAATACACCACTGTAAGTAACCTATCACACCTTAGACCAAAGATAAATTAGAGCTGTTATATTACTTTGTATTTTACTGAAACAATTTAAACACACATAGGCTTGGTACAGACCAGACTGTTTCTGTGCGCATTCCTGGAATGCAAAGGTGTGAATGAAGCCAGTAGCAGAACCTTGAATAACAACAGTTACATTTACTAGAGTTCTTATGTCAGCTCTCATGACAACTGTCAAACCATCAAATGGCAGCTGTCATATTAAAAAGAGAAAACAAATAGAAAAGTTAATTTTTAAGGCACCAGATAGATCCAAAAATAATTAAATTAACAATTTATTACATGGTCTTATTAGTAAATATCAGGCCTTGCCATACACACAGTTTTTTTTTAAAAAAGACGAACAAATGCAATGATATGTGCACAGGCTGTTCCCCAAAGTCACCACACACACGTGATGCAACCAGTTTGATCGCACCGGAGCCCCCACAAAGCCACGTTTTTTAAAAAATTTTACAGCAAGCTAGGTGGGAGAAGATCCCTGGTTAGCTGTCAAAGCGCGGGGAGCTGAGGCTGGTCTGACCATTACATGTTACACTGTGAATATGGGTGTAACATGTTTTGAAAGGTGAACTTATCCTTTTAATTGAAAAAAGATCTCATCACTGAAGTCCCAAAAAGATAAGCTATTGGTAGGTGAATTAAACAACCAACATCTACCTGAAGTACACACAAAGCAAAAGCCATGCCACTCCTCCTATTTGACAACAGCTCTCTGTCTTTCTCTTAGTGTCTGTATGTGCAGTGCCTGCATGTAAAGGAGACTCTTTTCTAGGACTCCATAGGTCCCTATAGCACAGGGGAACATATAGACTGAGGTGCGTGTGTTAGCGTGGCGGGAGGACACTTTCAAAAGTAAATGCAGAGGAAGAATTCTTTTAGAAAAATCAGTAACTACATGCAAGTTATTTTATTATCTGTTTTTTGAAAAATAAAAAAAAAAACTTTGTCACTTTAAAAGTTTTAGAGGTGATTGGAGTACCTGGAGGAAACTCAGGGTGAACATTCAAACCTGATGCAGATTGTATCCTGAACATTTGAAACAAAGACCCCAGTGCTGTATGGCAGTTGTTCTAACAGCTAGTCCACTGTTATGCAAGTCTACAACCCCTATTCCAAAAAAGTTGGTACGCTGTATAAAACCTGCATAAAAACAGAATGCAATGATTTGCAAATCTCTTAAACCCTTATTTTATTCACAATAGAAAACATATCAAATGTACCAAAAAATAAGGTCGTTTTGAAATTGATGGCAGCAACACGTCTCAAAAGAGTTGGGACAGGGCAACAAAAAGCTGGCAAAGTAAGTGTTACTAACAAGAAAGAGCTGGAAGAATGTTTTGCAACTAATTAGGTTAATTGGCAACAGGTCAGTAACCTGATTGGGTATAAAAAGAGCATCTTAGAGAGTCACTTTATCTCAAAAGTAAAGATGGGCATAGGTTCACCAATCTGTGAAAAGCTGCATCTAAAAAAACATTTTCAGTATAAAGTTGGGACAGAGCCATGCTGTATACGTTGGTGTATCATCCCCTCTTCTTTTAACAACACTCTGTAAACGTCTGGGAATTAAGGAGTTATGGGAGAGGAATGTTGTCCCATTCTAGCCTGATATAAAGGAAACAGCAGATGGTGCCAACTGAGTGCAGTATATAGGAAAAGACTGTATTAAAAATCACAAGGGGCAACTTACAAGATTATTATTATTATTATACAGAGGGCCCTGCTCGTTAGAGCTTACAATCTAGGAGATGCATAAAGATAAGAGCATGATATTTATTTATTACAAATACTTATAGCACCATCATTTTACGCAGCGCTTTACATATATATTGTACATTCACATCAGTCCCTAACCCTCAAGGGGTGTACAGTTCCCTAACTTACATTCATACATACACATATTAGGGCTAATTTAGACAGGATCCAATTAACCTACCGGCTTGTCTTTGGAGTGTGGGAGGAAACTGGAGTACCCAGTCCAGGCAGCTGGTGCCGTGGTTGGGATTCGAACCAACGACCCTAGTACTGCCAGGCAGAAGTGCTAACCATTTAGCCACTGTGCTGCCCACTATACAACTTCTGACAGTGGCATCTGCTTCCTGGGTCTTGAAGAGATACTGAGGCTCAACAACAGACCGCAATGGGTGGATGACATGCTCTTATGTTTATGCATCTTCTAAGTTGCTGCTTGTGATTTTTAATAGTCTTCTTCCTCTATACCGCACTCAGTTGGCGCCCTCTGCTGTTTGCTTTATATATTGCAGAGATTGCTTCAGTCTTTTTGAGGAGCTGCCATGGATACCTTTCGGACCTATGGACTTTCTAGTATAATCCCACACCCTCACACCATATTCACGTGCATGATTGATTACGTTGTAGTTTAGCTGTATCCCTATCTGCGCCATTCTTGATCATTTTCCATTCTAGCCTGAGCATATGCTGCTCTGAACCCTGGATATACAGTGCCTTGAAAAAGTATTCATACCCCTTGAAATTTTCCACATTTTGTCATGTTACAACCAAAAACGTAAATGTATTTTGTTGATATTTTATATGCCAATCCAACACAAAGTGGCACATAATTGTGAAGTGGAAGGAAAATGATAAATGGTTTTCAACATTTTTTACAAATATCTGAAAAGTGTGGCGTGCATTTGTATTCAGCCCCCCTGAGTCAATACTTTGTAGAACCACCTTTTGCTGCAATTACAGCTGCAAGTCTTTTTGGGGATGTCTCTACCAGCTTTGCACATCTAGAGAGTTAGATTTTTGCTCATTCTTCTTTGCAAAATGGCTCAAGCTCTGTCAGATTGGATGGAGAGCATCTGTGAACAGCAATTATCAAGTCTTGCTACAGATTCTCAATTGGATTTATGTCTGGACTTTGGCTAGGCCATTCTAACACATGAATAGGGCTGACCTAAACCATTCCATTGTAGCTCTAGCTATATGTTTAGGGTCGTTGTCCTGCTGGAAGGTGAACCTCTGCCCCAGTCTCAAGTCTTTTGAAGACTCGAACAGGTTTTCTTATAAGATTGTCCTGTATTTGGCTTCATCCATCTTCCCATCAACTCTGAACCAGCTTCGCTGTCCCTGCTGAAGAAAAGCATCCCCACAACATGGTGCTGCCACCACCATGTTTCACGGTGGGGATGGTGTGTGTTCAGGGTGATGTGCAGTGTTAGTTTTCCACCAAACACAGCGTTTTGCTTTTAGACCAACAAGTTAAATTTTGGTCTCATCTGACCAGAGCACCTTCTTCCACATATTTGCTGTTTCCCCCACATGGCTTCTTGCAAACTGCATATGAAACTTCTTATGACTCTTTCAACAATGGCTTCTTCTTGTCCACTCTTCCATAAAGGCCAGATTTGTGGAGTGTACGACTAATAGTTGTCCTGTGGACAGATTCTCCCACCTGAGCTGTGGATCTCTGCAGCTCCTCCAGAGTTACCATGGGCCTGTTGGCTGCTTTTCTTATTAATGCTATCTCTGCCCGGCCTGGCAGTTTAGGTGGACGGTCATGTCTTGGTAGGTTTTCAGTTGTGCCATACTCTACATTTTTGGATGATGGATTGAACAGTGCTCCGTGAGATGTTCAAAGTTTGGGATATTTTTTATAACTTAACCCTGCTTTAATCCCTAAACACCGAGCGCGCACACAAATATGCGGCCTCTTGGAGTCTGGGCCTTGACGCCGAGTAGCCGCATATTTGCGTACCATTTGAAAATACATATGTGCTGAGAGAGCGCACCCTGCGCGCTCCCAGCACCTATGTCCGTGACTCATGGAAAGGTCCCAATCTCCCCTTACGATCGGGATTTTTTCCAATCATGAGACCACCGTGACAGGAAATCATGGCGGTCACATGACCGTAAAGCCCCGCCCCACCTCCCGGCTTCTGAAACCTCCTAAAGGGCCGGGAGGCGCTGGCGCAAAGGGGTTAAACTTCTCCACAACTTTATCTCTGACCTGCCTGGTGTGTTCCTTGGCCTGCATGATGCTGTTTGTTCACTAATGTTCTCTAACAAACCGCTGAGGGCTTCACAGAACATCTGCTTTTATACTGAGATTAAATTATACACATGTGGACTCAATTTACTAATTGGGTGACTTCTGAAGGCAATTGGTTCCACAGTATCGGAATAAAGAGGGCTGAATACAAATGCACGCCACACTTTTCAGATATTTATTTAAAAAAAAAAAAAAAACATTGAAAACTATTTATTTTCCTTTCACTTCACAATTATGTGCCACTTTGTGTTGGTCTATCCCATAAAATACATTTACGGTTTTGGTTGTAACATGACAAAATGTGGAAAATTTCAAGGGGTATGATTACTTTTCAAGGCACTGTATCTTTTAGCGTTGATGGTGCCTTTCCAGATGTGCAATCTGCCCACTCCATACACACTAATGCGCCCCCATACCATCAGACATGCAGACTTTTGAACTGAGTGCTATTATCAAGCCCAAAGGTCCCTCTCCTCTTTGGTCTGGAGAACGTGGAGACTATGGTTGCTAATTGGAAATATTCCTGAGCCCATGGAGTGATGGCCTGTTTTTAATGCAGTACCGTCTGCAGGCCCGAAGATCTTGGGCTTCCAGTATTGCTTTTCGGCCTTGTACCTTGCTCATAGAGATTTCTCCAGAGTCTTGGAATGTTTTGATATTATGTACTGTAGATGAAGATATATTTAAAGTCTTTGCAATTTTACATTGAGGAACATTATCGTGATATTTTTCAAAATTTTTTAGATGCAGCTTTTCATAGATTGGTGAACTTCTGCCCATCTGTACTTCTGAGACACTCTGACTTTCTAAGATACTCCCAACGTTTATAAGACATGCTGCTGCCACCAATTTCAAAATTACCATATTTGTTTCTTACAATTTTACATGTTCATAGCTTTTAACATTTGATATATTCCCAATAGAAAATAAAGCATAATATGTGTTTAAGAGATTTGCAAATCAATGCATTCTGTTTTTATGTAGACTTTACGCAGAATCCCAACTGGAATTGGGGATGTAATAAATGTTTTATATAAGCATTCAATAAAAGATGAAATTTACACTTGGATTGCAGATATGACGTTTGTGTGTTCTCTCCTTTAGTCATCTTGCCTGTGATGAAGAGCGAGTGGAGGAAGCCAAACTCCTAGTTAAGCATGGAGCAAGTATTTATATAGAAAATAAAGAGGAGAAGACACCATTACAAGTGGCTAGAGGAGGTCTGGGAGCATTGCTAAAGAGAATAGTAGAAGGGTAGTTATTTTTTCTTTAAATATGACAACTTCAACCATGACTTGAAGACAACAGTGTCAATGTTAATGTAATGTGGGTTACACCTTCTAATGTTTGTACAAAATGTTAGGTATATTTACTAGCTGTAAAGCTTTTCTCATTGTCCCTCTTCAATGTCTGTCAGGAGCAGTGTGTGTACTGCTCATTATTTGTGTATGCTGTAATATGCAAGAGATGTCTTAATCAAATTAGACACTTGTAAAGCCCTCTGTATAGTGCTCCAAGTATCAAGTAGATATACATTGAGAACCTATGTCCTAATAACTGCCACAGTGATACAACTGTCCCAGAAGCCACGTTGGTCATTACACGGTAGTATTAAACGTTGTAATAAAATTCATCATACCCAGGGATACCAAAACTATGTACTGACTTCCTGTTTAATTGCTTTTACCCAGAAGCCATAAGAAACCTGTTGCTTGTTGATTATAGCACTAGGCATTTCCAATATAAATGTATTGACACTCAAACTGATTTGTAATTTTGTGATATTTGAGAAGTATATAATTCTAGAAAGGAGCATTGTTCTAATTTATTTTCTGATGCAGAGTTTTGTTTAGCCCGGGTTATCAATCCTTTACTGCACAGACGTATTATGGTGCTGTATACCCTTTGGTATTTATGCATACTTGTTCCCTTAACTGAAAACAGATATGGAATGATGTTAAAGTTCCATCAGAAAATAAACCGAGATTTTTAAAATTGTTTTGCCTTTTATTCCTGAAATATGAGTGTGAATAAAGTTACTAACTGATCCTAAAGCTTACCTCCAGAGAAGAAAACAATTACCCTTGCAGTGGGTCCCCCTATGCACTGCAAGGGTTAACTGCTCAATTCATTTAGGGGTTGATGCCAAAGGTGAAATACCTACTCTGAATTGTGAGCAGACCTTTAGTGTCCTTGTCTACAATACAGGAGTACTGGTCCTGCATCGTACAGGATGACATCATATTTGTGACCAGTCGGGAAGCGGCTTTAGGGGGACTGGTGTCCAAAGAGGAGGAATCCATCATTAAATGTATCATTTTTATTATCATCCTCCTAGACAAAATGAACAATTAACCCTTACAGCAAAGGAGGGGACCCACTGCAAATGTATTCTTTTTTCCAAGGTTCAGCTTCGAGGCCCTTTTTTTATATTTGTGCAAAAGAAGTAGCATGCATCTGTAAATATTCATTTTTAGGTGCATTAATATGAGTATTTAATGCACATGGCTGTGTGATGTACCATTCATTAGGGATTGTTTACACCAGATGCAGTCAGGTGTGTTTTTTTTAAAAGCAGCATAACCCCCCGGTCACATCAAAGCCAATTTTTTTAAATCGTGCGACTTACAGTGAAGTCGCATGATTTGAAATTTGGGTGATTTGCCGATCTGAGGTGCGGTTTTCAAGACATCTGACACAGATGTCTATGCAAATCGCACCAAAAGTATTGCATGTACTACTTTAGGAATTGTTGGGGCTCCCACCAAGTCGGAACCGCACCGATATGACCACTCTAATAGCAGACAATAGGGTGTGACTTAGCATACGATTTGCAAGTTGCATGGCATGCAATTAATCACATGCGAAGTCACACCCGATATGACTGGGGTGTAAACCCAGTACGATGCATATGCAAAGAAAATGAATGTATTCCAATGAGCCTAGTTTATACCATTGCAATGCTTTCCCTTGTGATTATAAAAAAATATTACAGCATGCCTCATTTTTTCCACACCGGAAAGCACCACAAACCCACTTAATGTGTGCAGATGCAACACACGCAAACACATGTAAAAGCAACTTCTTAAAAAAGGAAATTATCCCAAAATCACCCTGAAAAAAAACATGTAAACGCACTGCACTGCATATATTGAGGTGTACACAAACCCTTTATGTGTGTATTCATTGCACATGGAGGTGAGTTGTGGCCATAGATTGTGCTTTTCTTTTTTTAATGCAAAATAGGGTAGGAACTGTCCTTCATCATGCATTAAACAGAATGCAGCTGTGCATTACCAAACTTTTTTCTCGTAAGGTTCAATTTAAGCTCAATGTTTTACAGAAAAATCATGCTGGATTTGCTGCATTACAGAATGGTGGTCAAGGTGAATGTAATTCTTTTTATAGGTGTTTCAGTAGCCAGTCGCTAGGCACCAGTGCTGTTATTTGGGTTGGGAAGAAAGACCTTAGCCTTGTGTAAGCTATGAGCAAAATGACACTTGTTGCTTACACAGTGCTTCTTCTCTTTGTCATTGTTAAGAAACGAAGCAGCAGCAGCATTTATTATACACTACATTACATTTACTACATCAAAAAAGAGCAAATATTTGACTCGCTGCCCACCAGTTAGGTAAGTATTCAACTTTTTTCTTTCACTGAGTGCTTTGTTTTTAAATCCTAGTGACGGTAGCTTCAAATTGCATTCTTTTCTTTAGGCTTTTTTTTCTTATTTTTATTCGGCGATCTTGATGTACCCACACTTCATGTCTTGGATGGCTTCCCTTCCCTGGAGGAGCAGCATTGTCTTTCTGGAGAGAGGGTAGTGTTAGATACACTGACAGATTTAGTTGGACTTTTTTAAGCAGCAGTTTTTTTATTTTTAAATTTTGGATAGAGTGGAGAGGGATTGGAACACCTGTCAGTTTTTATTGCTGTCTGTGCCCCTGATAAGGAGATTCACCCTCTCTATTTTTCCTGTTTAATTATTATTTGAACCAATGCAGATTTTGTAAGTTTTCCCACTTACAAAGAAATGGTCTATAATTTTTATCATAGATGTGTTTTTAAATGATAGAGACAGATTATCAACAAAAAATCCAGAAAAAAAAACACATGATACAAATGTTATAAATTGAGTTGCAGTTCAGTAACATAAATATTTAATCCCCAAGCAAAACATGACTTTGCACTCAGTGGAGAAACCCTTGTTGGCAAGCACAGAGGTAAGAGGTTTCTTGTAAATGGTTACCAGGCTTGCACACATCTCAGGAGGGATTTTAATTTTTGCTCCTTCTTTACAGATCTTCTCTAAATCCGTAAGGTTTCTTGGCAACTCAAAATTTTGGCTCCCTCCAAAAATGTTCTATAGGATTAAGGTCTGGAGACTGGCTAGGCCACTCTATGACCTTAATGTGCTTCTTCTTGAGCCACTCCTTTGTTGCCTTGGCAGTATGTTTTGGGTCATTGTCATGCTGGAAGACCCACCCATCTTCAGTGTTCTGGCTGAGGGAAGAAGGTACTCTTCCAAGATTTTCAATACATGGCCCCGTCCATTGGCCCATCAATGAGGCAAAGCCAACATGTACCTTTAGCAGAGAAACCGCCCCAAAGGATAATGTTTCCACCTCCATGCTTGAATGTAGGGATGGTGTACTTAGGGTCATAGTCAGCATTTTTCTTCCTCCAAACACAGAGAGTCCAGTTAATGCCAAAGAGCTCAATTTTTGGTCTCATCTGACAACAGTAATTTCTCCCAATCCTTCTTTGAATCATTTAGATGTCCATTGGCAAACTTCAGATTAGCCTGTACATGTGACTTCTTCAGGGAGGGCACCTTGCCGGCGCTGCAGGATTTCAATCCATGGCTGTGTATTGTGTTACTAATGGTTTGTTTGGTGACTGTGGTCCCAACTGCCTTGAGATCATTCACATGCTCCTCCCATGCAGTTATGGCCTGATCCTTCACTTTTCTCATGATCATCCTTACCCCATGAGGTGAAATTTTGCATGGCACTCCAGACAGAGGGCGATTGATGGTTATTTTGTACTTCTTCCATTTGTGAGTAATTGCTTCAACAGTTGTCTTCTTCTCACAATGCTTATTGCTGATGGTCTTGTAGCCAATTCCAGCCTTGTGCTAGTCTACAATCTTGTCCCTGACATCCTTTGACAACTCTTTGGTCTTGGTGATGTTTGGAAGAAAGTGATTCTGTGGACAGGTGTCTGTTATACACATAATGAGTTTTTAGGGCACCTTCTTAAATTGACAGGACTAATCTGTGTACCACAAGTGCTCAGAGCCAGTCTGTGGGAGCCAGAATTATTGTTGGTTGGTAGGGGATCAAATACTTATTTTACTCACTGAACTTCAACTCTGTTTTTTGGGGGATTTTTTGGATTAAATCACATCAATGATATAAATTAAAGACCCTTCATTTCTTTAAGTGAGCAAACTTACAAAATCTGCAGGAGATCAAATAATTATTTCCCCCACTATATCTAGCCAGCCCTGCCAGACAAATTATGTCTAGCATTCCGGTGGCGATAGTTGAGTTGTTCCCTTAAAAGTGTTGACGTATTTAATCCATTGTTTGCATGTCGGGGAGGAAGTTGACATCCAATACCTGGCAATTAATTTCCTAGCAAGGTATAGCAATTGAGAGATCATGTAGACACTCATGGTTGATACTGTTCAGCATCTGCCGTACCCAACAGATGTATAGGATCTAACTGTATAGAGCAGTGGTTCTCAACCTTTCTAATGCCGCGACCCCTTAATACAGTTCCTCATGTTGTGGTGACCCCCAACCATAAAATTATTTTCGTTGCTACTTCAGAACTGTAATTTTGCAGTGGGAGGAATAGTGCCCCATCATTGGTATCAGTGGGAGGACTAGCGCCCCATCATTGGTATCAGTGGGAGGAATAGTGTCCCATCGTTGGTATCAGTGGGAGGAATAGTGCCCCATCACTGATGTCAGTGGGAGGAAATAGTGTCCCATCGTTGGTATCAGTGGGAGGAATAGTGTCCCGCCATTGGTGTCAGTGGGAGGAATAGTGCCCCATCATTGGTATCAGTGGGAGGAATAGTGCCCCATCATTGGTATCAGTGGGAGGACTAGCGCCCCATCACTGATGTCAGTGGGAGGAATAGTGTCCCATCGTTGGTATCAGTGGGAGGAATAGCGCCCCATCGTTGGTGTCAGTGGGAGGAATAGTGCCCCATCATTGGTATCAGTGGGAGGAATAGTGCCCCAT